CTAAACAACGATGCTGGTCAAATTAAATTATGCATGTGAATGCACTTTCAGTGATCGAAAATAGAAATTATCAATTTTGAAATACATTAGGTTGAAAGCGTGTAACCATTGGTGCATATTCAATGTTCTAAAATGCTCTTATCGTTTAGGGATGGCACTTATAGATGACGGCGGATGTGTGCCGAGAAGGTGGATGGGTCGACGATAACCCTGGCAATAATGGTTTAATGTGATATGACTGTAATCCAAAAGGTTGTTATTTCTCTATCATTGACATTGGTAGGTATGGTCATCAAGGATCCTTATTCATCGATGTTTAGCATCAGTCAGTTTTTGACGATACACTTCCCGTTTTAGTGAGGGATGAGAGGGTATCCATGGATGCAAATTCATAGGAGAGCCCCCGATATGAAACAGAGGTAAAAAGAAAGTGCCCTCCAGTTCAACTTTTAAGAAAGATATTACTATTTGTAATCTCATAAACTCAAGTTTACAACAAAAAAAACAAACAAAAAAATCATTTAATGACTTTTTATCAACAATTTATCAGGGAAAACGACGTGAAATTGAGTTTCAACGAAAATACTTTTTCCTAATATTGATGTGGTGGACATAAGTGACTGCACTCCATAGATTCATTCATTTTTACAGTCGATGTAAATCTATTGGTAAGTATAAGTATGTTCAATTCATAATAAAATTACTATATCTTTAAAGGTCAGTGGTGTGATACACAAGAGTGTAACGTATAGATGAAATATTCAAGGCCTCTTTTTAAGTTGGACGTACAGCTAAAAAAAAATAATTATTGATACAAACACTTACCATTGTCAAATGAGAGATAAGAAAACAAACTATCTGTAACTCATATACAATGGTAAGACCAATTAGGGAGATATGTCTGAATAGACCATTGTATTGTTGTATACATGACCGAGGTCTTTTGTGTGTATATGAAGAATCGTCAAAATATTTCAGAAATGGACAGAATAACTAATTGGCTTGTTCAATACGAGCTTGGAATAACTGTCAATACTCAATGACAGTTGTATAAGCAATGTATTCTTATTTGATCAGGTAATGAACGATCATATTGAAGTATGATTGAGTTATTTTGAACAACTATCACAGGAACGAATCGCACTCGACATATCGACTGAATCAGAATAGTACCATAGCTCATTAGAAACGCATATGGTTTCGTATAAAAACACGTAATTGGAAATTTGGGAAATGAAAAGATCATGACGTTCAATAGGATTGTGAAAGCATGGCCCTACGAGAGAGAAGGACTGAACAAATATCATTCTACTTAAATTGAACAAATTTTTGTTGTGATGAAAAATAATTCATCCAAGTAAATGTAACCAATAAAAAAAGAAACGTATAATGAAATGATATTTATTCAAAACGTGAAATTTGTAAACAAGAATCACTTTTGATTGATTGATTGATTGATTGACGTCACGTCATGTGCCGTACGAAACACCATATGAAACCTTTAAATGTTATGCAAGTCTAATGTCCATATGTGCCGTTCTTCACGTCATGTGCGTACGAAACACCATATGAAACCTTTAAATGTTATGCAAGTCTAATGTCTATGATTTAAAATCGCCGTAATGTGTATTTTTGCAAATTCTATTTTCCGACTTTGGAAACATTTTAATAGAATTTTGTCAGATTTTGTTCACAATGCAATCAAGTTTACATTGTAATCTTTTAAAGTTATTCAAGTGATGCGACGTATACGTATAGAGCTGCCCAGCACGCCCAAGGAAGTATGTTGCAAATGAGACCAAGTAGTTAAACCGGTTGAAATTATGGAAACAATCGGGTTTTTTTTACCGGTTCTTGACTCTTCTTCATTGACTCCATAAAAAAAGGTTATAATTATATAAGTATTAAGCGTTGTAAATGTCGCATCGCAACAGAAAGTTAAAAAATACAAAAACAACATTGCAAGTATTTGAATAACATAAATCGGTTGATAAGCGAAAGTTTCAACAAATAAAAAATGTTGTAATTTGAGGGACTAGAAGCATCTCTTTTCTCACCTGGAAGCTCTATCAGAGACACATTCCCACCTTGGTTACCTTTAGATGCATCAGATCTTCCAGAATGTCCAAGGTTCCAACTATTTTAGCTGTATTTAAAATCCTGTTAATACAGTCCAGTCTATATATCACTTTCGAGTCTCGATAGACTCGAAATGGACTCGAGATCTCGAACTCACAGTCTCTACCTCAGAGCAGTATAATAATCAAATGTTCAGGGCACTTCACAAACAGCTCGTGGAAGGATGGATGCCACAGACAAGATAGAATACCAGTCCATTGATGATTATGTGAGGTCAAGTTCAAAATCCCACTACTAGACGGCTAATAAACACAATATATCAACACGTGGTTCCTTGTAATGCCCTGGGGGCAGAAAACTCATTCATAATCATCAACCAGTCGTCCTATAGACCGCCGCGCCGTACTCTCATCAAATGAAATTAGCATCTATCAAATTATGAAAAGTCCAAAATCACTCAACCGTGACCGATTGGAAAGCGAGCAGATATTGGCGCGGTCTAGCCATGGTCTAACCCAGCGAGAGGATGGAAGAGAGGTTGCTTTGGAGATCATTTACAGCGGCGTGGCGTTTTTCAAATAAAATGGGTAAAATTAGGGAGGCGTTGTTTTTGACAAAAAGGAGAAAGCTCTAGGATAATAGGCTCATATCGGCTGAAGGAAATCAGCTTTTGTGTTTTCATGGAGTTTCGCACGTGCTTTATTCACGGGCATCTGGTCACAAATAGAAGCGCGAGCCACGCGGATCTCCACCCCTGCCCTAGCCGTATCCCCCCCCTCTCTCTCTCTCTCTCTCTCTCCGTCTCTCTCCCCCTCTCTCGCTCTTTCTCTTACTCATTTGTCCCATCTCTAGCAAATTCATTCTTTTACATTTCCCCCCTTTTACAAAGGCGATACATGATTTTGTTTGTTTGGGTGCAGATGCTCGGTTATTGTATGTGGTATAGCTGACTCCGACATGAACTTACATCACACGATCATCATCCATGTATGACTGACTGACCTTGTAGAAAAAAGAATCTTCCCCTACTATTTCCCCTACTATTTCTGCCGCTGCAGTCCTGCAATTCGATCAGATCGTTACTACTTTTTTTCTGATATATTTTCGATCGTCGGTTAAAGAAGATTTGCTTGATAAAATGAAATATACCTTCTCTACGAAATGAGATTAAAGATAAAAAGAGATCTAGGGATATACTAGGGCTATTCTAGGCCTCTATATTCATCTAAATGCACCCATCTGCTAGACCTACACGTGCATCACAAATAACTTTATGGAACTTACACACTTCATCCAACAATAAACCTATCCATCTAAACGCAGAGAAAATTATGAAAATTAAACTAAATGTACCAAATTCTAATTTGATGAAATGATGCTAACAAGTGGGCAGTAAGACTCATTTTTTGCTCTCGCCACATTGACTAAACAGAGTATGCTTTCAATGATCTGTATTTTGTGGTAAAAGGGTTTTGTTGCTTTGCGTCTTGTTCCAGGATGCTCGTGGCTATTTTCAGGCTAGAGATGGCGCTATGAAACTTTGTTAAAAGGCCTGGGGAGGGTGACCGATTGTGAAATATACGAGGTCTATACATCTGTGTAACAGCTGATAATATATACAGACAAATTTACTATAAACTCGTCCCAAAAGCGTATTAAAACAAACAGAACATTCACAATGGTGTTTTTGAACTCGGAAAGTTTCTTCGCACAAAATTAGAGTCACCCCCCCCCCCACTATTGATTTGATTTGATTTGATTTTTTTTCCTTTTCTTCTGCATTCATGACTTTTTTTTGTAATCATACACTTTTTCGATAACAATAATAATATAAAGTTCAATAAGTATTTTCCTAAAAATGAATCATAAATAAGCAAATACATATATATATATATATATATATATATATATATATATATATATATATATATATATATATATATATAAATTGTTATTTTCAAAAACGAAATGATAAACTGTCATAAATACTAAATTTCCTCAAGCATTATAAAACATTATAAAATTATTTGCGGAAGAAGGACTGTCATTGTAAGCAGATTGCTTGATAATACGACAGCCCCAGACAAAACTCATGAAATATTAATACATTTATTAAGTAGAAACGGATAGGTAATTGAAAATACAGGGTTCATTGTTGAACACTGATAAAAAGTTTTTTTTTAAATAAAAGCAGACTGTTTTTTAGGGGGATGATTGTCCTCGGGGGTAGTTGTTCAATTGTTTATTTTTTTTGGTATTTTTCGTGTATACTTGTAGTTTTTCTTCTCCATTACGCCTTGAACACATTAGTCATGTGGAGTTGGCGCATTGCACTATACTTTATATTATTATTATTTATTTTTTTACAGGGGGTAGTTGTCCGCTACGCCCTGGTCCACCGTTCAACCACAGGATGACAGCTTGGGTCTTGAGCTGGGTAATTATTCTGGGACTCAAAAAACCTGTAGTGTAGAAAATCGTTTGTAATTAGTTTTAGTTTTGTTGTTTGTGCTTGCCATGCTTGCTTGCTTGTTCGAATGTCTAACAATTTGGAGTATAAATTTACATTTACATTTTTTTTAATTTTTTTTTTTGGGGGGGGGGGGTATTTTCTCTTAATTTTTTGTGGATCATAGATCCCTCAGTCTGCATGAATGTAATTTCAATATTATTTTTCTAATCGTACACTTGAAGTTGTTTCTTGCACCTTTCCTCCCTTTCCCACGTAATCCCCCCCCCCTTTCTGGTGCAGTTAGAGTTCATTCATATGTGATTTGTGATGTAATGTTTTGTATCAGAGCGAATTATGCCACGATTATACCATTTAAACAAGCAGCAAAGAAAAAATGTTTGCATGCCTTGTTCGCGAACTCCTCACCTCTTACCAGATCCTAGCTATGGGGCGCCAAGTGTTACCCTAGATTTTTGGTAGCTCTCTCGTGCATTCTCTGAGATGCCACACAGCACTGACGTGACTGGCGACGTGGACCATATTTTTTATTATGAAAAACTGTCAAAATTATTGTTAGAAGGCTCTTTTCTTTCGTTTTATCTCTACTAGTTGCACTTATACTACAAAAAGTGAGTATTATTACCAGATATTCAAATAACTTTACCCTGAAAAATTATATTACTTGAAACGTAGCGCCCCACGTACTGAGATTGGTGTGGGACTGGTTCTTAATTCTTGGGAGCAGGGGGGGGGGGGGGGGGGGGGGGGTGGGAGGGTTACGACTTACGGTTACGGACTATTAAACAAGTAACATGTTAGGGGTTGGTAATCATAGAATATATATATATATATATATATATATTGTCGTACTATCATGTTGTATTTTGTATTTTTTCCTTTTATTTGAAAAGAAAAGGGGACAAAATTGTAAAAAGTATTAGTCTAGGTCTAGTCTAGGGTCTAGTCTACGAGTAAGAATTTATTTTCATCCCTCTATTAAAAGTATTAGGGAGGCCAATACCCTGACATAAGGCTTCTAGGCCTACGATTTGTGCGCCCGTCGTTCAGTTAAAAGAATTGCCAGAAAGAAAAAAAACAATAAAAATATCTATTGAATAAAATATATAACAAAAATACAAATACACTCCACAACATTACCTTTACCTTTACCCGAGATTCTGGAAGAATGCTGTGTTCTCAGCAGTCGGGCTTCCAGTTCAATTTCCTTTTCTTCCTTCTCGTAGTTGGGTGTCCTCTTGGTAAGTGTCTGGCTCAGTTCTGCGTCGGGTATTCTACTCATATGGGGAGCAGAAACGCTTGTCCTTCCATACTCGATCCAGTCTGGCTTTAAAGGCATTCACCGTGGTAGCAGTGACCACCTCTTCAGGAAGTGTGTTCCAGTCATTGACGACACGTTGGCTGAATGCATCCTGTCTAATCTTCGTTGAGCATCTTTGTTTTACGATCTTTAGACTGTGGCCTCTTGTGTTGCTAGTCGAGTGTTCAAAGAAGGTATCAACTGGGATGCGTTCAAGTCCATGGATGATTTTGAAAACCTGAATCATGTCGCCTCGCCGTCTGCGATATTCGAGGGAGGGAAGGTTGAGCGCCCGAAGTCTCTCTATGTAAGGACGGTTGCGGATGTCATAAATCATTTTGGTAGCTCTCTTCTGCACCCTCTCTATGGTTTTGGAGTCTGTCTTGAAGCGAGGGTACCATATGGAATCTCCGTAATCTATGAGAGGTCTGACAAGGCCTTTGTACAGCTTTGGAATTGTGGACCTGTCTCTGCACTCAAAGCTGCGACGGATGCAGGAGAGTACTCCGTTGGCTTTCTTGACAGCATATGCCACATGGTTATGGAACTTTAGCTCGTCATCAATGAGGATGCCGAGGTCTTTCTCCTCTGATGTAGCTTCAAGGACATCATCTCCAAGGGCATAGATGTGTTTGACGTTTCCTGGGCCTATGTGTAGTACTTTGCACTTTTGTGTGTTGAAGTGCATTTGCCATGTATTGCTCCATTCCATTAGTGCATCAAGGTCAGATTGGATTGAGCACAGATCATCTTTGGTGGATGCTTTGCCATACAGTTTAGTGTCGTCAGCATAGATCTTGACAGACCCTTGAAGTCCATCTGGTAGGTCATTGATGCACAAGACAAACATTGTTGGGCCGAGAACACTACCCTGCGGCACTCCGCTCCTTACTTTTGTCCAGTCAGATAATTTATCATTGACTCTAACTCTCTGGCATCTACCTTGGAGGAAGTCTGCTATCCATTCCTTAATTTGGCCACATATACCGTATGTCTCAAGTTTTGATAGAAGGCGAAGGTGAGGTACACTATCGAAAGCTTTCTTGAAGTCTAAGTATACCACATCAATAGGGGTTCCTTTATCCAGCATCTCAGTCCATGCCTCCATGACAGTCAGAAGCTGTGTCACACAAGAGCGTCCTGGAACAAAGCCATGCTGTTCATCACACAGTAGGTCATTTTCCATCAGGTGGGCAACTATCTCATCTCGAATTAGTGACTCCAGAATTTTGCATGGTACTGATGTCAAGCTGATTGGTCTGTAGTTCTTAACATCCATCTTACTGGCTTTTTTGTGGACAGGTACCACATGACTGACCTTCCATGCACTTGGTAGTTTGCCTTCCTTCAATGATGCATTGTAGATTATGGAGAGGGGCTCTGAAACTGAGGCGGCTGTTTCTTTTAGAACGCAAGGGTGAATGCCATCAGGTCCTGCACATTTGTACTTTGACAGGTGGACAAGCTTCTTATAAACATCATCTTCAGAGATTGAGATAGATGTCAATGTCTCTCCTTTGTGTCTTGGTGGGAGTTTTGGAATGTGCCCTTTATCCTCATCAGTGAATGTAGTGGCGAAAAAGGTGTTCAATGCATCCGCTTTTCCTTTATCAGTTGATATTCGTTCACCGTCTGGAGTTCTGAGTTCGCCTAGTCTGCAAGAGGTTTTGAGTTTGCTATTTGTATACCTCCAGAATGCCTTGGGATTTGATTTCACATTCATAGCCAGGTCTTTCTCAAAATTCCTACATAACTGCTTGGTCAGAGTTTGCAGCTGCTTGGCTAATCTCCTTGCTCTCATAATGTCCACAGGATGTTTGGTCCTCTGTGCCTCTTTCCAAGCTCGATGTTTCTGGCTTTGTTTCCTCAGTGCCTCTCTAGTCATCCATCTCTGTTTCTTTCTGCGGTGTTTGGGTTTTGACTTCGGTATGAACTTCTCCATTTTTTCAGTCAGGGTGACTAAAAAGAACTCCCAAGCATCCTCTACACTTTTATTCTCCAATTCAGATTCCCACTCGATTTGGTCTAGCTCTTTACACATATCATCATACTGCCCTCTGTAAAACTGGAGGTGAGGAGTTGGGGTGTGGGTGTCTGGTGTGTATACTGTAAGGCCAAAGAGGATTCCAATATGATCACTTCTTCCAATTCCAGGTACATAGTCTATGTGGTTGATCATGCCGTCCTCGTTCGTGAAAACCAGATCTAGCATACTGGAACGCTGGCCTTCTCTGTATCTGGTATGTTCCCCAATGTGTTGGTGTAGATAACAGTCAGCGACAGTTTCAAGGAACTCCTGTTCAGTATGGGACCTTGCCCTTCCAAGCTTCCAATCAATGTTGGGATAGTTGAAGTCTCCTGCTATTAGGACATGGGAGGAGTTGATTGATGTGACTTGTGTAAATGCTCGTTTCAGTTCCTCATGGTTGTCTAGTGATGGGCTTCTGTACATGCATCCAATCAGTAGTTTGTCTGAGCCTCTTAGAGTAATTAAGATCCACACTGACTCATGGAAACTGTGCTGCAAATCACATTCACCGACAAGGTGGTAAAGATCTCTTGCGATATAAATTGCAACTCCTCTATTTCCATCCTCCAGATTGCAGTGCAAATCATATCCCTCTAAAATGAAGTCTCTATGTGTAAGGGGGTTTTGGTGGTTCTTAGGGAAAACTTCTGTCAGCAAGACAAGATCGACGTCATGTGATTGTAGAAGAAGAAGTAGCTCGTTTCGTTTGTTCAGAAGTGAGTCACAGTTTGTGTAGAAGATTTGTAGCTTCCTATCTCTGAGTTTCCTTTTGAACTTGCTTTGTTTACCTCTATCTGTATCAGTATCTCCGTCTCTTCCATCATGACTGTGATCACCATTGACAGAGCTATTATCATCATCATTACTCTCCAAATTAATTTGAGTGCTGTCATCTTCACTGTCACTTTCAGTGAAAAAATCAGAGCTTTCTGACATCAGGCTTGAGTTCATGTGGTCAGTACTTCTCATGGGACTTCTGTAACAGCTTCTTCTCTCATCATTGTCACTATATCTCTCAGTACTTTCATCTTCTTGTATTACACCTTTCTCGTTATCAGCTTTAACAATATTGGTGATATTCCCCTCTCCCAAATCTCTGATACTCATGTCAATGTGGGATTGCTGACATGAGGGAATCCTGTTACATGTACACATGTCATTTTTGTAGTATCCCTTTGCTTTAAAAATGTCCCTTGTGACATTATTATTATCAGCACTGCTGCTCTTCATTTCACTTCCTATTTGTATTGGATATCTTGTAGCTGGTTTTGAAAGATTCTTGCAATTCCATTCAGCAGTTTCTTTTACTGCTGTATTACTGTGGGGTGATTGCAGATTGTAGTCTGTGTATTGATGTGTTAGCTGACCATCTATTACTAGGGCTCCTGTTCTATTTGAGTCTATACGTTGCATTTGATTCAGGCACTTGTAGTTGACCAGCTTTGCACAGGAGTCATCACTTATCTTGTTGCATTTCTCATGTTTGCCGCGTCTATGCTCATACCTCTCATCATTGTTAAAGTCTGTTTTCTCTTTCCTTGTAGCACTTTTCATTTGTTCGCCCTCTGCATACACAAATTCATACTCTGCTTCTGTTTCTTGATATTGCGGTAATCTTTCCTTATCTTTCATGGAGTCTTTCATTGTTTGCTCTAGTCAGATTAAAGCAGGATGCTCCTTTCCTTGTGAATGGGGGTGTTTTCTGCTCTCACTACTTGTTGTTTTTGTCATCATTTCTCCACCTTCCATCTTTTCTCCACCTTGCATCTCTTCTGCATCATGCTTCTTTTCTGTACTGTGCACCTTTTCTGCCCTTTGAACATTCTCTGCAACTTGGGTCTTTTCTGCACCTTGCATCTTTTCGGCTCCATACATATTTTCTGCACCTGGCATCTTTTTGGCTCCATACATCTCTTCGGTTCCATGCATCTTTTCTGCACCTTGCATCATTTTTACATCTTCCATCTTTTCTGCACCATACATCTTTTCTGCACACTGCACTTTCTCTGCAAGTTTTATCACCTCTGTACCTTGCAACTTTTCTGAAGGAACATCAAATTTGGAAGTGGTAGACTTCCTTTGCCTTTGTGTTATCTGCTCTGCATTCACATCTTCATTGATTGAAGTGGGTATCCTTGGAGACATTGAGGTACCTATAAAAGGAGATGCTTGGTAACGTTTGGTTATTCTCCCTTTTCTAATTATGCAGTCTTCACCCATGTCTCTCCTTGTTTTCAGCTCCTTGCGCAATTTCCAGTGGGCCTCTCTCTCTGCTGGGGTACGATCATGGTCAATAAATATCATGTTATACTCAGAATGACTTCTCAGTTTCCTTGCCTTGGATAAAATTCCTTCTCTTGGTGCATCCACTTCGACAAGCAGCACTCTGGGCCTGGTTTTGTCCTGCATTTTATGTCCAAGCCTCACAGCCTGTCGGACAACAACATTTTCAATCATGAGTGCATTGCTGATAAGATTTTGTACAAATTGTCCATCATAATCACAGATCTGTTTAACAGTCTTTCACCATTTTTTGACGATTTGCCCCCCCCCCCACCCCCCACCCCAAAAAAAGATTGGCCACCAAAAATCTGCTCTTATCTGCACATGGAAAGAGTCCTGATTTTGTTAGCGCTCTTTGTGGATTGTTTTTATTGGCCGGGTTTATTACAGGAAATATCAAGACTATAGCGATTACTCTAGATCTAGGCGCGCTCGGCTGTTTTTGCTAAATTTAGAGGGATAGTTTGCAAGGTTCATCATGTGCAGGATTGGGTGATTACGAAAACACTTAGAGTAAAGTAGCCCGTTTTCGGCCACTTAAGACAAAATCCTATTTTTACGACCCTTTACTTCCTATTTATTATCATTTTTTGTTCAAATCATGAAGCAAATATTATTATTATTTAAACAAAACAAGAATCCCAGAAAAAAATCACGAATTGCCATGACAATATTCATTTCAATTTTCACTGTTTCGGAGTCAGTTTTCGGCATAGCGTACCAGTTTTCGGCCGCATGTACAAAGTCAATAGGAAGCGCGCGCACGCACCGTGCGTTTCCGCGCTGATCTATAGCACTAGCGGGCGGAGCAGATATCCCACGCCGGAGCTCCCCGGAGCTCGCCAGGCCGAAAACTAGTACTGTGGTGATCGGATATTGGAATCTGAATTAGACAGAGATATCGTGTGTGCGTTGCGGTGTGCGGCTGCATTGATTTAATACATGCGATGAGATACTTTTGAGCTTGCGACTAGCACAAAATCGGGCTCTAAATCTGAAAAATACTTGAAATAAACCTCATTTTATGGTACCCATATTTCTTACAGACACGCGTAAGATACTCAATTTTTCAGATTCGGGTAGCGGGACCGCCGATTACATCGCTAAAATGTGATATTTTAGGATATATTTTTCATTGCAAATGTGGTTCTTCAGTGACACTGGCATGGTATGGTATGTGTGGGATATGTGTTATGCTATTATGCAATGTATTTTAGAGTGATTTTACCTTGCATCCAACCAATCGGCCGAAAACTGGAGTTGGCCGATTACCGGCTCCTTTACTCTAAAGGTACTTAGTAACATTGTGATGGTTGATTTCACAAATCTGTTGAATCGGGATGCAAAACACATAAAATTATGTTTGTATGTATGGATTATCCGACTACGATGCCCGGAATCCGAAATAAATTCACGCAATATGAAGATTTTTAACAAAGTTCAACGGGTTTTTGAACGGGCGTCGATGTGCGGCGCTTCTGAATCTAACCCAACCCTTTTTCCATGAAAAAAAGACATAAAAACAGGTTATAAAAAAATCTGTCAACACTTAAATGTCTGGAATGGAATATATAGAGCCATTTTATTGCTTTGTGAGATTTCCATTCACCTAAAATGTAATTAAATTGTAATAATATAGTTGGAGAATTAAGGAATCGATCGGATCAGTTTTTCCCAATTTGTACCATGAATAATGGTCCGTTTTCGCTCAAATTTTCAGATTATCTTTAATTTTACATCTAGCATTGAAGCCACTGCCTTAGCACCACTATCTCTCATCTGAACAATATTACAAAGTCCCTTTAAGATTTTGTTTACACAACTCTTCAAACAGGCAAATTGATGTCAATTAAGGCTTGGTGATATCAATATCTCATTTCATATTTAATATCACCAAGCCCTAAAGGCTAGACTGCCTTAGGTGATAGATCAACCTCTCATAGCAGCCTCACGGCTTTTGGAATTTTACTCAAAATTAACATTTCTTACCGGTATTGACACCTGAATATAATAATATAAGCCGATGCTAAAAGCAATATAATCATCATGTAGTTGTACCAAAGAGACCTACTCAAAATAAGTTTTATGATACTTTTATTGATTTTTTTCTTTTCTTTGTCACCTCATTCAGACATGATCCTGTTGCTAATTATAGCATTTCCAGTTCTACTGGCTATGGTGCTGTTCATGGCTCTTCGGCAAAAAGTTGAGAATGTGCGCCATTCCAAACTAACTCATCTTTCTAAGCCAGGTCCAGATGGGAAGAAACCCATCACTATTGGATTCTTTCATCCCTACTGTAATGCTGGTGGAGGTGGAGAGAGGGTATTATGGTGTGCAATCAGAGCTTTACAAACCAGGTACATATCGTTTAAAGAGAAGGTTGAGTTCTGGGAAGAGGTGAAAAATAATTTGTGAACATTACTCATTCTTATTATGCAAGTATGGAAGAACATCAGTTAAGACATGTTCCCAGAAAAGCATGGCTCTTCAAATGCCTTCATATTCTAAATATGCATGTAACATCGTAAAAATCGGGGGCCGGCTTTTTACGCCACGTGTTCGTGTAGTCCCATATACATCTTTCTGTGCAAGTGTTTGTAACTTTACCAAGACTTCGCCACATTTCTTATCATTTTGATGATTCCAGAACCTTGCAATACACACAAATTCTTATATGCTAGATGATCAACCTTTTCTGGTCGGTTCCACACCGTTTCTTTCACAATGCAATCGCATGACCAGAACTCCACTTCATCTTTAAAACAAAACCTATCAGTACGTTTCTTAACCCCAACCACAGATTTGAAGGATAATACAGGTTTTCTGTGTATATTTCATTCTGAATAAAACGGACAAATTATCTCCCTGTACAACATGAGAATAAAGGAAAGATTTAATCAATGGAATGAATTTAGATATGGGACTCTACCAGAAGATTTTCCTGAATTTGATGAAGTGCTAGAGTTTCTGCTCTTCCTAATTTAAAGGTACCGGTAATGCAAAGTTTGGGGAAATTTTGAAAACGGATGGCTAGTAATTCTTTATAATTTTGATATAATTTGATGCATCTGCCTTTGAGAAAATTGAATAATCATAATTTACCGGTGCTCCCAGGAAATTTCAAATATTTCAAATAGCGCCTAAGGACATTCCATGGTAGCTACGACCATGACAATCTCAGAATATGCAGTTCTGATATATAATTTTCAAACAGGAAAAGCAAATCGGTCCATTATAGTCAAGAAACATTTTTTTAAAGCTATAGTAATATCAGTCTTGAGAGGGAGCTATACAACATAAAGAGTTATTATTTACAATTTCATATCTTTAGACTCAATTTGAACCGCAACAACGATCATTGAATATTTTTAAATCGCATATGCTTCCAATATGTTCATTTGAACTGAATTCATGACCCCATACCAAAACTTTGTATTACCTTTAACTAGTTGAATAAATACTACGGTGTGCCAAACTAACACTGGAAAACACTCTGTCCCTCAGATAGTAGTAGGGGGATACCCCAGTGTAGTGATCCACCTGCACATCCCAATCAGTTGTAGGGACCTGTCAGTTGCAGTTCGCTTTTCCCCTCCCAGGCACAGGTGATGCCAAATACTTAGTAATAATGAAGAAAATGGGTTTGCCACCATAAATTTACTGGCTGTTTTTGATAAAAAATCATGAAAGGTTAACAACTTATTATTTATTTGCTATTCATCGTTAATGCTTGTATTGTTTTCATTTATTTTTTTGTACCATACAGATATCCTCATATTCAGTGTGTAGTGTACTCTGGAGACATAGATGCAACAGGGAAGGAGATTGTAGAGAAAGCTAAGCAGAGATTCAACCTTACCCTTCCCAGACCTGTAGAGTTTGTGTTCCTAACCAACCGATTCCTTGTTGAAGCCAAGACCTACCCATTCCTAACTCTTCTTGGGCAGAGCTTGGGTTCTATGCTTCTAGGAATGGAAGCCTTGTTCAAATTTGTGCCTGATGTGTACATAGACACCATGGGGTATGCCTTCACATTGCCCTTGTTTCGCTTTCTTGCAAAGTGCAGGGTCGGTTGCTATGTCCACTACCCAACCATCAGCACAGACATGTTGTCAAGAGTAGCTGCAGGTACTGTTTCATACAACAACCCAGGATTTGTGGCACGCAACCCAGTACTCCGCAAGCTCAAGATCCTATATTACAAGGCGTTTGCTTTCATCTACGGACTAATGGGTGCAAGATCGGATGTGGTCATGGTGAACTCGTCTTGGACTCATGGCCATATCAATGAAATCTGGGGAGCTTCCACTGGACCTAGCATTGTTTATCCACCATGTGATACCAAAGAATTCACAAGTCTAAAAATCATTCCTGATGAAGAGAAAACCACCAAAGTCATTGCGTCGGTGGCGCAGTTTCGTCCTGAAAAAGACCACGCGCTGCAAGTGAAATCCTTCTCCAATTTAATGAATAAACTCTCGGTGGATGAAAAGAGTGTGGTGAGACTGGAGCTGATCGGGGGCTGTCGCAATGCTGGAGACGAGAGTAGAGTAGCTGATCTGAGGGCGCTGGCTTCATCTCTGGGTGTTGCAGATCATGTAGACTTTCTGCTTAATATTCCATTTGAAGATCTCAAGTCACATCTAGCTGGGGCCACAATAGGACTACACTCCATGTGGAATGAACATTTTGGCATCGGTAATAAAAGTTGTTGCTCTTCTTTCTTTCTTTTTTTCTTATTTCTATCTTCTGCCTCCCCATTTATTCAATGTTATCTCCCTATCTTTTAAAATGTGTTTGGTCACTGTAGTAAAGGTTGGCTGTAATTATTTCAACACATTGCTGTTGAAATATCTTTTGGGATTTATATTCTGTTATTTTATAATGCAACTTTTTGTCAATACACTAAGCTGAAGAGGTCCAACATTTTTAGATAAAAGTAATTATATCACCAAGTAATACAATTAATGGAAATGAAATGTTATGAATCCATAAAGGAAATTTATCCAGATTCTTGCGTTTAATTTTCCATGATTGAAATTCACACAATGACACATAAACACCCTTTTCTCCATAAGTCCAAGTGATATAGACTGTGAGGGCATTGTATGCGTTAATCATAAGATGTGTAAACGGGTGTAGCCTATGAAAGTTTGCTAATAGCTAACACAATTCTGCTTCAGAAATTTGATCCATGATATTGACACTAGCCATTGAACAGGTGTTCATATTTAATCACAACTGTTTACTATCATTACATATAATTGCATACCGGTAGATTAGATGGGTGTGTTGTGCTCTTGCTCCTTCAGAATAGACTCTGTGCATAGAAGATCATACTGATTTTGAATGAAGTTTCATAAACATTGTAGAATATTACCTTTTAGTGTAGTTTCTTCAGTATGGCTATGATGATTACTCCTTTATATATTTTTTTCTTCATTTTTACACATCTTTACTTACACAGGTGTGGTAGAGTGTATGGCAGCTGGTAACATCATTGTTGCCCACAACTCTGGGGGTCCTAGGATGGACATCGTGGTCCCTCACCAAGACCAGCCAACAGGGTTTTAGCTGACACCGAAGAGGGTTATGCTGACACCATGCTGAAAATTCTAAGAATGACCTCTGAAGAAAGGATGAAGATTAGACTCGCTGCCAGGAGTTCTGTCGATAGATTCTCTGAGAAGGAGTTTGAAAAATCTTTCCTTGCAGCTTCAGAAAAACTTTTTGATTAGTTTATGAACAATGTTTTAATAATTTATTATCAAAGCTATATAGTAATACTTCTATTTTTTAAGATTTCTGTTTGTGTAATTGACTACAGAGACCTGATAATTTGTCAGAGAAATTGATTCTTATGGTTTTATCGATAATTTCAATTTATATAAAGAAGAGAAATGATTAACAATTATTATCTAATTACTTTTCTTTGATTTATTGAAAAGCATCAATGCTCATAATGTGATTTTGATTGTAATTGACTATGTTTTGACTCTCATTGCATGAGAATCACCCAGGCCAGGAATTGTATTACTACTCCTGCTACTACTACTACTCTTACTATATCTTGTGTACCCAGGGTAGCCTCATCAGTGATTATTACTGTTCTTCCTCAGTGTCCTGAATATTCCAAGTATTACCATTGCTTTAGCATGATTACCATGCAGTGCAAACAAAATATACACAGGAACTGAGAGTAATGTTTGTTTGTTTGTTTGTTTTATTTCCGTATAAAAGACATCATGCATTCAGTAATATAATAACAAATAGAATAATGAATAACAAGATAAAATAAATGGCTGGATAGCCCATATTCAGCGGTATCATTATGATACCGCTGGTCTTCCATGGGGACCAGCTTCTATGGGACCAGTTTCTATGGGAAATTTAAAAACCTTGAGTCATGTTTTGAGTGAAATATAAACGTTGCTACTTACTACCAAGGAATTCTTCCTTTTTTCTTCTAACAAAAATATAGGAGCAAACGGGTTAAAATTTAGACTCAATTATATATATGTATATATATATATATATATATATACATACACATTCTGCATGAAATTGAATGGTTGAAGTGCCTGAATCAAAATTGAATAAAGACAATTATCAACCGTATCAGACATCTGAGCAGGGCAATTTTCGAATGTTATTGCCCTCAAGGTTTAATGGATAAGCCAACAAAACTACAGGCGAAAAAAATATTATTGACTGCTCAGAAAAGTCATGTGTAATTTGCCGGTCAATAATATTATACCGTAAACCAATGAACAAATATTATTGCCCGATCTTAAAAGTCAATGGGAAAATGTGTGTCAAACTAGTGTGCAATAATGTAGATCCAATTGTAATTTTCATTGCGCATCTATTATGCGTATGGAAAAATGCGCACTTTATTGCGATGTAATAATCACACCCAAGGCACACTGTTTGCAGTGTATCTAAAATTTTGTCAAGCACTGGATGCACAGTGCTGGTATTACAATGTTTTTGCAACTTTTCAAGCTAGGAAACCCTGTGCAGTGTAGGCTACTGTATTTTACATAAGTTAAGAGTATAATTATGATAATAAGAGTTTCTTGTTTGCTCTAGATGTCTGATGTGGTTAATAATAGTAATATTGACTGCCTAATTCAGGGCAATACAACTTGTCATATATCACCCTCACCTTCGGTGCGGGCGATATATTACTTCATTGCTGGTTACATTCCATGGAATATGTAAAATCTATATTTAAGTGTGCACTATTCTTCTGATTATCTCTTTTAGTATTTCTAAATTTTGATAAAACTCTTCCCATTTGTGCTAATCTCAAAATCAAACATATAGATGCATTTAAAAAAAAATATAAACCCATATTCAAAATAAGTTTACAGAAAATATATATATATTATATCAATGGACTAACTCTACCTGGCCTAAAATTACTGTGTGTTATGAATACTGGCCAGAATTATTTTGGAAGAAATCAACCAAACAGGAGAATATATAACTTCAGAATTTTAACAAATAAATTGCAATTGATTCTCATCAATTTAGTTTAGTAATGAACATTGAAATGTCAAGAACTTGTCATCTTAAGAAAACTGCCATTTATTATGAAGGAAAAAAAAATATGTTGCTAATCAATTCTTATTTATATACGTCTGTGCACCAGTATTTAGAATTTGCAGCTCATTACACTCTGATACTATCATGATTTATTTGTCATATTTGAATTACAAAAATGAATAAAATACACCAATGTCAATTGTTATTGATGTACATATGTTGCTGTTGTGTTAAGTTGTTATGTTAGGTCTTAGTTCTCCTTTAAAGAATTACATACTTCTGAAGGTTTTAAAAAAAAAAAAAAAAAAAAAAAATATATATATATATATATATATATATATATATCTAAAAAACACAAGGACAAGTCCACTCGAAAAATAACTTACTTTCAATAAAAGCAGAAAAATCAGACAAACCAATCAAAAAAAGTTTGAGCAAAATCGGATAACTATTAAGAAAGTTATGAATTTTTGAAAAAGTATATAAAACTATGGAACAATGAGAATCACAACACAAATTGCCAAGATGGTTATCAGTTTGTGATGTCATGTTGTCACTATTTATCAATTGCTCTATATGGTTTAATCCCATTAATTTCCCTTTTTATTCCCCAAAACTTAATTTCCCTATGCCTTTGCCCAGGTTATATGATTTGTATCCTATTGCGTGCATGACATTTCACAAAATCTTTTATGTATTTTGAAGAATTTATATTATTTTCTGAATATTGTATATTCATATTTATTGATTTTCATATAAATAGTTTACCAAAATTCACATTTTTCATGATTTAACTGGAAAAAATTAATCTATATTAGTGCATCCACACAAAAACATATCACTATTAATCTAACTTGGATGTTGGTGTGAAGAAATAAGATTCTTAAGGAGAAAATAGGAAATTTATATCATTAATATAAAGAAAATAATTGGTGGATAGTGAGGACATGATGTCACAAACTCATGAGTGGGTTGCCAATTTGTCTAGTGATTTTCAAAGTTTTTAATGTCATTCAAAATTCATAACTTTCTTATTAGTTATCCGATCTTGCTCAGACTTTTTTTGATCGGTTAGTCTGATATTTCTGCTTCTATTGAAAGTAAGTTATTTTTGGAGTGGACTTGGGCTTTAAAGATAAAGACCAGTTATGGTCATGCGATTGCATTGTGAAAGAAACGTGGAATCGATCAGAAAAGGTTGATCATCTAGCATAGTATTGTGTACTGCAAGGTTCTGGAATCATCAAAATGATAAGAAATTTGACCCAGTCTTCGTAAAGTTACAAGCACGGTACACAGAAATATGTATTTGGGACTACGCACACGTGCGTGACACGTGCGTTTATCTCTCACACACCAATAGATAAACGAATTTACCAAATATATCAATTAGTAGGCGGTTTCCTGGCAAAATTTGTATCATCATGTATTAGCCGAAAGCATATTCTTTCACATGATTGGGAATGAGAGCTTCCATTTCATTTTTTGAAATTTGGGCATTTCTAATACTAGTCTTTACCTTTAACAAACTTTGTTTTGACTAAAAGAAACATGGTGAAAGTGAGGAAACTTGGAAGAAGATTCACCATGTTGAGCAATTCTATTGGTTGATCAAGTTACCCCCCAAAAACTGATGTTTTTTTATTTAGTTCGGCATTCTTTATGTTCTGACAAATACAGTTCAAGTCTCAAATCCCACCTTGATTAGTAACTCCAGTCATCTAGGCCAATCATTTAGGCCAAAGTGAATTACCCACACAAATACATTTGACCATGCATACAAATTGATATCTCTAAGCTACTTGATTATCCTATCATAAAAATGATATTAAAAATATTCACAGTAGGAAATTCTGAAATGGAAAGAATGAGAGGAATTGAATGGGGAAACTGAAAATGATGGAGAGAGGAGGGAGGAGGCATGGCAGAGAGGGGGAGTTTGGATAAAAGAGACATTAAAGATTGATCTCATTTTATTCATCAAGTATGTGCATATTTATTTCATGAAATAAATGTAGCAATATTTAACAGGATGACCGAAAGCTTATATTACAAATGTCAAATGAGGTCCTGATAATAAAGTTTAGATAATTGATTTAAGTCACTGGTATTCTTTTTAAAAGACGGTTATAATATAACACGTAAGCAAGTCATAACTTTTTGAAAACGTGGGAATTTTTTCGGGCAATGTTTACAAACAAAGCGCGCAACCGCGCGCTCACCGGCGGGAGAGGTTAATGAACTTTGTTCTGGGAACTTGAAAGCTGACGTCATCACAGTACAGAAAAGCTCGCAGTTCAGCATGGCCGACTTCGATATGATCACGTATGAAGATGATGAGGAAAATAGCAATTATCCTGATGATGCAGCATTAAACATGGTACCTGATCCGATTTTCATCAGAGGGACAGGGCATATAACTATGTGAGTCATTATTAATGTTTCAAAACTGCGTGTCATTGACAGAATCAGTCTCTCAATTCGTTGTTGATTTCCATGTTATTGTTTCATTTGTTGTTCGTCCATTGTCTCGTTTCTACATGCATTGGAATGAGTACAGGCACCGGCACACACAGGTCTATGTGCTCCGGAGCTGAGCAGGCTAGTTTTTCTCTCTGTTTTGCGTGCCATGCCATGGTATGCATGGTACTGACTACTGGGCTACCAGCATTTTGATGTAGACAATCATGGAGAAACGTTGGCGCTTGTTCAGAAACCTATCCAAAATTTGACCTGTAACTCCGGCGTGGAGACACCCTACTAAAACATACCCAAAATGAAGTAAATATTTATTAAATGTCCAAATAAAGATCATGAGTTAAGATTTTTATGTTATTTTTCGGGAAAACGATGATATTAGTATACACTTTTTCACAGGTTTCACGGCAAACCGCTTCACAATACAAGTGCATACCGATGGTGGGTTGCGGACAGGCGCATGTCTAGCCCGCAACCCAGTAGGGTATCTCCACGCCGGAGTTACGGGTCAAATTTTGGATAGGTTTCACTTTCTGAGCAAGCGCGGAAACGTTGACGTAATTTGTAATGTAAAAACCAACTCATGGACTCAACAATTATCCCTGAGTGAAAGTTAGTCCATGGACCATGATAAATCATTACATTTTTTGTCTCAATCATGTCTGTAGAAGTTCATATTCATAAATCATTCATAATCATAGATTAAAATAATTTGACTGATTATTTTTGAAAAAACAGAACTTTGAGTTTAAAAACGTTAAACAGTCGTGACACGGTGACGGTAGAGTGTAGAGTAGACCTAGACATGGATCTCTATATGCTAGTTTCTTGTACATTTTCAATAGTAGCCTATTCAATAGTTTTAATTACTAAATTTTACCAAATTAATATCCTTTGGTCAGAAACACATTCATTAAGTAAGATTTAGATCTAGATGAGACTGGGATTAATTTTGTATTTTTGGATGGATGTAGAAATATATCCTTAATTTGTTTTTAATGTTCTTTTAAATGCTGCCATTTTTCCTGAATCATTTTTATAATTTTCCTTTTAAAAAAAAGAAAAAAGAACAAAATGTGCAAAAAGTATTTTGTATGTAACTGGAAACCTGATATAAAGTGGAGACTGTAGTATCAATAAAAAGCGCAAGTATTCAATTAAAGCAGCATAAATGTTTCTTATTATTTATAGTGGAGAATGTTAATTTTTTCTTCTCTTTCGTCATTTGTTTTCTTTACAGATTTGGGTTGAGCAATAAATTTGAGACAGAATTCCCACAAGAGCTTGCAGCTAAGGTGAGAATCGTATCCTTCTGCTGAGGATTTTTCTTTTTCTTTCAGGGATTGTCAGCTTTGAGCCAGAAGAGCAGTGTTTAACTCTTCGTAGAAGTACATGAGTTGAGTTTGAAAATGAGTTTGTAGCACAAAGTACATGTATTTATGATCTAGAAACAATATTAGATCCCGGTGCACAATAACAGGTTCAAAATCCTAGTGTCTGTAGAGAATGGTAGAAAAGCAAGTTCTTTGCATGATCTCGGCATTCATCAGGATGTTAACACAGATATTTTTAAAGTTTAACTTTAAACACATGTATTATTTATTGTGAAAAGTATTTCCATGTACATGTAGCTCTTTTTAGTAGTAATGTATTAATTGTTCATAATTGGAGGTGGTGGATCATCGTCTAGCTCTCATGACATTCGCCATGCGCCTGAGTCGAGTCCTACACTGAGCAGACAAAAATGCAAAAAATTATTGTCTCCGCATTGTGTGTAAGCCCGCCCCTCCCCGTTCCTCGGACTAGAACGTTAACTGGAAGCCCCTGTGTGGGAGAGTCACACCCTATGCACTTAAATACCCTATACTTCTTGCAAACATGAGGGTGTAATCCCCTGATTAATGTACCTGCATTAAAAAAATTACAGATCTTAGTGATAGGCTGCATAGCCCTTTGAAGATAATACAAGAAGAAGAAGAATATGTATATTTTTATAATTTCCATAGATTTCAATTACTGTTCTAGTTTTGTCCCAGTTAATTTTTATGGCTCTCTTGTCTCTTCTCACAACGACTTCACTTTTTTCCTTCCTCTTCTCTGTACAAAACCACAGGTTGCTCCTGAAGAGTACAAGTCCTCGATCACAAAAATGAACAGTATACTACATAAAACTATGTCTATGAACCTCAAATGGTTAATATGTGGATGCTTATGCTGTTGTTGTACTTTAGGCTGTTCTGTTTGGCCAGTTCTGTGGCTAACAAAACGGGTGAGTAAGGTGTTTAATTTCATAAATTTTAATTTTTACTTTTTTCCTTGAGCTGTAACCTTTCCCTCTGTGTTTGTGTTTGAGACTCATGCATTTGCAATAAGTCTTTCTCTTCCTCTATTTGTTATCTTTCAGTGTGCTTATTTTATCATGTTCTGTTGAAGATATATTTCAAATGGTTTACAAATGAAAGTTCTATAGGCCATAGCATACTTACGGTAGTTTTCAGGTTAGATTGCTAATCTTATCTCTCAATTATTGCTTGTGTTTATTTTGTATGTGTGTTTATTACTCTTACACTGTATGGTTTTATTCGACAAGCTATTTTGCATGGACTTTGTCCAATGTACATTTAGTGATTACTTTAACAGGTTTTCTTTGTTTTGGAGCAAGTCCAAGGTAATTTTCCCCTTACATTACTGAGTACATAGTATTTCCGATGGTCATATCTAGTTGATAGCCATACTGGATCAGATCAAACATACAAAATAAACAATATACATTTATAAAGTGCAAATAATATTCAAATATATTCTACTGCACTCTAAGAGCTCCTGATGTGCTTAAATCTACAACAACAAAATGTTAAATGAAGAGATCTTATTTTAGTTTTTTATTTCAAAATACTTTCCTCATTTTTAATGGTAAGTCATTCCACAGGTTTGGGCCTGCGCATGCAAATGCTTGACCTCCCATAGTTATTGTTTTATGTGATGGGGTTTGCAATAATAGAGTATCTTGTGAGCTGTGCAGATTGTGAGTGTACTTGTGAGACTTGAGTTTTGACATTTCTACAATATAACCAGGGGCTTAAATAATGACACTGTTTAAATTTGTGTGTAGTTTCTATTATTTTTGGCACCGTAAACCATAGACTTGCCAGTTTTTAGAATGACTCGACACAATAATTATCTTCGATGATGGATTCCAATAAGCTAACCCAAAGCATGCTCCCTCGGCAAAATGTATTTTCCTGAAAGTGATATTTTACACTAGGTATTATGTGACATTTCAACATGCATAATTTGTCAGGCATTGGTTAACCAAATGGAGGAGAAAAACTATGAATAGCAAAAGAAGGGGGAAAATTTATCTAATCTTACTCTATTAGTTAAAGCAAAGTTATTGATTCTGTCAGTATTCATCGATGGAATACCTACTACCCGGTACTATACTATATCTGAAACAATATACTTGTGATAATGAATTAAGCCACTCCCATGATCACTTTTGACCAAAGAACATTTTTAGTGTCGTAAACTCGCTTGTGAATTATAGGAAATATTTTGTTTTTTCTGTTTCTGACAGACGAGGCACATGATCGAGAAGTCATTAGATTGGGAAAACAGCAGATTGTACTACAAACTTGGTCTCCATTGGACGTTATGTAAAGAGCAGTGTGAATCAAGTAACATGAAAGAATATGTAAGTATGCAGTGTAGACACAGTCACAGATGTTTGGGGTGGAGTGGGGGGGGGGGGGGGGGGTAGTGATGAAAGAGAGAAATAATGTTCAGATTTGATATTACCAAATGGAGACAGCTGTTCTTTATCTTGCTTATATTATACTGAGAGCAAAACTAAAAGTGTCCTACAGGTACGTGTTGGCCAGTTGACTTTAAAAAACATATTAAGAAACTGTTTTTAGTGATAACATGTCAGGAAAAAGAAAAAGTGCAATGAAAGGAGCTTTTTCTTCTCCCTTTTTTCTTCAGATTTAACTTCTTAAAGCCCCACTATCCTACATATACTTGTAGCTACTTGCTCCCTCTATATAGAAAACTTCCCCAATCGGTGCCTGTTGGTCCCCCATGATCCGCCTTTTCTCATGTTAGTTGAGAGCTGAGTTAATGAGATAGCCACCTGTCAGTGACGTTGCTGTGTGGTCTAATCCCTTCTGGCCCAGTAGTATTGACGGTCTTTAAGAGACGTTTTTTCATATACTCCCCATGCTATGATTATTTACAAACTACTACACTCTTAAATCAAAGTGCTGAACACTTTCTATATTGGATTGGAGAAGGGACATATCTACATGTATATAAGATTGATGTGATGATATACTGTAGTATCAAACTTCTGTAGTGAATTAGTGACAGTTGGTCACATTGATGTTTTGATCAACATTCAACTTTTTGTAGCATCTAGTCCATTATATATTATGTGCAGTATTGCTTAGGAGTATTACAAAGAAAGATGACTTAAATGGTATTCAGACAGGAGTAATAAACAGTTTTCTCCTTTACAATGCATTATTAACCCCTCCCCTGACACTCTCTCTCTCACGCTTTTGTCTTCTGTCATATCTGTTTGATTTTCAGGTTCTCAAGATAGAATTTGTTCCAAGGCTGAATATACTCAAACCAGACTGATACAATGAACGCAAGAAACCGATTGAAAGTAATCTTATTTAATTACCCTTGACAGTAGCTGACACTAAAGATATCATTATGAAATTATGTAAAGTAAATAGTATGTATATATGAAATACAAGTACATAGATCATATGAAATCCATGTGTAAATGTGTCAGTATTATTTGCCAAATAAGTTTTATTTGGTCATTTGTTTGTCCTTTTTTTAAGAAAAAAATATTATTGCTGCAATGCTGTATTTAATATCCCAATTGTAGTACATTTATTTGTCCAATGCACAATTGGTAATGAGATGAGGTGTATATTTTACAAGTAACCTACTGAATGTTGCATGTTATTTGATGACATGCATATTATAACATTTGTTTAAATGTTGTTATAATAAACTAATATGATATCATGGGTTATATCCAATTTGAGATTAATTAGCAATCATATCTTTACATCATTTTATGAGTAATCGATAAATGTTTGATGTATATATGCTCATTTGCTTACATGAAGAATGGGAAAAAAGGGTTTTATGTTATGGTATAACAATGATTGAGAGTGTGCGTCACAATGTGAAACCTTTCTCAGCAGGTGTTATATTTGAATTGAAGGGAGGAATCCTAATTCTATTTTCATCTACTCTATACTATACCCTCAATATATTTGATACATCCCAACATCCAAGGTGTGTGAATGAATTACATGTGTACAAAAATATTCATGGATGTATATATTTGTATTTCCAATATTCATATACATGTAGCCATATACCATCAAAATCAATACTATTGATGAACTAGTTGTATCTTTAATTGCAAACAATTGTATGAATCAAAATATTATTCATAGATAGAAATCCCTTTCACATGTGTTTTATCACGGACATATATCTTAGTCTTAATCCGCTCCTCTTGCGATTTTGTCTAAATCAGTTCGATTGTGATTCCTTTTGTTGCAGAAAGTTACTAATGAAAAGAAATTACAATATGCTTTTCAAATTACCAAAACGTATTTAACACAAGACATTTGATTATGAATGTTATATGATTTCCGTCCCAATTGTGTGTGATATATCCTTTCCCCTTTATAAACTAATCCAAGAGACCAAACTGCCTAAGCCTCATTCACATTTGATGGGATAAACTTCCTCAGAAAACATAACAATTTTGCATGTCAGTGTAACAATGGCCTCTAAGCGTACTCGGCCGTATGTTGTAAGGTACAGAAATGTCAAGCGTACTATGCTTACATAGAAAACTTTCAGTGGTTGGGTAGATCATAATCTGTAATTTAGGCTTCTACCAACTTTAACATTTAGTAGGCGAGCTTTCATTTCACCTATTTGGACTCTCTCAAGCCAAGTGCTTCTTCACATAGTTTCTTGCTATCAGTCTGAGTCCTATTTAGTGCAAGGTTGATCTTTAGATCTGCATGGATGTTTAAGGAGTTTTTTTTCTTCTTTACATTCATCATGTATGAAGTTGAACGAGGCCTTATTGTCGTTAATACCAGTGAATGTAATGTTCATAGGTCTTGGCTAAGGTGCCTCAAAAATGTTATTTTAATGACAAGGGACTTTATTTTTAAAAGGAAATGATTTACTCAGACTTCTTTTTCACCTTATCTTGGTATATTGTTGATAAGAACATTATGTACAATTTAGAATTGATCCTAGGAATTACAGACTTTTATTCTTCCCTTCTCTACCTCTGCTAGTTAAAGACATTTACTTACAAAATTGAAATGCAATGTGTTAAGAATTAGATTTATGCTTGTGTGTACTGGATAATACTGAAATGTGCCAGGGAGGGGGGGGGGGTAGTTTAATTGACCTAACGTCCAGGTTTCCGTAGTGTTGAATTTGTTAGCACTGTATGTGAAAAGATTCTAAATGACAAAAATTCATGTAAAATATTGCTTCCATAGTATGTAATTGACTTGAGACTGCAAGTTGCGTGTATCTCGTAAAGTGAGTTGGAATTTTCATGATTATATATTTCAATTTTGTCATATTAGCTATCCCTTGTCTCATTTCTTCCATTTAAATGTAGACCTAGGTCTTTAACAGTCTGTGATAATAACTGTTTAATTGTGAAAGAGAATACCCTGAAATTGTATAACTCAGATCTGCCAATTGAGCAAACTGGTCAATTTTGTGTCAAAATCTCATTCTGGCATAGAATTAAAGACCGATGTATAAGTAATGGCAAATTGTAATAGACCGGTAATTTCCAGATCTAATGATCTTGATGATGACCCTCATTTTGTAGGCATGTAGGGTATCATGGTTTAGACTTTTTCTTTTCATTTTCTGTCAAATCATGACAATTGGTAATTAAACCCACTCTTAGCTGGACCTCACGGCCATGATGGATGCTCGCAGTATTTTATTTCTTGAAAAACATAGATGAGTTAACCATTTATGTACTTTTGAACATTTTATAAGGGATGGTGTAATTTTCTCTCATGTTCTATGACATTGGAGAAAATCTCTTCTCCTCAGTTATCTACCCCCTCTGAAATTAACAAAATATACCGGTAACTTTCAAATACTAGCTATGTACATGTATGGGAGAGGGGTTCATTGAAATGGTGGAAGTTACCGTTATCTATAAACAGTCATGTGTCCTAGAGGGTTATGATGTCCTGGCTTTGGGGTAGTTGTGTGAGAGAATTGTTTCATGAGTATTTAAATGCTGAAGGGTAGTGGACTAGTGGTACTAGTTGTTTTCTGCAGTATACCATTTGAGGGGGTAGTAGCTAGTCCTAAAATCCTCAAAAACGTTCTGTTTTTCAGAGTCATTTATCAGGTTACAATTTGGAACAGAATAATTATCTTTGATTCAAGGGGAAAGATAGGAAATAATGAAAACTGTACTTATCGAAAGATGAAGGATTTGTCCTTGGTTATATCAGGCCAAACTGTTTGAATTTATTTCTCAAACATTTATGAAAGGAGATGCACTTGTAAAAGCTTGGTGTTTATTATACATACCATACATACCAAATGCAAAGTCTATACATGTATTATACCAACATTGAATATACACCTATGCCTACAATAACTAATGGTTTTCAAACTTGCAAGATATTCAATTTCAAAGTGAAGATACATGTAATTATACTTTGACTTATCTTGAGATTGTTATCTGTGGTTTGTTGAGCATGGTGAGCGTCTCTAAAAAGGTGTGTGGCTGGAATGCTCCCCAGGGAGCGGAGATGGCAAGGGTACATACATTGTGGGTGGCCAAGCCTGAATGTGATGACCAGGGTAAGAATATTCCTGAGAAGCTTTGAAGAGACCTCATAGATGATTAAGCAACTATGTAATTAAAATATGTTGAGTACAGTCTAAGTGACACCAGGGTAATTTTACATGTAGGTCCATGGTTATTTCTTGTAAAGATGCTATGCTATGCAAAAGGTACATGTATTTGTAATTTTAGCCTTTTTCGTCTTGGGAAATAGTTTTGTGTTATGTAGATATTGCTGTTGTACTGTTAACAGAGAGATAATGGGATCTTTTCCTTTCATTCTAATCCATCATTTCATTCTTTTGGTACTCTGTAATTTGATTTAGAATGAAATTATAATAATTATTAGAGAATACAGTTTTGTTCTTTAGATACCTGAATATATTTGAAAAAAAGATATGCATTATCTTCTTATTGGCAGTTACTAGTCAAATGCAAAATATTCATTTTCCCACAGCATTATGTTATGTAAATGCATACAGTTTCAATCAAGATAAATCATAGTGTGAGAAAGAATATATATCTTTGTAAAACAATGATGCTAATAATGCACAAAACTAATGCCAATTTGAGAGGACATAATGACCTCACAAGAAAATTGTATGATTGGTGGTTATGATCTGCATGATAACCTCATTGAATACAGAGTGGTTTAAAGAGCAAAAAAAAAAAATATGATATCTAATGGCATGTTCTGCTTATGATAGAACCAAAGGAGAAGTACCTGTGAATTATTTTTAATTATAGTTTTATGGCATCTTATGATAAACTAATGCAATTTAGAAAAAATCATGGTTTGCATACGTTGTTACTTAATGAAGAAAAGAAATGTTAAGATACAATTTGTGTTACAGTCAACACTATTTTACTAAAATTTGCAATTATACAGTGTATGTTTGGCTCAGAACACTATTTTAGATCATAACAATAGTAATCTTTACATCTACTTTGAAATCTTTTGTAAATTGACATACCTGGTATATTTAAAAAAATATATAATTGGTATATTATTATGTTTCAAAATTAGAATGATGAGTCATAGTGACCTACACTTATTCCCCTATTCTGAAAGGTTAAACAAATTATGTTTGAAATGTTTTATAGAATAATTATGAAGAGATAGGGTTAGTAGCAAGCTGATGCAAATACCCATCTTTATTACTAAACTCAAGAATTGTGCTTACTCTTTGTTTCAAGAAGCAATAGTCGACATATTTTGTTTCCAATTATTTTCAACCTTGACTTTTGTTATTGTCTTACATGTATATAGTTATATGGGTTTATTATAGGTAAATGATTATGATTAGACCTCATGAAAACCCTGAATATTTATATGAAATAGAAATAAAAATCATGTGTTCTAATCTCCCCCAAGAAATATGAATACAGGTTCATTGATATACAATTTATGTACATGCAGTTATGTTTGTGCGCATCTATAGCTTCATGCAGTAACACCAATAAACAGCAGATACAATGTTATGCTCACTTGTCTCCATACGATCATTCTCTGTGTATATATAAACAACCAGATTATCTCCATTCTTGCCAAATTTACTGTCAATAGGTGCACTTAATTTTTAGTGATAATTATAGGCAGCTCTATAATAAGCTCTATGCAGATGCAAGTTTGCCGACAATAAGTCTGGCAATAACCATCACTTATGCAGTGTTATTCCCAGTTTGGCAAATAAGGTTTATTGCAATGCACAGAGAGGAAATGTTAGAATGAGAAAACGTAACTTTGTGGGCAGAGCTACATGGGAAGGTGAGAAGAGAGAGAGAAAGAATGGGGTGGGGTGTGAGAAGGATGAGACAGAAGTAAAAGACACAAGAATAAGAAGTACAATGATAACCATGACAATTAAAGAGAAAGGAATGTTGAGGGGAAGGAAAAGAGAGGGGGTGAGAGTGAGAACGGGAGAACCAAGACCGAGCTAGAGTTGTTGAATACTACAGAGACGGATCACAAGATTAATTAAAAAGGAGACCGTGTGAAGAGTGTGATCGAGGAAGAGTTCGATAAAGAGAGACCAGGGCGAAAGAGGTAGATGAGAGTGCATAAGAAGAGCCAAAAAGATGAAAGAAGAGACAGCGAGAAATTTGAAGGAGATATAGGACGAAGGTATATGAAGATTACAAGAACAAAAGAGAGAGAAAGAAAGATGAGGAGGGGGAGAGACCGGAGGCCCGGATGAATCCTTGGAGGAGATGGGGGGGGGGGGGGATCGAGGAAGATGGGGGCGAGGGATGAGCCGTTGGAAGTGTTCCCTGAAAAACGACGAAACGCAGTAAGAACCTGGGTAAGAACGTTCGAGATCACCTGGCCGAGGAGGACCGAGCGAGGTTGATTATCATGTGATCGTGAGTGAGCTGCGCTGAGCTGATGTTGCTTAACATGACGTCATCTTTATTTTGATTATTATACGAGCTCGACAGCGACATCGACGGACATCAAGTTATTTTTCTTTCACTAGCTTGAAAAGTGTGAATTTATTGTAAGTCTAAACTGTTCTATCAGTTCACTTTCATCATTCGTGACTGCTTTTTGTCCTTAATTTTGAGATACTTTTCTTCAAACAGAATCGTGTCAACATTGGACCACTGAGAATAAGGAAACGGGATGAATAAACAGTCCCATATGTCTTTTTTTGTGTTAGTTATTACTTGTCTCGGACTCCGACTGTAGTTTATTGCATTGTCTATCAATGCCGTTACCCACTCGTTAAACTTGTAAATTTGTTTGTATTTCATACATTCCAATGTGTATTTGTTTAGATGTAATGAGTAGTACAAACCTTTGTCCTTTTTGGTTTTTGTTTGGCTTTAAAAGGACTTTAAACTTAGATCTACATGTTTAAACTTAACTTTGTAAAACTTCTAATATTAGGGAGGCCAATGCCCGGGCGTAAGGCTTCTACACCTACGATTTGTGCGCTCGTCGCCCACTTCAAAAAATTAGCAAAGGGAAAAAAATGATGTAAAAATAAAAATTGAAGAAAATATGAAAAGAAAATACAATTATACATTTCACAACATACCTATAATCACGGATCTGTAACAGTCTTTCACCATTTGTTGACAATCTTGCAGATTTTGACGTTTTTTAATCCAATAATTGTGGTTGCAGACGACCTTGACGCACTCGCACCACCGACTAAGAAAATCCTAGAGGGCGTAGAGGTTTGCTCACTAAAAACCTTCTCATTGGCAGAAGGTAGACCCTAAAAATATGGGATCCGTTTTGAGTAAAGAACTTTTGATAGAGATCAACATTTCAGATGTTCACAATTGCCACTTCTAACAACTAGAAAATATAAAGAAAAAAGATTACATCTTTTTAAATACAGATTTTTACAAACTGAACATTCGAAAGTAGATAGAGTACGATGTTTCTGTCAATCTTGCGTTGGTTTGAGCCCTATAACTACATCCATCTCAAAATGAGAAGGAAAACGGTGAACAGTGACGTCATTGTTCGCGCCAGAAATAAAGGGTATTGCGACATAATCTGAGCTCCGGTCAGATCGTGCGCAAAGCGTAGTCTTATTTATAGACCCTAGTACCTTATTCTCACAGCACTAGATACGAGTGTCGTGCAGTAATGTATGAGAAGTGTTAAAAAAGATATTTCAGTAAAAAAAAAAGTCTACGTGAGCAGTCTATACTCCAATTGAGAATTGAAATGAAAGCCATGATTTGAAGGTGTGTGTTGTATAATACATGGTTAGTGAGTGTGTATGTTACGTATAGCGAAAGGGAGAGAGAGAGAGTGAGAGAAATATTAGTACACGTACGTTGCATGCATGGATGTGCGCTATGATTGTGTTCGCTGCAAGATGGATTTTAATTGGACCTCGTAACTTCTCGATCGTTGATAATAAGGAATACTCATGAGGAAATCAAATTATTGGAATACACATCAAAGGTAAATATCAATGAATTATATATATTTCTTTCCTTTTTTGAACCATCGTCTTCGGCTCGTAGTAGTAGAAGATGTAATCGTTCGCACATTGATGGCTGGACTTCAGCCTGCATCGGGGGTTGCCTGTGTCGGTGGAGGGATCAACTAAGACGAAGAAGGTGTGTACGTGTGCGACCGATTCAAGGCTAGCCGCTGTTGAGTGATTGCACTTTCGCGCGAAGTTTTAAACTTCATCATGAACTTTGTCCCTCGGGCCTGTCTAATTATGAACGTAACTTTGCGACATGAAATATAATTGTTTCAAGGCTCTTACGTACGGAAAGGCGTAGAAGGAATTGGCTACAAACCAGCTGGATATCTCCTATTTGATGGAACCTATGGAGTCGGCAGATGGGTGGATTTTCTTAGTGAAAGTAAATGCTTTCTTTTAATCTTAGTTTTAGTATAAACAAATTAGTAATTAAAAAGTTAGATTTGGGCATTGGCCTCCCTACTAATATGTATTTCATCCCACCATGAAACCTCACACTGATCATCCCATAAGATGATAGCTTCTACCTTTTAAACTTTCAAGCCAAGGTTTACTTTACATGCATGGTTTAGTTTTCAATTATTTTCGTTTTTATTTCAATTTGTTTATAAATCTACAAACAATCATCTAGAGTAAATTATAGCACAGTCTTGAAAATGCCTTTTTGTGAGTTGGAATGTTGGATCTCTCCTTACGGTCACTGCTGGCATAACCAGATGTTGACAGCAATATCTAATAAAAACTTGTAACTGATGCTGAAGTGGTGTGTGGTTCCGAATTTCAAAATGTACAACAGCAATGTGAACAACAAAATAGACTCTAAGCTACTCCAGTGCTACTGCTAGATACTCCTCAAGAATTTTGGTGACTTTCTTGCACTCACAATTTGGAATAGCTCAAGTATTCCATATCATACCTAGACCTATATAATCTGTAAATAAAGGAATACCTGCAGACTGCACTACACAATCTACAGAACTTGTAAGGAAATGATCTGAAGGATAGACGAAATGTGATTATTATTATTATTTTGTTTTTTTAATCTTTGCTTTTCTGAAATTACAGGTTAATTGGCTACACAAAATGGCAGAAGCAACTAGAATTACATACTCCTCTTTACATGAACCTGAAATAGAACATGAAGATGCAAAAGAGACCTTGAGGACATTGAAGAAATGCCATGACAAGGCTTATGCTGATATTCAGATAGCCTTGAGACAAGATGAACAATCCAAAAGAGAAGAGGCCATACGATTCTATACCATGGGGCTGAAGAGCATTGCCCAAGCAATGAAGATCAATTGCTCAGGTACGTATTGTGTAGGATCGCAATGGGACCATGCTAGAAACATGCAACAGAAGATGAAGAAGACGGCTGTTCAAATGAAGACCAGACTTGAATGTCTGGAACAGGAGCGGAGCTCAGACGCAACGGGTGCAGCTTGTGGGACCAACCAGGATGAAGTGGATACAGACATTCTAAGCATCTATGAGGAGAATAGTTCCTCTCTAAGTCTACCCTTGTATGCTCAGTCAACGACAGACGCCAGAGAGGTGTTGCACATTAAACATGGTGTCCAGCTCTTCTTCATCAACTCCAGCGGTCATGTGAGTGCACCTAGTACCCCAGGACCTCTCAAGATGTATAAGTTCCCAGAGGACCAGGCACTGGGACAGGACCAGCCTCCTGCATTCTTGCAGATAGGAGAGTGGCTGTACCCTCTCCTACCTGGCCAGTCTCCCTCTCTCAAGGCTGCTGACGGGGTCTATATGTTTCCTGATCTGAGCTCATTGGACAAGGGGGATAGTGTTGGTGTCATGTTCTCAGCACAAGTGTCAAAGTAAGAGTTAAATATTTGTAACAATTTCATAAAATAATATATAGTCAGGCGCGGATCCAGGATTTTCCAATAGGGGGGGCCGGAAATTTGAAAATTGCGCAGACAGTTTTTCAACTCAACATACCAATACTGACAAATTATTAGAAGCACCATACCGGTAATTTTTTTTGACATTTTCATCGGGGGGGGGGGGGGGCTGAAGCCTCTTGCCCGAAAAAGTAATTTTCTGGTTTCACAATTCGGCTAGTGAGCGAAGCGAGCGAGCAAAAATTTGAGGATAATATGTATTTTGTGAAAGTGTTATTTATCACCAAAATACACGAGAAAAGATATAACAAATTCATATTCGGGCAGCTCGCTGTCCCCTCCCCCCCCCCATTACGCGCGAAGCGCAGAAGCTTTAATGTTCATGAAATTATTAGAGAAAGAAGAGGATTCGTTGTACCGTTCTCGGTTGTTAATCGTAGTCTGAATTCAGTTTCCATACCCCCTCCCGCGCGAAGCGCGGAAGCTTTGACGTTTCATTAAATCATTAGAGAAAGAGTACCGTTCTCGACTCTTAATCCTTGTATGAATTGGGTCCCCCCCCTCCCCTCTCCCGCGCGAAGCGCGGAAGCTTTGACGTTTCATTAAATTATTAGAGAAAGAAGACGATTCGATGTACCGTTCTCGATTCTTAATCATTGTCTGAATTCAGTTTCCATACCCCCTCCCGCGCGAAGCGCGGAAGCTTTGACGTTTCATTAAATTATTAGAGAAAGAATACGATTCGTTGTACCGTTCTCGGTTGTTAATCATTGTCTGAATTCAGTTTCCATACCCCCTCTCGCGCGAAGCGCGGAAGCTTTGACGTTTCATTAAATCATTAGAGAAAGAGTACCGTTCTCGACTCTTAATCCTTGTATGAATTGAGTCCCCCCTTCCCTCTCCCGCGCGAAGCGCGGAAGTTTTGACGTTTCATTAAATTATTAGAGAAAGAAGACGATTCGTTGTACCGTTCTCGATTCTTAATCATTGTCTGAATTCAGTTTCTATACCCCCTCCCGCGCGAAGCGCGGAAGCTTTGACGTTTCATTAAATCATTAAAGAAGAGTACCGTTCTCGACTCTTAATCCTTGTATGAATTGAGTCCCCCCTTCCCTCTCCCGCGCGAAGCGCGGAAGCTTTGACGTTTCATTAAATTATTAGAGAAAGAAGACGATTCGTTGTACCGTTCTCGATTCTTAATCATTGTCTGAATTCAGTTTCTATACCCCCTCTCGCGCGAAGCGCGGAAGCTTTGATGTTTCATTAAATTATTAGAGAAAGAGTACTGTTCTCGACTCTTAATCCTTGTCTGAACTGAGTTCCCACCCTCTCTCTCTCGCGCGAAGCGCAGAAGCTTTGACGTTTCATTAAATTATTAGAGAAAGAAGACGATTCGTTGTTCCGTTCTTGGTTCTTAATCATTGCCTGAATTCAGTTTCCCCCCTCCGCGCAAAGCGCGGAAGCTTTGACGTTTCATTGAATTATTAGAGAAAGAAGATGATTTGTTGTACCATTCTCGACTCTTATTCCTTGTTTGAATTCATTTTCCACCTTCCGCGCGAGGCGCGGAAGCTCTGACCTTTCATAGTTTAATGAAATTATTAGAGAAAGAAGATAATTCGTTGTTCCATTCCCGACTCTTAATCCTTCTTTGAATTCAGTTTTCCCCTCCAGCGCAAAGTGCAGAAGCTTAACGTTTTATTAAATTATTCATTAAATTTATTCATTAAATTAGAAGATGATTTGTTGTCCCGTTTTAGACTTGTCAAAAATGTTTCTTTGTCTGCTCCTTTTTTCGTCCTATGTCCTCTTACTGCACCTACCGCCACTAGCTACGCATGCTTTAAAGGGAAAATGAAACAATCATGATTGTGATAGCATACAATTAGGTCAGTAGAAATGAAAGGGGAAAAAAGACCTATGTATACACCAACCATGAAATAATCGCGACCGGGAGCGTCATGTATCTTAGTTTTGTGTTATCGGGCGAGGGCCGGAGCGGAGCGACCAAGCGAGATTTTGCAATGTAGAATGCTGAAATTATGCATTCTAGAAAATCCTTTAGTCCAATATGTACGTTCTTTCCGTTACATGTATATTTCTTTCTAGCTATATATCTAAATTTCCGGGGGGACGTGTCTCTCTATCGGGCCCAGGATCGCCGTCCACCGCTGTCCATTATCACTACCTACATGAGTTCAAATATAAGCACAAGCGAGTTAGTATGAGCTGAATCCAAAAGAAGGGCAAAATAAGAATTGTGAAGCGGCCCTACCGTTAATTTAAAATTTGACTGTGAAGTATATAGCTTCTATTTGAAAGACATCCAAAACATTGTGCCCTTTTCAATTTTTTTCAAAAAGCAGGGGCTGTTTGTAACGTTTAACTTTGAATCTGTGGCTCGAGATTTTATGCGGCCGGCCCGGCCCCCTCTATTCAATAACGTTTCCCAAGCCTTCTGGAATGACCCCCAAATCTCCCGATTAGTTTTCCCTTATTCGTCGTTACTGTCACTTAGCGCCATTTCCTTGTCTTTCCCCCTTTCTCACCCGACTTTTCTCTTCCCCTTCCCACCCCCCCCCCACCCACTCAGTGTTATCTAGGGTATGCGCATGTATGTTCCCTCTCTTAGTTTGAAAGCACCCCTTTATCTTCGGTGTGTAGAGTCAGTGCGGGCCGGATTTGTGTGTATTACGGGCCGGACTTTGTTGCGTGAAAAGTAACCCTTCATCGGAAATTTTGGGAACACAAAATCGGTCCCTTCGACCCCGGAGTGGGAGTGAGGTGGGGGGGGGGGGATCTTCTTCTTTTTTTTTTTCTTTCTCTCTCTCCCTCTTCTTTCTTTTCTCTTCTCTTTTCTTTTCTCTTCTCCTTTCTTTTCTCTTCTCCTTTTTTTCTTCTCTTCTCCTTTCTTTTTTTTTCTTTTTTTTTGCGCCGCCAATAGGGGGGGCCGCGGCCGTTTCGGCCCCCCCCTGGATCCGCCACTGATAGTGGCACCTAATGACCTAAAGTTACATACATGTACCTAGATGATCAGTGTATAAAGCACTATCTTACATATTGTTCTCTAAAAATGAAAGGTGTTTTGTTTTTAGTAAAGGCATTTCATAATTTGTAAATTATTGTTATTACTGTTTCACTCTTTTGAATTAAGCATCTCCATTTTGTCAAGAATCATTCTCATACAGTTAGAAAAGATTTGAATCATCAGCAATTTATCATGATGTATGTGTCATTTGGTCTTCTCTCTTACACTTCATCCTTTTTTTATTTATAAGTAATTATCATTTTTAAAAAATATGGATTTATATTATGTTTTTATATTTTATATGGAAAATAAAACCCAAACAAACCAAAAGTTGATATCCTGATCTATTGATTTTTTTTTTGCCTTCTCTTTGTCAGATCTGAGAAATTGAAATTCCAGCAGCTCATTGAACAGCTGACTGCCATGAAAGAAGAGGAGATACCTTCAGTGCAGGAGGCTGCAGCATCACAGGTACCGAGTGTGAATCACAGGGTACCGAGTGTGGATCACAGGGCACCGTCTGAACGGACTGATGAAAGGGAGATGAATGAGGAGGCTATGGACACCCAAGAAGAAGGACAGAAATCTCGAGATGTCAGTCAGAAGATTGCAAAGGGCCTTGAAGTTGGTATGAGAGCTTCTATTTAGTTGTTGATTAGGCCTATGCATTATCATGCTATGAATTTCTTGTTTTATTGTGTAATATCCTACACAATATATTTAAGTAGGGAGGGCTACCTATTTCTGTTTTCCTTCCAATATAAAAGTATATTGACATAGGGCCTCTTACATCAAAGTATTGATATAAACTTTTTCCTTTCTTTTGAGATGCATCTTAACTCTAATTGCAACCTTATTATGCAAGAGACCACTGGACATATTCTTTGAAAAGAATTGTATCCCTCATTTATAAAAAGGTGTTTTTTTCATCATCACCATAAATGTTACCACATGTCTTTCTCATTTTCATAAGCATCCAATTTTCCCAAGCCGTAAAAGGTACTAGTTAAACAGATACACATCAGAATATTTACCATCAGAGGTCTACCTTTTAATGTAGCAGAAATGGCATGTATCACAAAAAGTTTTGTGATAGGTCAATTGTTTCTATGCTGTAAACATATTGCTGGCTCCCTACTCTTATTTGAATGATGTAGGTGCTGAATGGATATCATGGGGAGTAGTGAAAGGAGCAGAGATAGGAAGCAGATTGGTTGGTTCTGGTGCCAAGAAACTAAAAGAACACATCCAGCCTGATGACCAACCTAAGGAGATTGATGAGAAATATCAGACTGGGATGGTGTATGCCAAGAAAGCCACAGGAGTTGCCGTCAAGGTAGATGGTTTTCTTCATTGCAGGGTAGAAGCTTAATGATTCAAAGTCCATAAAAAAGGTGCTGTTTGAATTTAATTGAAGTCAAGTATAGGAATTGGACATGAGAGGGAGGGGGGGGGGGGGTTGATGATGTTTTGAAGAACTTCTATGAGATCTACCGTATTTAAAACTCTGGTGGTATAAAATTCCTTTTAATGAACCTCAATTTAACCAACTCCTCAGATTTCATTAAATTATATATAAAAATGTTCCCTACAAATATCCTTGTTCAAAGATAAATACTGCTTCTTCTTATGATAGGTGAGTGTGGTAGTCCTTGACAGTGTATGTTTCTTGACCAAGCGTGTGGCTGAAGAGGTGGGACCCATAATCAGTAAGCAAGCCAACAAGATGCTGACCAATGGAGAGGATGAGACGGACGGAAAGACTAAAGCTGTCATAGAGGGCGTGATGACTGTCACTGCAAGTGGTCTCATAGGTGAATAGATAGACATAGGATTGTGAATTATTAAGAGAAAGGTTGCAGAAACTGGGCTTTGATTGGCAATGGTTTTGGAGACCCTCGTCCAATAACTAACCACTGGGAAAGATTGCTGTTAAAAGAACTTGCCGGTGAAGCAAGAAATCAATATTCACATCAATGTTAAATGAACTAAGAGTAATTTATATATAATTATGTATTTTTTACTAAATGATCTCCTACATTGATACTCTGATGTGACTTGGGACTATATGAAATTAAAATAACAGATAAACCACACTAAGTAGACAGTGGGTACAAGATTGAAACTACAGCATCAATTTAAACTTATAAAATGCTTTTGTTTTACAAATTCATTTTCATTAAATGCCTTCTTAAATAACGTATCATTTTATTTATGTTACACTGTAATTTAAGTAATACCTTTTCAAGGAAGGATACATTTTTGATGTTCCTCACTGGTGAATAATGTTTTTCTTTACAGGATTTGGGAAAGTATATCGTGGATTGGAGACTGCAGCTATTCAGCTGGCGAAGAGTGTATCACAGGCAACTGTTGAAACTGTAGAACACAAGTAATTCAGCTCATCATCTTTGCAATCTGTCCTCCATCTCTTTATGATACCTAATGTACTCATTCTCAAGATTACCAGAATGTGAATTACGAGAGTTACGAGAGTTAAAGAGTTACGATTGATCTTAAATTTGATCAATACACGATGAGCCATAGACTTATGGTCAATCAAAAGGCTTTATAATAAATGGCCCTTGACTCCATTCCAGAACTTAGTGAAGATGAGAATAGTGACAGTACAGACAATATATTCTTTTTTCATTCTTCAGATTCCTTCTGCTATGTTCATCTAAAATGATAATTTTAGAGTATCTTACAAATGTTATGTATGGTAATCAATTTCCACTTGTTAAATGTGTTTCCTATCTTTCATTAGTAAATTTCCATACAACTTATATTTATTATGTATTAAGAATTTTAAATGTAACTACAAAATAATTAAACAACTGTTGTTTCACTACCCATCTCATGGATAAATGCACTTGTTTCAATTTCATTTGATATGCTAAGTATGTTAATTATGTGTATTGGTGCAGTTTTTATTATTACATCCTTTATTCTTATTATGAATCAATCAAAACAGATATATAAATATGAAATAATCATACTGACAAATTAGTGGAAGGAACATGAGAATACTAATTTCATATAACTTTCAAATTGACACTCTTTCAGATATGGTGTAAACGCTGGTCGATTGACAGGCACCTCACTGGCCACTGTGGGTAACATAGGTATATCGGCCCATAACTTCAACAACATCGGTGTGAAGGCAATCGCCAAGAGGACTGCAAAGGATACTGGGAAGGTTGTCGTCAGAGAAATGTCGGAGTCTAATGATTGCAACAAAAAGCCCAAGAAAACATGATACTAGTGAAATCAGGATGGAACAACTCATGTGATAAGCATTAAATTTGAGAAGTTTACTTTTGTTAGGAATTGTTTATCTAGAGAGCATTTTGCTTTAAAGAATGAATGAAGCTTGACAGACATGATGTTTCCCTAAAGATGTAATGAGATCTAAAATTCATGTTCACAGGAAGCTGTGTTTAAATAAATTGATGTCTTTCATGTGCCTGTTATAGTCAAATGGGAACCTATCACCTTAATACAGTGTATACAATAGATATTTAATTGGTTGATCAACTAGGTCAAATAGTCTTCAACTCTTGGCATTTTAGTTCAGGAATTCTGATCTGATGATAGTGGTTGATTCAATTTATTATCAATTTTTCCCTTTCAAGTGATGTTAGACTTGGTGAATGACATACAATTATGTTATCACCATCATTCTCAACAAGTCTTGATAATATTCATGGAACAGTCATGTTCGTAACTTACAGGAGTGTTGCATAGTGGTGAGATTGCAGAGGTTACTTGGAGATATTCATGGGCTTACAGATAATTTCTTTTATTGAGAAATTTTTCTTTTGAGGGGAAATAGGTTGATGTACATGTGCCTTTTTTGTCTTCAATAAATTTATTACCTCTAACTATGATATTATATCTTACATTGAATCTCATTAATTTCTGGTTGATTTTAAAAGTTAAATTTCTTTGGTACCAAGTTATCGCATGACGCATGTTAAGTTTATTTATGAAATTCAAATATCAGGTTATGTGTTTGTTTAAAAAAAATATCCATGCTAGTTTACTTAATTAGAATATCACCTTCAAACTGTTACTGTTGTAAAGAGACATAATGGTCTAAATAAAGGTGTAAATGACTCTTGAATACCTAGACTACGCTTTTAATAACATAAATTAACTAAAAGTGCTGATATTCATGTGAAATTTATTTTGTCTCTCATGCTCTTTAAGATCTAACTGTGATATGTTTTTTTTTTAAGTTGAGATTATTTTATGTCTTTTATCATACAGAAATTATTTGGGGGAGTGGTTCCCTGTATCCTGTTCATGTTGAGATATATTTTTCAGTTCTGTGTATTTCTTTGAGATTAGAAAAGGATTTAAATTTGTCTGGAAAGTTTTGACATTATATTTATGCTTATTAATGCTTCGTAGATGCTGACAGAGATATTGCCAAGAAGATTTGCTGAAATTGTGTCGTAACATTTTTTTAAATCGTACAAACTGCGGTGCAATATGGTATGCAAGTTATATTATGCTTATTAAAGTACAGAGTATAGATGTAGACATATGTAGGTATTTGGTATGATTGCCGGGCTATTTGCACAAAACGATATTTATATATAAATGGCTGAAATTCTTTTGATTGGCGAACTATTGCTGTGAAGTTAAGTTTATCTAAATTTCTATTTGAGTGCTGTATTGTGCATAATTATTTGCAAGACTTCTGTTGCAATAGCTGCATAGTCTTGAGCAATTTAAGTTTCTTTTTCAATGAGTGGTGATACTTTATAAGATTATTCAAGAATTTAGAGAGTGCTGAAGTTATGCAAACAATCAAAACAATCAAAAACATCTATAAACAAGCAGTTATCAATCTCATGTACAAATAACGGATCCAACTCATACCTAAACTTGCTTCTTTTACTTTATTTGTATTTGTAAAAACAAAATGTAATTTTAGTCAATTCGGTGATGGTAAACAATGTTTATTCAGGAAAGTACATGTGTTTATATATCAAGGCTATTCACTACTTATGAGCAATGTAAAAGTTTGACCTTTTTGCTCACAGGTCATTTCTAAATGGGAAAATCTAAGTTTTTTTTTTAATTACTTATCATGTTTCCCACTTCATCAGAGGATTTACTATAGTGATGATTCTATTTGACAGCCCCATTAGAGCTTGGATCAGAGAAAATAAAAAGGAAAATGAAACTAGCGATGCTGATTAATTATGTAATGTATGGTCAGCAAATCACCAAATACCTTTTGACTTGCCCATAAAGCAACCAATAGGGGCTGGCATGGCTAGACAGCAACAGAAATTACAAGCAACCAACACCCAGATATATGACAAAAGAAGGCCTACAATACAGATTTTTTTTTCTCCATTTAAATAAAAGTTCATGGCAATAATTTTGTATACAGCCATAGCTTACAGGCTGATGACGTGCTCAGGAGATATATTCCCTCTTATAAGATATTTTCCTAAGATCATTGTTTTTGTGAAAAGTTATATGTGTTATGTATATCATTGTCTAGAAATAACTATATATTTGACTGTAAAATGTATGGAATTTTCTCTCCTTTGTGCTTAAAATTTGGAAAGATGAGACAACAATATGTGAATAATATTGACAGAGAGAGAGAATGTAGGCCTATATAGGGAGAGTATATATATAAGATAGATAAAGAGATGGGATAAAGAGAGGAGAGAGAGAGAGAGAGAGAGAGAGAGAGAGAGAGAGAGAAAGGGAGGGAGAGAGAGAAAGATAGAGAGATAGATAGAGAGAGAGAGAGAGAGAGGGAGAGGGAGAGTTCAGTTTATTCAATTCCAGCTAAGAGAGAGAGGAGTGTGGGTTAAAAGTATTTGGGGAGTTATATATATATATATGGGAAGATAGTGGGAAAGGAGGGGAGAAATGAATGAGTGGAGAATAGGGGTGATGGAGGTGGGAGAGTGAGTGAGAGAGAGAGAGGAAAGCTAAAGATGAAAGACAATTTCTGGTTTTTAAATGTTAATATCTTTTATATAATATAAGCGGAATCATGCACTGCAGAAATTTTGTTTATATATCTGCTGTGATATCCGTCGCGCGCGAGCGATTACCCAGACTGATATTTGTGACTCACATAATATCTCGCTCGGATCGATCGGGTCAAAGGTTATGTTGACTAATTCTGATCCAGCCAGCTGAAAGTGGACTTTCGATTCGAGGGTAATGTTTTTGACAAAATACATATTTCGTGATTTTGCTTTTCAATTATAATTTCACAAAAAGAAGCTAGGTTGATTAATTACAACTTGTTAGGCTTTAGTTGGAATGTAGAGGGATGAATTAACCGCTGTCTAAAAATTATTTGGTACCTTGGTCTCGACCGTTTTTAATGGCAATAGCCAATGCATGACTGCGTGTTTGTGTATGTATAATGTTGCTCACAAAATGTGTGTGGGAATGCAAATGCAATGCTATTATGCCTTGGCTGTGTACAGCCTGGGCATGTTCACAGCTGTAGCCTAGGCGTAGGCGTAGGCCTAGCCTAGCCTATACTCTATAGCTAGCTAGTACTAGTATAGGGGGGCTTGTTCAGAAATGTATCCAGACTTTGATCCATAACTCCGGCGTGGAGATGTCCTACTAAACTAAACATGCTAAAACATACCGAAAATCGATTAGATGTCTAAATCTTCATTAATTGTTCAAATAATGATCATGATTTAAAAGTTGTTATATTTCTAACCTGGTTCATGTCAATTTTCTTATCTTTTTTAAGAGTATTTTCCTAACAAACAAAGACTTATGAATATACACTTTCTCACAGGATTCACGGCAAACTGCTGCACAATACAATTGCATACCCTACCAATTAACGATGGGGTGCGGGTGCGCGCGTGTAATAAGTTAGCGACCGTATAATGATGAATTACTTACTTACCTGTTTACTTGTTTGTTGGGGCTTGAAGCATCAACTTATGAGCCCATCGTGACAATCACTGGATTATTACGTTGATAAGGGTTATATTTGAGAGGATGGTGATGCCAGTCGCTAACCTAACACCCGCGCGCACCGGCACCTGAACTGAACTGCATCTGAACTAGCACCAGTATAGCCATAGGCTATAAATTATGATCAGGACCGGTGTCTTACGACTTCTACCACTTCATTTATTTTACTTGATCGATGTGGCAATATTGTAAAATAGGAGACCACCATTTGCACTGCGACTAAGCTTTGGAATAAGGGCCAGGCCAGGCCACTGGCCACGTTCACTCGAGCATTAATTATGAAATCAAACAATTTTATGTAACCTGACATCCACGCATTCTGCACTCCCTTTTAAGTCGCAAACTGTCTTGTCAATTGAATTTATATCTTGGAAGACGACCGTGAGATCTACAGGATCACTCCTGTATATTGATGATGATGATGATGAGACACAGATTAGTGAAAGTTGAGGAAATTGTAATTAAGCCAGGATATAAGAAAGTTGTTATTGTGATCAAGTGACACAAATTGTTTATTTGTCTTCCATTTGTTTTGCACTAGAAATTTCATGTATTGAATACTTATATGAAATGGAATGTAACTTAATTATGCAAGTAAGTTTACTTCAAATAAATTTACCAGTACACAATCTCCTTAGCCTCTCTCTTTCCATTTTATCGTCTGTGCGGCCGGGGTAAACAGAAGTATCATGCTATGTTTTTTTTTATGTTACACTGAAATGTGAAACCACAATATTGTAAGTGTGAAACAATATGATTATTCATTATTTTTCTGCAAAACAATGTAATGCATATTTTGTAAATCATTGTTTTCTGACCAATAAAACTTATCAAGATAAAAAAAAAGGTACACGATCTAATGATAAATAATTTATTTTTATCAGTACTTTTACTAGGGAAAAAGTTAATGATTCCCTGGAAATAATAGAACCTTATTCGCTTTATTTTCGCATCTTTAAACAAAACAGTTTTGAGATTTGTTGAATAAGAATTCCTGTACTTAAATTTTACAGAGAGTATAGTATGTTTATTTCGTCACCTATTTGACTTTATCAGACACCTGTACAGGGCAATCAAGCTGGCGACCAGACGGAGCATTAGCCTGAATGGGTCCTCCCATTCCCTAGCTTCAATGGGGGCTCCATGGGGAGATAGCATGGAAGAGAACCCGGCAGAGGGAGAGCATTTCTTCTCTATCAATCACGCTGAGAGAACCTTCAAGAAGATGCAGGGTTATCTACACAGACGCCAGCTTACAGACGTCGTGCTCATTGCAGGGGATGTACGGATACCTGCACATAGACTGGTCTTGAGCTCGGTGTCGGACTACTTTGCAGCGATGTTTACCAATAACTTGCGCGAGTCACAAGAGACTGAGATTCCACTGTGGAGCATTGATCCGCCAGCACTCAAAGCTTGTATCCAGTATATCTACACAGGTCAGCAGTGAATATATGGTTTATGATTTTACATTACCGGTACCTCTAAAGTACTCATTTGTTTTATTTTACCAGTTTTGTGCATGTTTCCATCTAATTTTCTTCATGTAAACATGAAAATGTTGAAAGTAGGGCTACAAATGTGCTATGAATATGCATGTATTTAGGTTTCACCTTCTAAACAATATCATGGAGAATTCACATGAAAGCAAGAAAATACAATCTTACTTTATCTCAAGAATAATGGCAGAGTTCTTGTGAAAAATCTGTGCTATCTATTTTTCTTGCCGACATTTTAAAATTCTTAATGCTACAACTTGACACCCCCAACGTGATTACAATGTGCCCCTTTGAACACAATCCTAGGTTGAATTAATTGTCTGTCTGGACTTTAATCATTCATTTTGTTCAAAATTATTGATTTACAGGAGAAGTAGTGTTGAAAGAGAGCAATGTTGAAAGGTTGCTTGCCACAGCCAGTATCCTACAGTTATCAGAAGTAGTTGAAGCTTGTTGTGGGTTTCTTGTCAAACAACTCCATCCATCTAACTGCTTAGGAATCAGGTCCTTTGCTGATAGACAGAGCTGTGTAGATCTACTCAGGGCTGCTCATAATTACACCATGGTGAGTGAATTTATACCTTGATTTCTAGACTTTTTTTCCTAAAGACTTTCCCAGTATTTACCTATAACTTTAAGAAATGGGATTGTATTTTAGTACCCTGTATTGCTGTGCAGAATAAATGCTTTTGTGCCTGTTATATATGTTGTCTAGAAATGGTATTTTGTGAAAAATTTGATATTGAAGCTGAAATCATTCTTGAGGACTTCAAAAGTGAAAATTTCATAAAGTCTGTAGAACAAGAGGAAAAGTTCAGATAAATCTCTTTACTGCACTGTCATATGAACATTACAGAGGTGATTTCAACCAAACACAGCTCTTGCATAAGCATGAAAAGAAAGAAGCGAAGTTTGGTCTTAAATGTATGTGTGAGAGCTTCTTTTTAGGGCTGTATATTTATACTTATCTTGATTCAGTAGGCTTTATAACTCTTCCATATCACCAATGAAACTAATTTATTTTTCTCCTGTCCTGAAACCCATGATGTAGGAACATCTCGTTGAGGTGACACAGAATCAGGAGTTTCTAATGCTAGGATCGGAGGAGGTATGCAACCTCTTCTCCAGTGATGATCTCAATGTTCCTAAGGAGGAGACTGTTTACTATGCCATGTTGGCTTGGGCTAACTATGATACAGGCTCTAGACAATCAGAGATCTCAAAGCTGCTAGAACACATCAGACTCCCACTGCTCTCCCCACAGGTAAGGTCTATTTAACAATCAGTATTTTGACATGGATGTAACTCCCTTTGGTAAGGCATTAATCCTCATTTACCAGGTCCCTTTTTTAGCAGTCAGGTAAAATAACCACCACCTACAAAAATACATAGAATGTTACATGAATATCCACTTGCCTCATGGCTTAGGACATGTAATATTTTGAACAAACTTAGCGATTTATGTTGCTAGCCCAATCTGGATAATCAGGCAAATGAGTGACTCACATTCATTTATATGGACTGGATTCCTTTTTAAATTAACAGTGCTTGTTGTCTTATTTTTTCTTCCTCAATAAGACCCTTTCTACAACAATTCTTATTACAGTGTGTCCCTCGTTTTAATAACAAGTAAAGAACATATGTGTAATTTGCAGATGATGAAATTATGATGAATTGTTATGCATAGACCTCGTAAAGCTCAGCTAAAGAACATGGTTCCAATTACAAATTTGTGATACTCCATGATTGTAGCTATAACAGTTTTATAAAACTTTCCTATTTATTTCAGTTTCTTAGTGATGCAGTAGACAACAATCCATTGTTTAAAGGAGATGATAAATGTCAAAGGTTAATCATGGATGCAATGAAGTATCATCTTCTACCGGAGAGAAGACCTCTCATGCAGAGTGCTAGGACCAAACCTAGGAAGTCTACCGTTGGAGCTCTCTATGCTGTAGGTGGGATGGATAGTACCAAAGGTAGGCTAAGGCTTGTTCATTCAACTCCGTGATTGAATAATGCATAAGGAATTGGGGGGCTTTAAATATTGCTTCTGTTGTTCTACCCAATGCATGCACAATTAATTAAATCAAAAGCCTCTTATACCTTCTTGCGACCAGTAACAACAGTGGTAGAACTTTAATTTTGATACTTGGAATGTTATCTTTGAAGCCTGATGGATTTCAATTGGATTCAACCACTGCAACCATTTTGTCGGTTGAGAGCCAGGAAGGCATTAAGTTCCTGTAAGACAATTTTCACTTAGCTCTTTATTGGGTTCATGATAAAATATTTAAATCTTATGTCTTCTCGATAAGTTTTTATTAATCAATTACATATTTTTGTTCAGGTGCTACAAACATTGAGAAGTATGAGCTGAGGACCAACGTCTGGACCCATGTAGGTCACATGAGTGGGAGGAGGCTTCAGTTTGGAGTAGCTGTCATCGAAGACAAACTTTACGTGGTTGGAGGTCGTGATGGGCTGAAGACGCTAAATACTGTTGAGTGCTATTATCCGGCATCAAAGACGTGGAATATGCTGCCCTCTATGGGTACACATAGACATGGTTTAGGTAAGACATATTGATCATCATAACTTAGATTTCCATAGTTTTGTTCTGAATATCAGATCACAAAAAGCAATTTAGATTTGAAATGATGTCCCTGGTATGAAAATTCTCAGTTTTAGCGAAATAGTACCCGTCATAAAATTGTTTGAATGTATCATTTGTTCCAATTTTTCTTCTTCTCATGTCTCATATAGACTTGTTATAATAATGATAAAAATTACAACATTTCCATTGAGCAATATATCCATCCCAGGGATTGCTCAAGGGATACAAGGTATACATGTATTATAGTTGTGAAATATTATAACTGTAAAAGTCATATACCTATTTTTAAAAGTAAAGATAGGAAGATAAAAAATGATAGTGTGGCGACTTATAGCCAGTCTCCCTTTGATCATAATGTATTTTATGTGATCAAATTCAAAGGTGTTGGAGTGGTAGAAGGTCCTATGTATGCAGTTGGAGGCCATGATGGTTGGAGCTACCTTGCTTCAGTAGAGAGATATGACCCTCACAGCAAACAGTGGAGTTATGTTGCACCCATGTCTACTCCTAGGAGTACTGTAGGAGTGGCAGTACTGGATAGAAAGTGAGTAGTTTATTGCAGAACTATTCAAAAAGATACATCACACAGAGCTGCCAACTATTCCGTTTTTGCCGGAATTACTCCCTTTTTTCTTCAAAATTATGGTAGTATATTTTTCTTCATAAAATATGTTTTTAAATTTTTAAATTAATTTTTTTTTTTTAAATAAATTTTTTACATACCGCACATCAAATAACTGCCCTAAAATGTTGATTTGATCACAAATCCAATAGAAAACTAAGTTTAAACATACTTTAAGAGAAAAATATTCTCAAAAAGAATGAAATGCTGATAATACCAAAATAACCACACAAAAAAACCTGCTTGTATGGAAAAAAACGGCATAAGGAATGGACATTTTTGCATTGGAAGTGTGTCACGCGTTGTTGTAAGTTTTGTTTTAATGAATTCCTTTTTTTGCCATCATGGTTCCTTTTATTGGACGCACAAGGTTGGCAGCTCTGATCACACTCACAGCAAGCAGTGGTGCCTTGATGTGCACCTCTTTGTGTGGGAGTGATATTTACTTTGCAGGAAGCAAGGAAGGAATCATATTATGGCAGACATCCATGGTGTGAATGTGCAGGAAATCCATGCAGGGAACTGGGAAATTCAGCTGTGCATTCATGCTTTCTCTAAGCAGTAATTGAAGAAGAAAATGTCTGAATTACAGTCAGTCCTTTCTGAAATTATGTTAATTGTGCATAGACACTGTTAGTTTAAAATGTAAATGATCTGTTATTCACACATTGTCTCTGACCAAATTGCCATAAATAGTGTTAAAAGCAATTCAAGTAACATTTTTAGGTTGAAATTAACTCTCAAACTCATGATTGATACCTAAGGGAAAAAAAACTGTACATCAAGGCACCTATTGTAGTGTTTGAGGGCTTGTTATTCTTTCATGTATTAAAGTTTAGTTATTTTGAAAAAATGTTGTCATTCAAAACTTATGCAGGCACAACTGTAATTAATTTTTTTCCCAAGTTTTTCTAGTTTTCATTACATGGTCTTCCAATAACAATCTATCGAAAACAAGTTGCATGATCGAGATCACAGATATTTATTTTCCTCTATGTTTATCCACCCACTCCTTCAGACTTTATGCAGTAGGAGGTCGTGATGGTAGCTCCTGTCTACGATCCATGGAGGTGTATGACCCTCACACTAACAGGTGGTCTCTATGTGCCCCCATGTCTAAACGCAGAGGGGGTCTGGGCGTGGCTGTTTGTAATGGATGTCTGTATGCCATAGGGGGACATGATGCCCCAGCTACTCAGCAGACTTCCAAACAGTTTGACTGTGTGGAGAGGTAAGTACTAGAGGAGGAGGAGAGAGAGTGAATTTGATCAGTGTGCAGTGGTAATAGGGCCCCTGAAAATACCTGAGACCCGTGCCAAAAAGCCTTTTTTCAATGAAAAATGACAACAATCAGTGACAAATCTGCTGATAACCAATCAGAAGCAAGGATTTCACTAGTTTATAACAAAAACTGTCATTTGTTACTGATGACAAGTTTTTTTATTCAGGGCCTTGATTGATTTACTGCATGAATTGTATACAGACTTGGGCTTATTCAAAGCAATTATTAGGTAAAGAATATTAAAGGATCAAGTATAGAGAAGTTATGTATGGGGTCAGTCTCATTTTACATGGAGTATTAAACCAACTGTCAGTTCATTGAGTGATGGGATCAAGAAATAGATACGTCAGGCACACTTCCAAACCAACTCCAAATCAACTAATTTCTTCAATCGGTAATGTCATGTTTTGTTCAGTCTTTAGTTGGTCAGACTAAGGCATAACTTATTTGAAATGTAATTATTTTAATTTGTTTGTTTGATGAGTAGATTAAATTCTTCCTATCAGTGACAATGCTCCATCAGAATTGCATCTTTAGTACTTTCTGAGAACATAGTATGTGCATTAAGCAGAACTATTCAAAATAGGACATAGATTAATGTATACTTTTTATTAACATTTATTACCATCATCATGACAATATATACAAAGATAAAATATGGAATTTCATAACAGATAACAATATCAAAATTACATATAAATTGACATAATAGCATTTAAAATATAAAGAAAATATGAAGGTATAAACCATAGTACAAATGGAAAATGGTGCATGCGTAAAAGCCAGTAAGGCTTGATAATTTAATGCACCAGGCGCAGAAGTAATAATAACATATACTTGGAAGAAGAAAAAAGAAAAAAAAGAAAAGAATACTGTGCATGCGGATAAGTGATTGTATGGCATCTGACCCCTTTCTTACCAGATACGACCCCCGTTCAGATACTTGGTGTACGGTAGCCCCTATGGGCATGTGTCGAGACGCAGTAGGGGTGGCTGTACTAGGAGATCGTCTCTTTGCTGTGGGTGGATACGATGGACAGTCATACCTCAGCGCTGTAGAATGCTATGATCCACAGACGGGAGAATGGACGACAGTGAGTACTTTCAATATTTTCAAAAGACATACCAGGAGGGTGTTTCACAAAGATCTCAAGTCAAACTTAACTCTAAGTTGGACTTAAATATCATCGAGAGCCATTTATAGCCTTAAAATAAAATATATTCAAAAGTGAATTTTCAAGTATTTTAGACTTTTCATAAATTCCACATCAAGAACATGAAATCTCCTTGATAATAGAAAATATGGATGATTTAAATCAACATTTTATGCTTTTAAAATAACTTTTACAGAATATTTTCATAGATGCTAACAGCTTTCCATAATTTTTAAGTCCATCTTAGAGATAAGTTCAACTTAGGATCTTTGTGAAACACTCCCAGGCCTGATAAAAACCTGATTTAAATTGGGTTTCCTGATTTAAAAAAAAAAAAAATCCAGATTTTCTTTTTTTCTTTTTTTCTTTTCTTCGTGATTTTATCCTGATTTTCCAGATTTTCCCTTATTCTCTCTATTCTTCCCGTTTTTCCCTATTATTTATCAATTTTTCTTACTCAAAAGGCAGGGAATGTTGTTAGATGCCATTTCTCCCCCCCCCCCCCCCCCCCCCCCCGAATCCTCTTCTTCTTTTTTTTTTACTCAAGGGGGCGTGGTTGAGGTTTTTAGTGCTCACTATCACCCCTGACATACCTAAGGCATATATGCTCATGGTATGGTATGGTATGTTGAATGAGAACATATATATGGGGCTGAGGAGATATAGAGTGGTTATGTATTCTCTGTTTTGAAATTAAATGGGGGATCAAAGATATGGTCAGGGCCCAGTATTATGAAGAGTTGTAATTGATTCATATTAAACGCAACTTAAACTCTCTCACATGGTGCAACCGTAAGCCTACTGTATATCTACATCATCATGCAAGCCGATACTTATAAGCAGCATCTAACTTAAATTTATCTCAACTGTGTACTTACGAGATGGGAGTTGTGGTTAATAGTTGCAATCGATTTGAATCAATCGTAACTCTTTATTAGACGGGCCCAGGTTTGTTGCAGTAACAACAATAATGAAGGGATATGATTTTTTCTATGAGAAGTTGATACCTCAGGATCTCTGGACGTATCAAGAGAAGGAAAAAAAACTGGCAGTAAGCCAATATTTCACTTAATCTCAAGCAAATGCTGACACCCCTTTTAATGCCTCATTTGTGTTTCTTCTTTTTCTTTCTTCTAACCCTAGGCTGCTCCCCTTACACCAGGTCGGGCTGGAGCATGTGTGGTGCAAGTTCCTGTCAAGTAGCAATCTTCTAAACAATGTTAATCTAAAATGGTAGCTATCAAGACGCAAGGTTTGATTTCCAGCAAACTCTTAACATAGAACAGTGATTGTTTAACTTGGTGATTGAATCTGTTGATTCTGTATGACCCATCTTCTTATTACTTCAGAGAAAAGATGTAGGAGTGACAGCATACTTCCTTTCAAAGTTTGATGGTGAGAAAAATCTTTTGATTTTACAACAGATACAGGATAATTTTGACAATTTTTATCTGATCTTTGATTTTTGTCTACTGAACATGTTTTTAACAACTCCTGCAGGGTCAAGTGCTCAATTTCAACAGCTCTCTGCAGTGTATTTCATATTCATCTGTAATAGAATGTAATTTTTTTTGTTGAGTTATATTTCTGTTCAATATCAGAGCTTTGTGTATACTGCATTTAGTAGTGAATTACAGGAGCATATATGTTTAGGCTTGTGTTCTGCTTGCTTGCAGTAGGAAGGTATATTGGACATAATGTATGTGCCAAAATGCATGTGACAGTATATTTGTGGAGTAATGTCTGTTATAATCAGTATTTCTGTGTGGTCGGAGGAAATAAGGTGAAGTGAAAGATGTAGAGAGTCCTTATCTTGTGACGATGATCTCAGAGGGATGGTTATGCTATTGCATAGGAGAGAACTTCTGTCCTAAAAAAATGAGGATGAAGAAGTTTCTGTCTCTTGTGTGATAAAGAGCTGATAGACAGAGGGTTTATGTGATTCTTGCTGAGAGGGACACTGGTGGAAAGTAACAATGCTGTCTATGATTGTTATGTTTTAAACTATAATAACTGACAGCTCATTAACTCATTCCAAGATACAGAAGCTGCAGCTGATACATGACAAGTTTCTATTTTCCTTTGAGTCGGACAATAACCAGGTAAAGACATACATCAGGGAAATGGAATTCAGTATTTTTTACCTTTGACAGTGGTATCATTTAAGATACCATACTTGAGTGCTGGTTGTTCAAGTTTATTTTAGTTTGTAGATAGATGGACCAGAGTTTTTATTGGAATCAAATCAGGAATTAGTTCCATGGAAGTTAGGGTTAATAGGATCAAACAGACATTAGAGAACGAAAAGGGACAGGGATTTTAGATGTCTATCTTATATAACGAGTTTGTACTTATTCCACGAGGCTATGATTAAAACCTGTAATACAAGTACTGGGTTTATTAGACAACTCTACTCATTAAAGATATTAAACCACTTGGATGAATAGATGTAAATAAGAGAACATATATATATACTGCCAAGAGGTTTATTAGCAATATAGTACAAGTAGGTCTTCTATTAACTACAATGATGTATTTGTAGTATTAAGAAAGCAAATCTGATCAGACTTTAGTACAGGGACCTGTTTCACAAAGTCTTTTTTCAATGATAAATGTCAAAAATCAGTGACAAATCTGCTGATAACCAATCAGTAGCAAGGATTTCACTAGCTTATAACAAAAACTGTTAATTTTCTCTGATGACAAGTATTGTGAAATGGGGCCCTGGTCTTGATAGATGTAGATAAGATACATAGATAAGAATGGCATGTTTTTTTTTTTCTTCCATTTTCTTGTACACTGTAGCATTGTATATGCAGTCTGTTTCCATAGTTGTGTTATATTTTAGTTTGCAGAGGCTGACATGTAATAATTGAATGCTGTGGTGGTTCATGCGGTAAAGTTTGGAAGTTTAAGACAGAACAGAGAGGCTGTAGTATATTATCACCCTGGTACAATAGTTGAAATTGAAGAAGGAAATGTGTATCTGATATTTAAATGTGTTTTCTGAAAGGGAGAATTTTTATCTTTTTAACTACATATTTATGTTCTGTATTTCTGTCAAAAGTTCAAATTCTCTGTGCACTGGGGAAAGCAAAACGCACAATAAAACCACTGTGAATGAGGTTTTAGTGCAATGTCAAAAAAGTTAATTGAAATTCACGTGGAAGCACAGTGGAAAGTGAAATTGTTATCATGACTTTATTACCAGTATTTAACATTTATGCTAGTTGTTTCTGCCTTGCAAATTGATTCATATCAGTAGGTTTCAAGTAGGGAGAAATTCCCTTGAATATTTTGGATATGTTTTTTCCATTCAGCTAAAGCAATAATGATAGAACGCTAGGAATTCTGCCAATAATAACATTATGAAGCTTTTCAGACAGCCAAATGATATGAAGATGATTACATTTTCATCACAAATTTCTTGGTTCATTAAAAAAAAAAATGTCTACTACAGGGTCTGCAGGTACAGGTTTGTGATATTTTTCATTCTTTTTGCATTCCAATCATTTGTAAATAAATTCATCATAATGTACCCTTTTGTATTTCATCATTTTAGTAGTCACATATATACATTATTAATAGTCTGTTCATCAAATCAAAACCAAATAACTTTCATATGTTAACATGATCAACCTGTACCTCAATTTAGTCAGTCTAATGGATATGTATTTGAAAGCCTTTTTCTAGATGAATGTCAAGTCGAAACTGACTATTTTTGTCTTGAATCATTGCCTTTGAACACTCCCACCAAGACAAGGTGCTTTTTGAATATTTCACTCTGTACTTCACTCTGTATCTGGTGAAATATGCATATTTTGTTACATAATAATTACAAAAAGTTATTTTGGTAGTATTTAATACCAAAAATGATTTGTTACACAAATATGTTTTTGTTATCAAAATGTCCTAAGATGTTGTCAAAATAATTGTTTTAAAAGACCAGATGTATTTAACCCTGCGGCAGTGAAAGTAATGCTCAATGTAAAGTACAAATATGTGTCTGTCATGTTACATTTTAATATATGCAAAAATAGAACAGGTTACAATATTGATCTGTGTCGATTAGAATAATTTATTTTAACATATATTGTATTTGAAATGCAACAGCATCAGATGGCACGTTTATGTATGCATTCTTGTACGACTACAATTAGAAGAAGAAAATTCTGTGTAGGCTACCATATGAATTTCCTCCATTGCAGAATGTTCAGTTTTACTGTCTTTAGATTTTTTGTTTCCCACTATTGGCCATTGAAAACTTAAAATGGAATTAATTTTTTTTTTTTAAATTCTCATTTGATCTAAAAAATGCCACATGTAGCCCAACTTGCACAATACCAATGATTGGAGGCTTTTTTTTCTCTCATATTCCTGTATTTTAAGTATTACATTGCAACTCTTGCTCAGTATTTTTGTATGCAACAAGTGAAACCTGATATGCTTTTGAATAGCATGCCTCAAACAGGTATAGCCTTTTCCCTTGCCAGTTTTTGATAGAATAGATTTTTATACAGCATTGGTCTTGCTTATGTCAAAGATCCCATTTCTAAATGCTTTGCTGTTATAATATTTTTATATAATAAGGATCATCATATAGCCAAAAAATGGTACCCTTTTAAGTCTGTTTTAAAATAAGCCTCAACAGTGTAGGCAAGTTTACCTTGTAATGTTTTAAAAATATTTACTGTGACTATTATAGTCATTTTTGGCTAGTCTACACTGTAAATGTGTAAGGTAGTAATGGCTTACCACAAGTTATTAATGAATATTACGTATATGAAAAAGCTTCAGTGGCCAAAATAAAGTATTATGAAATAGATTGTACAAGCGCATCTCCAGACTTTTTCGCTTCATAAAATTGGTCTAGAAAGATATGTCTTATATCATTGATATACATGTATTATTTTATGTGATGTAATGTTGCTATTGCATGTTTGTATGTATCTTATGCAGTTTGTTGGTGTTAAAGAATGCAATGTTTTACAACTGGTATTTGTACGCATAGCTTTGGCACAGTACACTGTGATATTTACAACGTATGTATGGTTATGAAAAGAAGAAACTATGACTAATAAAAAGAAATACATAAAACTAATTATTCTAATTTCTGTGTTTTATTACATATAATTTCAAATAAATCTTGAAATTTTGGATTTCATTACCCATAATGATACACATCGCATTAGAAGTTTCATAAATGATGAAGTACAAAGTATAAGCAATGCCTCTATAGTATTCCCCGATTTCTCTTGTTAACTTGTTTTCCAAATGAATCATCCAAGTCCTGTTACATAAAAGACATTACACATTTACCACACTTCCATTAACAAATCGCCCACAGGCGATCAAATGCAATGATGTTGGTAGCTTTTGTCAATTGTTATTGCCAAGTTTTATGAAACGGGACCCAAGACTAACAATCAGCACTGTTGTGATGGGTGCAATAGGAGCAATTCTGAGACTGCATTTGGGCTTACAGGAGTACATGTAGATATCCACCTTATCCACTTTAAACTATTATTTTGGTTGATAAATGAATAAAATCTATATTTAATGTATGTTTATGATTCCATTCACTTGGTTCACTGTCACTTCCTCATTACCAAGTCCCACAGAGAGGATTTGAAGCCATCAATCCCTTAGATGCTTACTTGCAAGCATACACATGCTTTCTTAGCAGTCGGGTATAACAATCATAAAAAAACAAACAGTTTAATTTTTAGGCATAACAGTTCAATTTCCACTATCTCTTGATACCATGATAAAGTTGATACTATCATAACATACTGTTTATATGCCACGGTACATTATGTTAAAAGAAACTAGAGCCTACGTCCAATATAATGCGGTAATCACCATATTAAAATAGACTGACCTTGTCATGTAATATTTGAAGAAAACTTTCTTGAATGTAAATGTCTGGGGAGTGCTGGTGTTATGCAATATGCATGCCATCGCTCAATTCTCATTAAATAAGAAGATTCCATAAGAAAGGTGGGTCAAATCACTGCAGTCAAATTACAATCCCACCTCTATGTTGGCATTCAGCTCGCTTATGTAAGTATGACTGTTCATGAGTTCAATATAGCGTTCACACATGATGATAAGAGGTGATGTCTTCTAGGTGGTACCCATCATGCATCATACACTCGTTCCATCATCCTTTGACTTGGATCCACTACCAAAGAACCTCTGCAGGAAGGGCTTTGCTCTGGTAGAAAGAAGAAAAAAAGACAAATTATTAAAAAGATGATCATGTAGAATGGACATCATGGTTTTAAAGGTGAGCTCTTCCAGTGGTAACATGCTTGAGTGAGAGAAATATGGTTGGTGGACATCGAGATTTAAGAAAGAGATAACATACCACAACAATTAGTGTACTTGCATTTACAAGGAATGGTACATCCAACACATACTTGATTTACTAGATTTACCACTCTCTATCACAACCTAAGAAACTGATTCACCAGACATGCCTATTGCAGGTATACACCTTCAAGGTTTGTGATGTCCTATGGTGATAACAAACTCTGGTGAATTTCATACAAATGCTTACAAGTGCCATATTTCAGAAATACACTTGTTAATAAAATATCTCATCTCGGGCATTTTTAAAAAGTATTCAACTTTGTTTTACTTCTTCAAATTATGTAGTGAAATCTACTTTTCATTTGCTTTCTACTATATTGGATTAAACCAACATGCACGCTGTGTCTGAATTTCTGTTTTTTTTTAAGATGTCTCAAATCATCATATTGTCATGCCTAGGATGGCAGAGCTCTTTTCAAGAATTTGAGGTAATTGAAGCAATACAGTACTCAAACTTACTTTTCTTCTTCTTCCTTACTGAATGTGTACAGACCATCACTTTGAACTTTGTGTTCTGCATATGAGAGCAGGAGAGAGAATTAGAGAGAGCGAGAGAGACAGACAGAGAGAGGGAGAGAAAGGGACACACAGATGGAGACAGAAGAGAGAGAGAGAGAGAGAGAGAGAAAGGGGAGGAAGTAGAGAGAGAGAGAGAGAGAGAGAGAGAGAGAGAGAGACAAACAGAGAAGGGGAGGAGGAAGAGAGTGGGAAAGACAGACAGACAGACAGAAAGACAGAGACAGACAGGAGGGGAGGTGGAGGAAGTAAAAGAAATTAAAGAAATTACATTTAAATTTTAAGAAAATTGTTTTAAATACCTATGTAAAACATACATTTTTACTTCAACATTCCATTAAACTGTCAGTATATATAAAAGGCTAATAAAACATACAATTAAAATGCCAAATATCCTTCTCATATCAAAAGTTCAATTTTATTGTTGGAACATTTTATAATTCTTTATTCTTTCTTAATTGACTCTCCAAACCACTTTCAAACATTGAATCACTGAAGATTATTTAAAGCCCTGCACAAACATAACAATTTTGAAAGCAGCTTATACAGAATTGGGTTATGTGATGCCCACATATGCACCTCTTAGAAATTCTTTGAGATCATTACCAATGCAAGAGGGATTATATGAATGGTGGTGGTTATTTTACCTGACTGCTAAGAAAGCATAAATGCTTGTAAGTAAGCAACCAGATGGCTGATGGCTTTAGGTCCTCTCCGAGGGACCTGATAATGAGGGTTAATGCCTTATCAAAGGGTACTAGCGCATCGCCTTGGTTTCGAACCCAGGTTACCGGATTACGAGACCACTGATCTACCGACTGAGCTACGCGCCTCCTCAAGTAGATGAACGTTCAATAGACAATGCATCTCTACGAAATTTTATGTGATCTTTAGCAATGCAAGACGATGAATATCAAGTGGAAGAGAAACTTGGCCATCATAATACCTTTATATTTAGCGATGAGTTCTTGGGTATAGATGTCTTGTAATGGTGTGATAGGATTAGCTGCAGCTTCTATACCTCTCTGCCTAGCAAAGGCTTCAGCTGGGGTCAAGCCTACCCACTCTGCTTCTTCTTTCTGTGAATGAACATTACAGATATGACAGTGAGTATTCATTCTATCTATTATAATACCTGTACATGTTGCTCATCAACTTTTTATCATCCATGAACCCTAAAGGCATTGTTTCACAATGTTAAATCTGAGATGCACGGCCCTATGTGTCAGTGTCCGTGATATGGTGTAATATTGAAGCCCTAAAAAAAAATTGCACTTCAAAATGATCAAGAAGTGCCTCAAAAAGTAAAAATCTTTGAGTGACCGGTTTTACCATACTTGTTTTCCCCAATAGACTTTAGTATTATGAAAACCGCTTGGCAAACGCAAAATTTGGTTTCGTTTTCCAATCATAAATATTTTGATAATCAGACAGGCGATTGGCTTGTAAAAGTCATGGGGTTCCTGACTGACCTAAAGGTTTATAATTATCATTGCAGCATTAGCTAAATCCAGGATTTTGTTTCAGAATCTGAGACAAAGTTAACGGATCCCTTTAATGTTCTTTCCATATTGATGAGTGAATTCATCAAAGATACATTGTCCATCACAAAAAGTAAAGGACACGTCGTCATTTCATGCTCAATAGAGACCAATGAGGTAACAGAGCAGAAAACAAAACTTACAGATAGGAAATATCCATGAAATAAAATTAAAGGATATGAAGAGTGAGGAGTGTTTTTTGCAAACAGGAAGGAAAATAACTAAAGAAGAAGGCACGTGGACATACATATAGTTTTACATTGATAGTAATGAGACAATAAAGATATATTAACATCATGACCATTAAAAGAAATGACACATTGTACAAAATAAACAAAAACCTATGGGAGACAGCTGATAATGAACTTACAGGTATAACAAATCTTTTGTATTTGTTGTAGATCCTATCTCTATTTTCTGGATCATCAGGATACATGTCTTGAGGGCTAGCTAACCTGAGCAAGAGATGTCTCTTTACTACCATACCCACCAGGGAATTCAGGTCCTCAGCTGGAGTCTATAACATGAAAACACAAGGTAATAAGGGAATACAAAGGAGGTAAATACCTCTTACAAGACACAAGGATCATACTTGTGCATTGAACTTAAATTTGTAACTTAAACGTTCAGAATATAAGTGTATCCCTGCTTTCTACTCCTGGAACCAATGAAAGATTAATTTTCTTTCTAAAGTAAAGACATGAACAAATTAAAGGCATTATTTTACTTATAAGGGGCTTTGACAATCAAGATGTTTGTATGACAAAGAAAATAGACATCAGATGTTCCATTCCTTCCTCCCTCCCTCTCTCCCTCCCTCCCTCATTCACTATTTTATCTTATAATCTGGAACAAATATTGAATGCCTTGGAAATAGTATTATAAAGATGAATTTAAAACAACTGAATTTATTTATGAAACGCACATGAAAAGGAAACCTACCTGAAGTATATAAAAGTCAAAACCATATGCTTCATCTATAAGGTCCATCACCCGATTCGTTGCTGGTATTTCAAACTTTTTGTCCAAGATTTCACTTTCCAGCTTCCGTGTGGCAACGTATGTCTTCCAGGTTTTGTTTAATCTAAAACCGTTGAATAGAGAGAGAAAAGAGAGAATGAGTACCAGTGAGACAACATGAATGAATATACAGCAAAGCAGGAGTTGAGAGACAGAACAAAAGGAAGGAGAAGGGGGTGGAGAGAGGGAGGAACATTTTTCCCTGTGACATTTCTAACTCTGTCTTTTTTTCTCTTGCATGTTTACTAATGGCATTTCCACCTCTGCCATTTTCACCTCAGGTATTTTTTACCTCTGACATTTTTACACTGAACCCCACTCTAGTGCACAAATAATTTGTATGTTGCTGACTTGCTTTTTCTAGTTCAAAAATTCAAGGCTCTATCCTCACAAATAAGGAACCATATCAGACGGGGATAAATGTCCCTTGCTATGATGGATTACAATACATCCCGTTATGTTTACTGGACAAAATGTTGCTGGATGAACTTGGGTTTCCTTTTTTAAGAAAGACACAGTATTTGATCCACATCTTTATGAATGTAAAAACATGATGACATGTATGTGAATTTGTGAGGGGGAACAAAAATTCTGTCTGTCTGCATGCAAGCGGATATGAAAGTTTCGTACCTTACTCCTCTATCTCCTTTTGACTTCCTGTATCCTTTCACCCATCCTTCTCCTCCCCATAAACCTACCCGAGCCTCAGGCGGGTAATAGGCTTGGATTGGTACTCGATTCACACGTTTTCTGTCTCCAGTTATTGGATCCTTCTCCCATTCAACTGCATAAAACAAAAGACACAAGATTACAATGTCTCTCAAAACAATAATAATAATAATACACAACATTTATTAGGCGTTTCATACAGGTGTTTCTAGGCGCACCGTTGTCTAACTAAAAATTAACAACCAAAACTTATAATAAACACACACAAAATATGAATATATGTTCTTTATTCAATAAATCATGCATATATAATAATAAAAATAAAAATAAAAATGAGATCAAACATAGGGTCAGACATAAGATCAAACATATGATCTAACAAACAAGGGATAAGATGGTGTGCACCTCCTTTGACCTACAATATTTGATTTATATATTAAAAGTTCATACAGAACGTAGTTCTACATCTCTTCTTTATTACACGGTTGTTTTATTCCATTATTAACTTAATCTCATGAGAATCAATTTATTTGAGTAATGCAAGAAAAAGAAATAAATACCATTGTATCTAAAGGCATAACTGCATTTTGCATGAATTGTATAAGCATTATTAACCTACAATGTGCTATCTAGGTAACCCACTAACCCCCCCCCCCCCCCCCCCCCCCCCCCCACAAGATAAAGAAAAGTCGTTTAAGATGATGATGCTAAAACGCCTTGTTTAATCAATAGCTCTTTATAATGATCATCTGCCCACATGAAATTATGATTTGGGATATTTAAATAATTTGTGTTACCTCCTTTATCATCCCAGTGAACTGCTGATGGTTCAAATCCAATTCTGTTCCACTTGAAGTAAGCTTCAGGAAGACGCGATCCTATTCCATCTCTATAAATTTCCTGTGCTCAAAGAAACATAAATACATGGGATTTCAATGGCATTTGTCACCATGTGTTGTAAAGTCATTCAGGTTTTTTCAAGCCCATGTCCAGAGATTATTAATGTTCATCCCAAGTTACTGTGTACACGGAGCTTAGTATGTAACAAAGTGGAGAATGTGAACAAAATCTTTGAAGAAATGGTTAAGGTCAGGAAAGTCAGATAATCAGTTTAATTGGGGTCTGGCCAACTCTGCACTGCGGCCAACTCAGAATTATGCAGGGATAGGGTCACTTGACTGGGAGTACCTGCTACACACTAGACCACTGTGGTAGCCATAAATTCATGTTTTATAGAATTTCACCTAGACATTCAACATTAATTTTTTAGTAACTGTTTTACATATTTCAAGATCCCATCAAATGGTCTGAAATTCGGGTGTTCTGAAAGATGTACTTAATACAAAATTGATACAAGTATTTGTGATCAATGTGACTCTCTTGGATAACTCTGCCATATGATTTCCCCAAAAGCCGAGTGCCCTAATGCTGAGTTAGCTTAGCCTAGCCCTAGATCCATCCATTTTAATTTTACTTTAGAAGTCCAGTTATTGTCTCAGATTCTCAACTCGAGGTAGGTTTTTACAGATTTACAATAAACAGATCACACACTAGATAATTTTTATATTAATTCCCATCGTTAGAACGTTCACTTAATTGTTACAAACTTACATCAGTGATTTTGATTTCTATTTTTTGGTCTTGGTTGAATTATTCTAGATTTAAAAAGCCATTCAAAATCTTCAAAGCAACATAGGAATGGATAAATGATCTAAGTTGGTGCGACCATAAGCTACACACTTTCTTTTCTATGGCTAAAACTAAAAGGACACTTTCTTTTGTTTGTCTTTGTTCCAGAAGCTTGAAAAGTAGCCCCCGAAAAACTGCTTTGTTCAATATTTTCTGAAGTTGACTCTTTGAAAAAAAAATAATTTCAGACAAACAAATGTCAGAAACGATTCACACATAGGTGCATTACTATCCTGGCTGTACAAAAATCAACTGATTTCATTGTGTGCAGTCTATGCAATATTGTTTGGTGTGTATATTTGTGTATAATACCTGCCATGCCTCACAACAACTAGTATGCAGTGCTAGAGTGGAACGAATCACTTTGAAATTTGATGTCCATGTAAAATTGTTTGGCAAAATGGAAGGGTCCATAAGCTACGTACATATAGAATGTAAATCTAGATTTTGCTGCCGACTCTATTCATTTTTAGTTGATAAAGCCGAAGTACAAAAATATAAGCTAGCTAGACTAGGTCTATACCATTAGACCCCCTACCAAACAAATTCTTAACAAGTTTGTTGCTCCCTAATTATCTCCGAGCTCTGAAGTTTGGTGTATTTGTACAGATCGCATTGCGCATATTTGCAGGGTGCATAGCTTATGGAAATGATAATTAAGAGTCTTTGCCATAAAGAAATAATAAAGAAATTCAGAAAGAAAAATAACATGAAGAGGACTTCTGCATTCTGACTACTCACTAATCACACTACAAAATTGTCAGTAGCCGGGACTATGACAGAAAAATGTAAGAAACCTCGAGAGCTGTAACTTTAAACTCACCATGGGATCTTTCTTCGTCTTTCCTCTAAAATTGATATGTTCTGGCTTTGGTGCACGTTTGAGGTTTTCAGCGATAACATTATACTTCAAAGATATATTTTTCATGCGCGATGCCATGATGATTTGTGGCGAGTTTCGTCCTTCACCAGAGTTCAACAAAATACTTAGTTAGATAATACGCGTGTCCACTGGTTACAGTCTAGTCGCATGCAGCGCGATCTAGTCCACCGGCCGCTCGGGCGCTCGAGGTCCGGTCGAGGAAGGGCGAGCTGAAGTCCCAGGCCGAACAGCATATCACGTACAAAAAGGGGGAGAAACGAACAGAGATCTAAATAGGCCTGTGTGTCTTTTCCCATTTTGACATAATAACTATGTTTTGGCTAGTCCGCAAATATCACCAAGACACAACTAGACTAGGCCTACTGGCCTACACACATGAAAATACGACTAAATTACCAGTAAAAACATTAATTTCTTTTGACTAACATTTCTATTGTAGAAATTAATTCTATAGATTATTTCTATAGAGCATGTACACTATAGAGTTTGAAAAGTCTTTATTTTACCATGATTTCATCATCTCACCTCCCATTCTTCTTCTCTCTCTCTCTCCTCTCTCTTTGCATGTCTGTCTGTACGTCACATTACAATAAAGTAACAACAACCTTTCACTTTTTGCTTTAAAAGTTTATTTTTTTAAATCATTGTGCAAAATCACATTTTTATCTTCTGCATGTGCATCCATTGTACATTTCAATAAGATTTCATATCATCTGACAGTGCACAGCCAGAAAGGAGTAATTAACTCTATTTTAATGATGAATTCCCTCCCTTCTAGTTACTAACAGACAAAACTGATAGCAGTTGAATAATGAACTTTTCCCTAATAAATATTTGGTGACAATATAATATTCATTTTGGGTACTGGATATAGATCTTTCTATACTGTACGAGGGGAAATCTGATACCAATATATCATCTTGAATACATAATTTTCCATAGAATATGATACCAGTAAAAGAAATGATTAATTATATGCTTTACAGATATACTTCTTTCATGTTCTCTCCTTTGTTTAAACATAAAGTTACCAACTGAATTCAACAAATTCATGATCCACATCATCTAGTTCTTGCTCAAATTGGACCATGTTGTAAGTTTACATATTATTGAAAGGGAATTATATTTTCTTTTACCATATTTGGAATGTTCTATATAGTTCCAGTTTCTGCATTTTTGACAAACATTGCAGAATGGTGCTAAAAACAGCAAAAGCGGCATATCATGTTTTATCTATTAAAAAGACATTTGAATGAAACTTGTATCCATAAAGGAAAGTAAAAGAGACACAAGTACATGTAGTTTGACAGCACTCCATACGTACCAAGTAATTGGGAAATTTAAAATGAAGGGCTCAATTATATAAGCCTAAAATAATAATAATAATAATAATAATAAAGTCATTTTTATATAGCGCATAATAATAAATTCTCTATGCTTTAAAATCATTACATAACACACAAGCATTCTAGAAAAATATTCACAAGTGATTGAGAGATGTAAACACATATTGGCAAATCATTGAATACATTTTAAGTAAAATGGATACCGGTAATCTAAACTTAACAACTGGCTTTTTATGAAACTGAAATTGACAAATACCTTAATCACCAAAAATTCATTTGAAGACATACTTTTTTTTTTGGGGGGGGGGGGGGTTTAATATTTGGATCATGGGATTATATAAATGCACTATTATATCTTTAAAACCATTTGATATTTCTCTATTCAAGAAACGATGGCACTTTAACATTGCTTTACACTTAAAAATCTCTATGTAAAAAGACAATACAACACACACCTACAATGAGTGGATAAAAGACTAAAAAATGGAATGATTTTCATACACATGGTGTCTCAAAAATATCTCCATAGCTATATTTATGTTGTGATCTATACAAAAATATACAGATACATGAAAACATTTCATCTGCTGATTGTGCAATATAAATAGAATCAATTGCATATTTACATAAGTGCATGTTGGAATTTTTTTTCTTTAATTTAATGGCTGCACAAAAAACAATATACATTATATAATTAAACAAAAATATAGTTGACGAAATGGCACCAATTAACAAACATTCATGCACCATCAAAGTACAACATTCCCTGTCATATATAGACATTGAAGGAAATTTAATGATAAACTCTTTCAACTAATAGTCATTCTTATTTCAACTCAAATACATAAATGATACTCTTTCCATTCAATGACTCTCGTCTAATTTCTACTAACACCTTTACACCAGAACAATAATGGAAGATACTATATCGGCAAGCTCACTCACTTTGGAGAATAATTGAATGAAATTTTGGATTAAAACAGGCGAGACCATTCTACATGAATAAGACGTAAATTACAGTAATTCTAAACCTTTATAAATATTTTATAAGAGAAAGTTTGGAGACAATGGATACAATTTCAAATGTACAAATATGTTGCACAGAATTATTTTAATCAGCATGAAGCAAAGCAAATCAAATCAAAAGTAATTGGTATATACCTCTCTTTGTTAAGGTATGTTTATACATACCTTACTAAACTATGACAGTTTACTGCAGGGGTGTTTTAAGTGCTCTGCTGCTAAGTGTGCTCTATATTATAACACACAAATTAGTGATGTACAACCATATGTTGTACATCAATTTTTAAACAGTTTGGAGTTTATATTTTAAGACCAACAAAACCGCTTTAAAATGCTCCATACCCATTCAAAATAAATAATTAAAAACATGAATTGCGTAAAAGTAATTTTGTACAATTCTATTTTTTACACTTGTTACAAATTAAAAACAAATCACTTTGATAATTCTAGGTTTATATAACAAATCACTAAAAGGCTTCTTAAAAATACATTGCACATATCAATACTCCTCTTACTTCAGATCATTATTTGGTTCATATTTGGCATGATTCAGGCAAGAAAATCAACATGGAATTAAAAATGGCACATAATCTAGTTGTAAAATATTGGTCACTGATTAAAAAGATTCAACTGAAAATAATGTATGTAGCATTCACATCAACACAATTACATCTTCAAACATCTGTAGTCAAACGCATGGCCTGCTCTACAGTATAAATACAACCAAAGTAAAAAGCAGTATATGAAAAGCAACTACCGGTAGTAATCATTTGTTCACATGAATAGATAAGGAAATAATACTTAAAATCATCAACTTACTATGATAAAAATAGAATGAAGGAAAGGCAACACTATCTGTGTTATGGAGAATGCGAATGAGAGACTTTAGTAAGAGTACAGCTCAGATCATGATAACAAATGGAATCATGGGTGTATGGGACTACACCCACATGCCTGCATATACTAATATAGATAGATAGAAAGATAGACAGATATGTAGATAGCTAGATAGATATACACTTAATTATCATAAATACATCAAATTCAGAACTAATTGTCTAGTACTAGCCAGGTGTCTAATGTCTAATAATTAACAAAAAATATTCAAAAAAAGAAATCAACATAATTATAGTCCAATGATTTCATACTAGAACTGTTCTACATGGAACTGTTGGTTGGACTTAAAGGGCATGATTCCCATGTGTTCATATTTCATAGATCTCATCATCATTTATCTCTCTTCACATATCTCATCTCAAATAAACACACTCAAGGCATAGTGCAAATAAAGCCTTCATGAAATACATCAAAATACATCCACGTGTAAATAGACTATCAAGTGGAATTTAGCTTTATCTATTTCATTAAAATATAATCAATATATTTATTCAATTTTAAAATATTGTTTAAACTCTATTCTTGGTGATAGGCACTTATCTCTAAAGAAGAACACACTTATAGATGCTTTATATAGAGAGTGAGTGATCTGCTTGAATAAAACTAGTAACTTCTAGTTTAATACATTTAAGGTTCATCATTAGCCCCAAGAACCATATTTAGTCCCATCTTGAATTTGAATGAACTATCATAAAACAGCATATCACCCACAGATGGTGGAGAAGACTGTGCGAGTTGAATAAGTACCAGAACTAGATAATCTAAGAGTTTATGAAAGTGTGGTATTAAATCCACATCCAACCCAGAGCATAACATCCTATGTAAGCCCTAAATATCAACCCCTAAGGAAAGAACACACCATCATGCGTTCTAAATCTTTTAATAACAGTGTGTCCACATTGACAATAATATGAAAGCTAGTGTTCCAAATTCTTGTATGTGATCACAATGTGATTCTATATGTGGCTCCTGAGCGTCTCAGTGTTACATAGTGTGGAAACAGTGCATTCACATTGACAAGTACATGAGTGTTCCACATTATCTTATGTGGTTACAGTGTGATTCTATCTGTGGCTATGGAGTGCCACAGTGTTACATAGTGTGTAGCAATGTGCATTCACATTGACAAGAATATGAGTGTTACACAGTCTCTTATGTGGTTCTATATGTGGCTCCTGAGTGCCACAGTGTTACATAGTGTGTAGACAGTGCATTCGCATTGACAAGAATATAAGTGTTCCAAATTCTCTTATGTGGTTAGTGTGATTCTATCTGTGGCTATGGAGTGCCTCAGTGTTACATAGTGTGGACACAGTGTATTCACATTGACAAGAATATGAGTGTTCCACATTCTCTCATGTGGTTACAATGTAATTCTATCTGTGGCTATGGAGTGCCACAGTGTTACATACTGTGGAAACAGTGCATTCACATTGACAAGAATATGAAAGTGTTCCAAATTTTCTCATGTGGTTACAATGTAATTCTATCTGTAGCTATGGAGTGCCACAGTGTTACATAGTGTGTAGACAGTGCATTCACATTGACAAGAATATGAGTGTTCCAAATTCTCTGGTGTGGTTACAATGTGATTCTACCAGTGACTCCCAAATTCCATGTTGTGTCATATAGAGTGCACACAGTGTGTTCACAATGACAACACAAGGAAGGTCTTTCAACTCTTACATTTGGGGGTTTGTGTGAGGGCGCATGGGTGGATGGGTAAAGGGAACATTTTCATACTACAATTTGTCAAAAGTTCATGTTGCTAAAAGTGTTGGTTTTAAAGTAGCTGAGACTGGCACCAGTAACAAGCAATACAGGCACCTACACCATATTGACACCATAGTTTGAACTGATCACCCACTCATAGCATCCTTTCTAAACACAGCACCTGATCTCAAAGGTGTCACCTCTGGGGATGTTCCTTCATGTATTTCTCTCTGAAGGGACTATTGATGTCGACTTGAGATCCGTTGGTCAGGTTCCATTCTGGATATCTGAACTTCAGGTTGAACATGGAGGCAAAGCGACGATAGAGGGCTTTCTCTGTCAGATAACGATGGCCTTGTTTCTTCTCTTTTTCATGCATGTTGAGAAACTCACATTCATTCCAAGGAAGGTTTTCCCAATAGTGGTATGGTGCCTCTGTGTCTGCATTAGCCCTGGTGTACAAATATATAATACATTATATACCGGTAAATTCAACAAAGTAAACATACAATCATTGATAAAAATCTCTTGTATCTCCATTCTTGCTATAAATGCTTGTATCTGACAATGATTTGTATCTTTACGCAACATGACTTTAAGGTAATTTACTATTGAAACAGATTAATTCATGGGAGATACAACTGATCATGAATCTTATAATTCAAAAGGCATTCGGGTGTTGCATCTATCCTCAATATACACAGATTATGCGGACACATACAATCAAGCAACAGATCAATATAATCACTTGGTCACTTAAAATATACCAATCACCAAAACATGTTCTGCTCTTGAGTAAGGAGTTCCATGTTACTATACTGTATTAAAAATAGGAGCTTTAAATACTACTTCTACAAAGAGATTTAAATACATTCTCAATGAACCGTATAACGTCTTGTTGAGTAGACTATTTAACACAAGCATACGCACTCGCATTGGTTCTGTGCAAGCCCTATACACAGGGTTTAACGTTATTTTCTTCATACTCCGTAACTGTTCACCTATAGAATGCCAGGTAAAGGTTTGTGAGGTTGAATTTATATATCCTATCTGTATTCTGTACACAATTTTTTTTCCAGGTGGTACAATTAAAGGAAAATATCTTACTTGCAATAGTTTTCATCCACCATTCCATAGACTGTAACATTATCACATGCTTGTAAGGCGAAGAGCATTGTAAAGAGACCTGTAGACAGCCATGTATGTGACTTCGCCCTGTGAAGAAAGAAGAAAAGTGTTGCATAATTTGGAATTGCTTCATTCACATCAATCTACTTCAATTAACTATCCATTTCCTGCCCTCATATCAAGGAAGCTACATGTTCTTATAAATTAAAAGATGAAAGACCTACTTCTTGATATGTAAAACGATCGAATAAAATCTGCACAACAAGAAAATAGCATAATACAATGTCCTCTTTCTGCACATCAAGTTAAAATCATTGTCCTTAAAACTTCCCCAAATTTTTATCTATAAATATTAACCCATTCGATTATATTACAGCACTCAGTTTCCGTAGACCCCAGCCAAAATTATCTAGGGCCAGCCAAAGTTATCTAGGGCCAACCGGTTGACAAAACAATATGAAGCACAGGGAAAATTTCCCACGTTGATAAAACACAACTTTGAATCTCGGAGTGTAATACTATAGGGGTAATAATAAAGGAGCGCCAGGAGTAGCAATGTGCCAGCCACGAGCACTATACAAAATTCTACTTTTATGAGGCCTGACTATTACAATTATAACCATCACCATCATCATCATTATCATACTGACCTTGATATTCCTGTTTCTGATTCAAAGATCACATTGACTTTCTCTTCACCTACATCCTTGAGTGAGAACCATTTTGTTTGTAAGTACTGTCTCATAAGCATCTTGAGTTTAGACATGGCCCATCTACCATGGCTCGGGTTCTCAGCTCCCCATACAACAACCTGTTAAAGGAATAATGAATAATAATAACATTAAATTCATTTAGAGGCGCAGATCAACCTGGCAGTGGTGCTCCCAAGTAACCTCTAATATTTGACTTGGTTTAATGAGGCAACCTTAACAGTGCTCAAATGAATTTCAAAAATTATCTTCAAACCAGGTCCAAATTTACAAAATCTGGGCAAAAATACCAACATGACATGCCTATATTTGCAATGGGAAAGGACTGGAAGCTCTAAACCTCTTGATTGATCCATCAGATCACAATCCATCCCCATGGATTAAAAGATTACATGATTCAACTAGAGAAGGCATTAGAGATCTCTTTATCCCCTCTCTTCTTTCATCATAAAGAAAAAAATGCTCTTACAAAGTACATTTATCAATGATTTAGTAGGGATTTAAATGTACCGATAAATTCTTAGTAAGAGATTCCACATTACATGTCCTAAAAAATATAATTAAAATGCTGTGAGCGTCGAAATCGGTAGCCTAGCATAGCCGGGTGATGTTGGAACGCCTTGAGGACATTGCAAGGTTGATACGTGCGCTATATAAGAATCCAATATTATTATTATTGTTATTATAAAATATGGTTCCTTTCATATTAACATCGCAGAATCAACAAAGAGGATTGCATTATTCCCCAATGATCTGTAATAATGATATTGACATCGTTCGTATCTGCAGTGTAAAAAAATTCAATACAGCACTTGCTCACCTCATCCGTATGCCCTTTCCCAGCTAGCATGCTCTTCCTCAAATTGGCAACTGATCGGAAGCACACAATCCTGGTGGTGGTCCTCTTGCCCACGTATTCTTCATACCCAATAACGGGGGCGTTGTTCATCCGAATGACGCATTCTGCAGAGTCGATCTCTTCCCCCGCCTGGTGGAAGAGCAGACGTCCAGAGCTGGTCACAAGAGAGCAGGTCTTGCAGCGAGAATAATATTTCTTCTGGAGATGGAAAAGACAACATGCAGCAACATTTGGTTTTGAGAATGCTTCAACTATCTCAGAATCTGCAAAGAATGCAGTAAATAAAATTAGATAAATTCTTCACCCTGAATCAAACAGAAATTACCTCTTAGAAAACTACGGTACCTTGAAATTGTGATGTCCTTTGCAGTCATGTTCAGTTAAGTAAAAACTGACAAATTCTTGTTGAAACCTTCATCATACTGTAAATTATAGTTAAGGAAAGGTATCTGTAAGCTTACATTTACAATTTTGCCTATAAATTCTTATACTTGTCATTATTCTTTTTTGCACTACTTTTCTAAATCATATAATTATTCATAGCAGTGATCAATTTCACATAGATCATCAAATTAAAGAACTGTACCATCAATAAACTCTACCAATATTTTATTTGCACTTCACAATGTTACATTTGACTATGTGAAGGTCACCTTGAGATCTTTGATATCTCTGTAGTCATCTCTAAGATCAGCCAATCTTCGCTTTAGTTCCTCAAGATGTTCCTCCTTCTGCTTGGGTTCATACAATCCAATGTCTTCCTTTGTCTTCCTCCGGTAGTAGGTCTTGGAGTTGAAAGGGTCCTTATCTCGCTCGTATCTGATTTTAAAACGACGATTGTCAATGTAATCTTTAGGTAATGGAGCACAGATTAGCATAAAAAGTTTAAACATTGTCAAATTTTACAATTGACTTAACCTAGACTGGCAATAGGAGTCATGTTTCCAAGGAACTACCAGTAACAAAAATGTACAGATTTTACACAAGTTATGTCATTTTTGAGGGGGTGGGGGTGCAAATGTCCATATTTTGCAAAAATTAACATAACTAAAGGAAACGATATAACTGTGGCTATGATATAGATTTCATATCCTGTTCATCTTAAGTGGCAATAACTTCATTCATACACAGGTACATGTAATGCCATTTTTCTTGTTTGATTTTGGGGAAATGTGCACATCCTTCATACAATTACTAAACTATAGGAATCCAAATTGTGATTGTGACATAGATTTTATGCCGTTTGCATCTAAATGCTGACTAACCTATTTTAGAACTCATTAAAATTTTGACAACAGAACTTTGACATGAGACCAAAGCATGAATGTATACAGGGTATACCAATGAGATATTACATTAAAGAAACAGGGCTGTCTAATTATCAAACCATAAGAGAATGAAGTCCAAGTTTGATATTGATATGTCCATACAAATGAATTAATATCAAGATTACAAGTCTTGGTAATCAGCTGAAAGGTGATGAGCCATCCCTTATAATATCACTAATGTACACATGTGCTTTAGAAAATTAAATATTAACAAGATCATAAATAAATAGTGAAGGAATCACACACCTGTACATAGTCCATCTGTAACTTGTTTAAACTGGTTTGAAAACTAATTGAACAGATGTTGTTTTTTCATCATCGTGAGAATGTCAGATAAACATGAAAACAATTGTTGCATGAATACTGGCTGCAGTATCTGACTTGTCAGCAAAAAAATGCATAATTACAGATGGACAATGTTCAGGGAAATTAAAAAGAAGGTAAATAAGAATATTACTAACTGGTGTCCCGGTGAAGCAGTAAAGCAGATAAAGGCGACCATAAAGATAGTGGCTAGCATTCCATACAGGAGAATAGCCGCAAAGATATTAGGGCAACCACACTGCACCATTAGAAACATGAGAAAAAAGTGATAACACACAAAGAGAGAATATAAAGAGACAAAGAAAGGATCACAACTGTTTAGTTAGGAAAAGAAAACATGTTAAAAATACAAGAAAGATGATAGTGCACTCACATTTGCCAAATACACTATATCAGAATATGATATATAATATAACAATATAAAATAGAATTTGTCCCTTTAGGCCAACATACAAAAGACAAATCAAATGGCCAATAAATTACCATATAACCACTAGGTGGCCTGTCTTTTTTACAGGTTTTTGTTTGTTTATTTTCTTTGTTTGTGTTTATGTTCTCTGCACTTGTAATCTAATACCCCCTATGACTCACTACTGAACAAGCCCATCAGATCCATTAAAATCTTAATCCATTATAATGGGTCAAGTATAAGGTACCTATAAAGCCTTAGTAAACTGTATCTCATAACAAAATACAATAGACCTCTTTCATCTACAGCGTGCTAACAGCCCAAAGAACAGTTTGTTGGTTGCCCGCAAGAAGCCATTAAAATAAAAAACATGTTTAGCGTCCTGCCTTTTTGAAAAATAGGGAGGAGGCCCTTTTTTGTCTTCAAACTGGCCGCTCGATACATTTTCCCTGACGTCCAGCCAGCCGGGCTATTTTTCAAGACAGCCACCAACATTTATGTTTTATTTTTGAAAAAATTCAGACAAAGATCATTAAAGCAGGATGTTTTTCATTTAAAAAAAAAAAAAAAAAAAAGCAGGCGGCCTCAAAAAAGGAAGCGGGCGGGGACGCTAACATGATTTTTAATTTTTTTTTAATGGCCGTACTGCCACTGACCATACACAACTCAAACAGTCTTCATGCAGGCAGTGTATAGTAACAGCCTCTGGGCTCTCAACAGCTATACTATCTGTATCATTGACTCATTCTTCTGTATGTACAGGTTACCATAAAGTATGCATCATCACCCAATCCTTATTGTACCTGTTCCAATCTACATGTATATCATACTTACCGTACTCATTCAAGGTGCTTTGTCTATAAAAAAAAAGTAGGCCTATGTATATCTGACCAACATCCTACTAACCCACACAGGAAGCAATTTGTTAATAGAGTAACATCATGTCTGTGCACATACCAAAAGCACCAAGTCATTTTGCCTTTGTTAATAATCCTATGGTAACCCAAATTATTTCTCATTTTCCATAATTCTTTTTAGAAATGTACAAGTAAATATGCAGTAGTTTAGCTTTAGCAATGCATGTCGACATATTTTCTCCCTGAATAAGTCTTAAAGCAAACTGATAGTAAACGCTTAATTATGGTTGAATAAGATCATGGAATGGATTAGAATGTCCCTTTCTTGAAGATTAATAAATGTGAGAACAAAATGAGTTAGAATCTCATCCAGAGTCATTCAACCACCCAAAGAGTTCATATTGAACTGCACGACCGTATCATATTGAGATTTTGCAGTATAAATACCTTGTACTCATAATTTCATATTATATAAATCTCTTCTTCTATCTTATATTGCTGACCCAATACCACTATAATAGCAAAAGGGTTAAAAGGTTATTTTCCGTGCCTGCATTTTGCCAAATATATGATTTTAGAACCAAACACAAGAAAGCTTTAAAATGTAGTAAAGGAGTAAATGTAATAATTTCATCGTGCAATACATAAAAGTGAAATAAAGTGATCAAAAGGAAAATTATTGAGAGCAAAGATTTATTAGCTTATAAAATGTTAAGTGTTCAACCAATATGTTAGTTTCATGTATATTCCCCTCAAGAACAACAAAAAAGTTAATCAATTTCGTTTTGAGTTCTTGTATTTCATGTGTGTTTTGTTTGTTTTGTTTTGTTTCTCTCGAAATCCAGATGTGTGCAAATAAAGGTGTAAATCATTTTGCGTCTTAAAACGATATCTTGAAATGGACAATATTAATAACAACTTCAATTTTGTAGCTTTTTTTAATTATAAAAGTCAAAACAACCAGCATTTACCGCACATTAAGTTGCAAGTTAAAAATTAGTATAAAGAAGAAAGACCTCATAAGAGATATGTCAAAATTACTAAACCCTAAACTTCACATGAATATAGATTTGACAGCATAACTGTACATCATTCCATATCTTTGTTTATCCTCTTCTTTGAAATTTATATTGTTATGTTTTAAAGAAGCAGTCTTTGGGATACTAAAGAAGAAAAACATAAGAAACACAAATATTTGTGCACTCCACAAAAGATGACTAAAAATCATGAATTTCTGACTGAACTTTTTATGAGGCCTTTCAATACTAACAAACCCATACCTGAAACAGGTAGAAAAACCAATGTTAGAAGAAGTTTATCAAAGTAATTATCAAACAGGTTACTTTAAGAATAAAGTAACAGAGAATAAATATTAAGCTGATCACATATCTGGTTGGATGTACTTACCACACCATAATCAAAACTACACGGATTCAAAAGTAAACAAATATCATTTGAAAGTTACAAATTATAATATATCAAACATTTCTAGATGCTTCACACATTCCAGAAGATTTAAATGGGTGAATTATCATAAATCAAGAAAGTCCAAATCTTTTCACTCCATTTAAAAAAAAGGAGAATCCCAACAATGTATAAAGTACATGAATGGGCAATCAATTCCAACAATAGACAAACTAAGACTGTGTCTACCAAACAGTTCCCTTATGAGCTTATCAAACACTTTGGCTAACCATAAAACAAATTAAACAAAATTGTTTACAGATATACATCAAAGTCATCAATTACAGTTTTCAATCAAGTCTTTTTCTTCCTCTATATTTTCTTTTCTTTTCTTTTTTTCTTACTTGTGTGTGTGTAAAACAATTTCATAATAACGAGATTCCTTGTTGGAGTAGCAAATACCATTTCTCGAAATAGCCTGATAAAAAATAAACTGATACGAACTTATAAAATAAATTAAAAATGAAAATTCACTTACACAACACAGAGACTTGGTGTGTGGCTCAGCATACCTCCTATAGCCAGGAGGTATCCCAGTCTGCAGGTTTAAAAGACATATCATTACTTCTTTGGCATCATCAACACTTTCAAAAACAGAAATCAAATTTACACTTATGCAAATCAAAATAAAAAGAGAAAATCAAAAGCTAAATACAGTTGAAAATTAGGAAAAATGATGGGTAAATTATATAACTGATGGTAATGTAACTTGCAATAAGCGAGCTCGTAATTAGGATTTGTAATCAGTATTCATCTATGCACCAACAATGCATTTATCGCATACACAGGTGGAAGTATTCTTCTCAAGAGGCAAACAAAAGGTATTCATGAAGCACCTCCATCACTTCGGCAGTGATTATTCTAAAATGCACATGTGGGAAGTATCCATCGTGTAAAAGATCTGTGGATATTTTGGGGTCATGCGTTCCAGAGCTATTTACGAACTCGCTTATTGTAAACTGGTGTTCTTTGGAAGAATAAACATGAACATACCTTATTCAGGAATAAAATTAATAAGTATTTAGCTCATCAAAGAAAATAAATTTGCTGTACAATATGTGACTTTTGGAAGGTCCCATTTAAACTAAATATCTATTCTAATCATTGTTTTATAGTTTTTATCAAATTCTATTTCAAAGAAATGCTGCTAAATATGTATCTTATATTCACAACAATATTTGATGTCTCTAAGCGTCTTTTAAACATAACCTAGAAGAATGGATGCTTTCATGGATGATTTGATAATAGTATATTGCAGTTCTTGCTTTGTTTGTGTGTTTGTCTGTTTATTTGTTTGTTAGTGTTTTTTTTAAAATTACCTACTAATGAAAGTTCTACTTAGTACAATTTAATTTTTACAATTCAATTCAATTTCAATTTCAATTTTCAATTTCAATTTTCAATGTACATGCACAACTCCAAATGAACAGCACATAATTGATTTTTTTTTTTTAAAGTCCTTTCAATTGATAATTCATTAGGGGAAAAAACAGCACAATGAGCCATAACATGAAAGAAACATATAATACATACATGTGTGTGTGGACATGCATAAGAATCCTTACCAATGGGCGATTATATGACTTGTAGGGCATAATGTCCTCCTCGTTTCGCTTTGGCTATGCCAGATAAAACACAGATGTAACTTGATGCAAGGTGGGAGGCAGTACTGAAGCATTTGAGAGGTATGTTTCTTATAGTTTTCTTTGTGATGTCACAATGGTTGGATTTTGATCCATCTTGATACCAGCTCAGATGGAAAGGAACTCTGCTCGAAGGATTAGCAGCTTTCCTGCATATGATAACAAATTAAAAAATCTATTACTACAGACATCGCTTATACACACATTTCCCCCAATAAGCAGATTATTTGTAAAAATAAAACAGCAAATATTTATGTATGCCAGTAGTTTAGTACAAATGAAACCATTAAAAAAAGATCTTTGTTATAAAAAGGTAAGTTGCTTGCCCCACCTATTTGTTTTCTACTTTTTTGAGCCATCATACAAGTTTTAACTTATCAATGTTTACTTTGGCCCATCTTTGTTTTTTAATGAGGTTTCACTGTAATATGACACTCCTCTTTCAACATAAAATCAGTCTTCTTCCTTTTAAATAGACCCACACAAGGCATGATGACTGTGTGGTATAGCACTGGTCTCATAACCAGGCGTTCAAAACCAAGTCAATGGGCGAGCAGCCTTTAGTATCAAGGCATTAATCCTCATTATTACGACCCTTGGAGAGGATGCTATACCTACTTGTATTTTCGCGGACGTTTTTTTCTTTGGTGCATGCGTCTTTCGGGTCCCTGAAGACGTGAACCCTGCTGTCGATGCAAAAAACGGATTCCGCGTAATAAAATAACCCCACTTTGCCGTCTACTTTTATGGGTTGTCCGTCTTCCCAAGGATTTATCGCTCATAACGTGAAAGTCTCTGTACAAAGTCAGTGTAAAATGCATCAAGAAAATCATTGCGAAATCTGTTTTTCGCACTGCGGATCAGAAATATGAAATGTCTATGAAAACGAGGTCGATCCTTATTTTTGCAAATGCATCTGTCCGCGTACGCGTTGAAGCGAATGATCCATATTTTCGGACAAGCGCCCCCCTACTGTTTGTAAATGACCAGCCGCATTAGTATAAGTCAATATAAATTCTGTAAGATATGATTTATCCACACAAACCTCATTTATGTCTTTGTCATTATGCACAGCTAGCTCAGTGTGCAACAACAAGCACCACAGCCATATAGATCACTCACTGCACTGGTCAACGACTTTGAGGAGTCGCGTCCACAGAGAAAAAACACAACACCGATAAATTATTAACAGCACATAAACAGACAAATTATCACATGATTTTAAAAACCCTTCTCAACAAATCACAAGCATTAAAACTTACCAAAACGTTACTGCTCACTGTGACATGACAATATGATTCTTACAGGTCTTTCATGTATTTTTTATAACATTTCTTTTCAACTTCTTCGCTCATTCGAATTCCGAAGTTCAGCTCCTTTTTTTCTTTCCACTATTCTGATCTACGGTACGGTGTCTTCAATATTTTTTTTCTTTCTAGGTACAAAGATAATTAGATAATAATGATTCGGTACAATATTTGATCCACATCATCATTTCGGTATGTGTTGTTTATAAGCATTTGGGCACATAGATAATTATTAACACCCTTCAATGCATTTATATTTGAACGGCCTTTGGAATTTGGGCACAAACAGAAGCACTTCACTTTTAGTTCAATTTAATTGATTTAGTTTGGGGATGCTATCTGATCCCATGCAATCTCGATCAGTTTGATCAAAGTCATGAAACCATATAGAATTTAAACTTATGACATTAGTTGTTTAGAATAATGTATTCTAATATAATAGATTAAACCATTTTCCCTGTCTGTAAATATACACAATTTCTTTCTAATACTGTATATTATATCAATTAATTGAATAAAGAACATATTTATATTTTTTGTGTTTATTACAAGTTTTAGTTGGTAATTTTAAGTCAAGGCAATGGTGTGCTTAGAAACACCTGTATTAAGCGCCTAATAAATGTTATATATTATTAATTAACTTATGTATTTCCGAGGCATCTTGAGAATTTTTCATGAAGAAAATTATTATATTCTTCTTTTTTATTCTTTCCATTTCCCCTCTTTTATACCTATGCCAAAACCCCCTGCCCCTCTTGCTCACTCTCTCTCTCTCTCCACTTCCCTTTCTCTCTCTCTCTCTCTCTCTCTCCCCTTCCCTTTCTCTCTCTCTCTCTCTCTCTCCTTCTCTCTCTCTCACTCTCATTCCCTGTCCCACCTTTCTCTCTCTCTCAAGTAAATTCCAGGTTATTTCACACATCGCCAAATGTCAGCAACTAGGAGGGCGGGTAAAAAAAAACACAAGAAAGTAAAGTCTCTTCACATTCTAATTGATTTACAGCTGTGTTTAATAGATGAAATCATTCAACATTATAAATAAAATACACTGGCCTTGTTTATGTGATTTACATATCTTTTTACATGCAACACAAGGTGTGTACGCCACTGTGCAACACATATATGTCCTTCATATAGCATGTTTACATAGTTCCCTGAAGTAAATATTACTTTTGCTAAGGACCTTTTTGACACCAGCAGAACATTTAAAGAAGTTCTAATCATTAAATTATTGTTAAAAAAACATACTCACTTTTTTATTGTTACTATATCTATACAAGTAACTATGAAACGGAAATTCTATATTTTTAATCTATTTAAATTTTGTAATGTTTCTTGTGGAACATTTAAAAAATTAGAAATAAATATGAATTGAGGTACAATGTTTGGTATACTGGCCTTCAATTAAAGCTCTTGATTATATTTGTTTTCTAAAATACTTGCATGTATATCAATTTCTTAATACATTTGTATTTTCATTCATGATTTTTGTTTTAAATACATGGAAACATAAATGGAACTTAATAATATAAGGTACCCTGTGCTCTCTCTCTCTCTCTCTCTCTCTCTCTCTCTCTCTCTCTCTCTCTCTCTCTCTCTCTCTCTTTCTATTTCTCTCTAATAAAATGCATATATTAATTCTCACACGTATACTTATGGATATGGACATCAATACATAATGACTTTAAGAATAATGTGTAACTTTAAAAGGAATGACATGATTATTACAGTCTACCGGTAATTAAATTCATACCAATCATATAGGCCGGACCATACACAATATAAAACAATGATAATTATTGGATATTTTCATAGTGCACACATCCACCGCACAAGGTGCTCAAGGCACTCCAATATCACCCCGGCTTTGCTAGGCTACACATTATTGCTCACATTATTTAAAGAATTCCTTCCTACTGGTACCATTCAACACCTGGGTGGAGAGAGGCAAATGTAGATTAATGTCTTGCCAAAGAACGTTAGTGCCTTCGGGATTCGAACCATGAACCATGTGATACACGGTCCAAGGACATATCCACTAGACCACGACACCTCTACACCTCTACTGAAACATGAAGACATGGAAGCATCTATATAAGGGTTTATCAGATAGAAAGGGATATAAATCTAGACATGATCGAGGTAATCAATGCACAAATAAGCGCAGACACGCATTGCTTCACAGCTTCTTGATAGTGATACAGAAAGGAAATTTTTTTAAAAATCTGTCTAAATAATGCTAATTAGTATAATTTATGGAATACCCATGATTTGTGTTTTAAGTGCATGTAATACCTTACGTTAAGCTTCTTTTATTTATTCCATTTACCCTAGATAATCAACTAAGTACATCAATTCATTTAAGTACTAACTTCGTGTGAGTGACAGTGCCTTCCCAGGTAAGCATACCCTTTAAACCTTGAAATTCATATGAATGGAAAGCTTAAATTCAATATCACTATATATATATTGTTCTTAAGAAAATAAAAATATCATTTAACCCTTCATAATACCAACTCCCTCTCTCTAGCTCTATACGTGGTACAGGCATAGAGGGCGCTCTTTCTCTATCACAAACAGACCAATCTAATGATCTATACACAGAGTTTGGCCAACTTGAATTCAGTTTTGTTTTGTGCTTGCCTAACAGAGCAAGTATTCACTGTATTAAGCCTTACTTGAACCGGTTTGGCCAAACTCTCCTAATCAATGGTACGATTATATTCATCAACATCCACCTTTTGATGTTATTGTTAAAGACAGAGACCAGTATTGGAAAACAAAAATTTCCAATTTCAAAAAATGAAATGGAAGCTCTTATTACCAATCATGTGAAAGAATATGTTTTGACTAATACATGATGATACAAATTTTGCCGGAAACCGCCTACTAATTGATATGTTTGGTAAATTAGTTAACTATTGGACTGTGAGAGAAAAACGTATGTGTCGCGCACGTGTGCGTAGTCCCATATACATCTTTCTGTGTACAGTGCTTGTAACTTTACCAAGACTGGGCCGAATTTCTTATCATTTTGATGATTCCCGAACCTTGCAGTACACACCAATACTTATATGCTAGATGATCAACCTTTTCTGATCGATTCCACAACGTTTCTTTCTCAATGCAATCGCATGACCAGAACTGGTCTTTACCTTTAACCCATGAACTGCTCATTCATTCACTCCCATAGGTTTAATTAAGGGACAACCTTGTTCCTGTAGGCAATGCATTAATTAATATAGTCATTAATATTCATGAGCAGCTGCTGTGATGAAATAAGCAAGAACGATGCGGATGGAATCCATGAAGAAATTTATGGATAAAACTTCCAACATCGACACCGGCAGTGCAATTTACCCATCTCCTGCACTGCTTCAATTAATGGTATTCTTTCTTCTAGTTCCACAAGCTCTCGCTGAATCTTCTTTAAAAATTAATCATGTCTCAACTCTGATTGATGTCTAAATTTTCTATTTCTTTTGTGGCATCCTCCTCTTTAGTTTCTATCTTTGTTTCTTCTTTACAATCACTCTCCTCTGGACCTGGACTCCCTACAGATGAGTCTGCATCACCCTTGGCAGTAGGAACAGAAGATGGTTTCTGGTCCTGTTCTATAGTTCTTGGTCTATCCTCGGTACTAGTAACATTACTGTCCTGTGTTTCTACCTCCTGGAGTGGTAGAATCGTCCTTGCCTCATGGATTAATCGCTTGATCCCAACCATCCATTGACTTACCTAAATAAATGTGTCAAATAGAAAGAAAAAAAAGGTACAAACCATCAGTTCATATGTACTGGATTAATACATCTAATGATACAGGTTGAAATTCGGCTACATTTTTATTCATCGCTATTGGAATGCTACATGCCAACTCTTTCATACAAATGATGTAAATCTAATTTTAATACAATAATATTTGAATTTTGGTGATTTTTAATTTCTATTAAGGATGTAGTGATATTAATCCACACCAATGTTGTTTGAGCCATTCTATAATGGTAGGCCTATAAGTTTTAAAGTACATTTTAAATGACAAAGATTGTTCATCTTTGTTGATATTGATTGATAATGGTTTTGTTTGTTATTTAACTGGTACTTAAAATAATTTTGTATTACTAAATCTGTATGATTGATATGAACATGTGCAGCACACTAAGTGTCATTGTTACACAATGAATGGATGTTATCCATACACAATCACTCACTTTAATTTTTGTAATAAAGAAAGGAAGGGGTATCAATACATATTAAAATACATCCAGGAATTTAAAGAAAATTACAAATAAATCTTACCTCACTGACATGGTCTATCATCAAAGATATATGAATTTCATGAGCACTGTCATACCTTCTGGCATTTAATTCTGTTTGGAAAAACAAAGAAAATGCATGCATTGAGGAACATAAATCTGTAATGGGACACTAGTGGAAATATTTTATACATGCAGACACTAGACAGACATGTAATTTTGTGTAAGTGTTAGAACAACTAGTTTTACAAAAATCTTCTCATGATGCTAACTTACGATGCTTGCAATGTTTGTAAACATGCTGAAAACATTGGTTTTAAGCACTGGGCCCAGCCAGCATTGCAATAGGCTAGAAGCCTATAATCGATTCTCCCCCTTAAACTAGTTATGAGTGAATAAAATAAAATTCAATACCTGAAGCTATCTTGGCAGTCCTCCTTTGGACGGGTGAAGACAGTTTGTTATTCTGCCACGAGTCCTGTAACAGTTTGAGTCTTCTCTCAATGTCGGATATCACACGTTTCTAAGTATTAAAAAAGAAAGGAAATATGTCACAATAATCAAAGTATATTTCTTCAAAACTTGTTCATAAGTTCTATTGTCAATTATTAGAATGTATTAGTGGGCTTAAATATATAATCTTCATTAGAAAGCTATGTAAATTATTTATTTTGTCCCCTATTCTCTGTAGAAGCATCTTCTCATTCATGATGATAATTTAGAAATAATCAGTCTGTTCCCCAAGTGTAATCAGCCTTGTATTGTTGCAAATGCAATATAGTAGATTGTATCATTGACATAAAATTGTATTCTCTGCAAAATAGTTTGAACATTGTATAAATTATCCTTACAATACTTTGAGTATTGAACAGAAAGCTTGGTATCTCTTATTGGAAGATATCAAGTAAAATCGTGATTAATGGAAATCCACTGATAAGGACAATTGTCAATGAGATTCCCCTCTGTATTGTTATGATTTTAAATTTACAAATAAAAAGCTGTTGTGCCATAACAAGAGAGACATGATGAATCAAACTAGAGTTTCCAAACGTTTTGAGGGGTCTAGTTTGACCTCCACACCAAAATAAAACATGAACTGACCTGTAGTTTTTCTTGGCATTGTTCAAAGACCTTTCTGAACAAAGTGACAGTAGCTTCACATGAAACCTCCTCTCCATCTCCATCACCACAAACAGGGGATTTCCCTGATGATGTCACATGTTGGATGGCTCTGGTTGGCCCTGATGGAGGAGGACCTGTAGATGGGGGAGGGCCAGTGGATGGGGGAGGACCGGTAGATGGGGGAGGGCCGGTAGATGGGGGAGGGCCAGTGGATGAAGGAGGGCCAGAGGGAGGGGGGAGGTTTGCTGCAGGTGGAGATGTGGAATGTGGCTGACCTGCAAAGTAACAAAGAAATTATGTACATGAGGATATTAAAGATACACTAAAACTCTCAAATAATACTAAGACTCACAAAACAAAAACTAAAACTCACAAAGATTCACTTAAAAGAGATTTCGACAACAGTAATACAACCTGTGATGAAGACTATCTCAATTTTAACAGTCTTTAACAAAAAATGGAAAAACAAATAAAATGTAAGTATATAGTACAAAACTATATCAATTAACATTCTTGAAATTCTCTAAGAGCTTGAGGAAACTTAAATTTCTTTCACCTTAATAATTTATGGGTTATTCATATTGTACAGATCTCAATAGCACAATTACATATATATATATATATATATATATATATATATATATATATATATATGTATCTCTCTCTCATTTTGTTGATTTTTTACTGCATGGACAAAGAGAGTGAGAGAGATAACAAACTAAATTTAAATAATTGAAAAGATATACCGGTACATATATCTCTTTGAGTAATTTCAACTAAACAATTAGTTCACTCTAGTTTGTTTTTGTTATTTCAAATTCAGTTGAAAGACATAGAAAATAAATCATGTGGAATACTCACCAGTGCCAGAGGGTAATGGATAGTTCTGAGGCATAGCCACCCTTTGATTAAGTAGGTTTTTCCTTGGTGTAGTTTGAGCCTGAGAAGCTTTGTCATAAGCAAAGCTTGGAGGATCATTCCATCCTTTGTCACGGTTTCCTGAAGTTCAATTACAATATATATCACACAGATAATCATTCATTTAAAAATTGCTGGGAAATTAGTTTCTGAGCATTTAGAATGATGAAGGATTCCACACAATGACGTCTGCAAGTTTTTTTTTTAGATTTAACTCAAGTATCAGAAGTGGAAAGAAAACAAAAATGCAATGTGAGAGACACAGACAATGCAATGCGAGTTAGAATACATATTGTATAAACATGTGACCTCTGTAAGCCTCGTACAATACATTTGTGATGTACATAATGTATTAATACTGATGCACAATGCACATGCTAACTTTTGGTGTTTAACACAATAAAGATAGAGACCGATAGTGAAAACATTTAGCATACACATAACACAGGTTACAACATTTGGGACTACAGATGAAAACTCCCTGCCACGTCACACACGGTTATTTTTCATTTCGGAATGTATAAATCCGTAATAATAACATGAAGCCTCCATAAATTTCAATGACATGATAAAGAATTATGAACCATATGACAATCCTCACCTATTCTCTTCTCTTCTTCCATTTTTCTGGAGTGTTAAGAACGTCAAACTCGGCAGCAAATATATAATGACGATAAGACATGTGGGCGTGGCTTCATTATATTGTTTGGGGGAATTCCCTTCGCTACAGCGAAGCCTGCGTGATGTTACAGTTGGGGTGGGTGGGTTGGGGGGGGGGGGGGGGGGGGGGGGGGGGGGGGGGGGGGGGGGGGAGGTGGGCTGGGGGGGGGGGGTGGGTGGGGATCTTCACCCGATTGAATCAATATCCAGTCACGAGGAAAACTATGCAGAATATTGATGGATAACACACTGCCAATCTAAAAGGGGTGGGAATTGAATAGGTTTTCCATCCACCTGTGGTATTTGAAACCACGTCCCCAGGAGTGTTGTTATGACAAAAGTTGCTTCATTTTTTTTTAAATAGAAGGGTTAATAATAAAACACAATTATTACATGTTCATCTGGGAGTGAGTGAAGGAGATGCTGTTCATGAAAATAGGGACATTTTATACATGTTTTAATGTTTTCCTCTATCATGGATTGACGGCACAACCCCCCCCCCCCCCCCCCCCCCACATTGTCTTTTAACAAAAATAGGGGGAAATTTGTATTTTTCTGTCCGATCCTGGAAGACAATTTCTTTTAAACATCAATCAGTTTGCAGTATAACGTAACAAAATATAACCAGTGCTCTAAACTACAAAGTTTCAAAATTAAAAACTAATAATTTCTTGTTTCGGATGCAGACTAGCTCGGCCGTTACGCCCCCTTACAAAACCCCAATTTATAACTATTTAAAACTGCCATGTATAACTATTGTTGTACAATTCTGTAGATTACTTTTTTAACAAAACCTCTTTTTATCATAAGTAAGGTGTCATATAAAAGAGAATTAAAATTAGAAGCAAACTTTGTCATAACAACACTCCTGGGACGGGGTTTCAAATTAGGTGTGTTTTGTTGAAACATGCTCAAGGATCAGCTATTTGCCAATACTACAAAGTAAAAATTATTGTGCCTCTGGATACCCTCTCAAAAATGTCACCTTTCCCTGCTTTCAGTAAAGCTTTCTCAGGCCTAATGAGTGATGAACACAATAGTTGGTTGAACTTTTGAAGTGTCAGTAAATATGTATGATGGTGAAAGTGAAAAATATGCCTGTTCTGTCGTGTGTGTGTGTGGGGGGAGGGGGTACGCAGTTAGTAAGCCTAGGTATATTTCGGGGCTAAATTTGTCAAAAGCTCTTTCGAGATTTTCCCTTTCCCATTTTTCGTCAATGTCCTTTCCCCCCCCCCCTTTTTTTTCTCCCTCATTTTTCTTTTATCTAATTTTTGCTAAATGGGGGGAAGGGGGAGGGGGCATCCCCCCGATTCCTTACTCATAGGTGTAGGATAAAAGAAAATCCAGACTTTATCCCCCCTTTCCTCCTTTTCCCTTCTTTCCCCTCACATCCTTTTCACTATTTATTTAGGGAAGAGGGTTCTTCTCTTTTGCTTTAGGTCCTTTTATGACTTTGACAATTTTGGTTTCTCTTATGACAGTATACTGAATTAACAATGCGAATCCGATGGAAGGGTGGGGATAGGGCATGCCGGAAATATATTCCAGATATTTTACATTTGTTAATCCTCTCCCCTATTTTTCCTAAAGAGGGGCACCTCCTCGATTTCTGATTCGGGGGTGTTTAATAATACAAAAAATCAGACATTGTTTTCATCTCTCCTACGCTTTCTCTCTTCTTATTTTCAGCCCTCACTTCCGTTTTCCCTATTATTTACTCAATGGGGGAGGGGGTAGCTGGCCCCGCAAGCTGATATGTCGTGAAAGTTCAATAGGGCACAAGTTCCAGTGTAAAAATGGCACCCTTCTTTTAAAAAAAAAAATTGACTTATCTCAAGATTTTTGGATAGCTTAGCAAATGAGCTCAAATATATTTCTAAAAGAGTCACAGCTCTATTCTATTTCCGTTATTTTAAGCTTATGAAGAAAGAAAAATCCTCCAGACATTTTTTCCCCTTTATTTATCTAGTTTCCCCTCATATTCTTTTCTCTATTTTTTTTCTCCACAAATGGGGGGGGGGGGGGGGGGTGAATCCCCTATCTCTTTCTGGATCAGGGGTGTATAATATAACACAAAATTGAGATATACCCCTGAAAAAGTGGCTGAGCTGGCCCCGACAGTGATTCCTTTTTAAACCTTATTTGTATGTTTTTAAAGTTATTAATGGCAGGATGGGACCGACTTGATCCCTGCTATGATGATAACGATGTTGATGACAATGATGATGGTAACGATAGTGATGATAAGGGTGATGCTGATAATGGTGATGACGATAATCCTTTTGAGTATGTAAAAGAGTAATGCCTTGTACATTTGATTTGATTATTTTAACCCCCATCTCTCTCTTATCCTCTTCTCAAAGTACAACTCATTTTATTTTTCCCTGTCCCCCCCCCCCTCTCTCTCTCTCTCTCTCTCTCTTCCTTATTACTATCATTTCTCTCCCTCACACCCACAGTCTATCATATTTTCACTTCTTATTTGTTAGTCTTTTCTCTTTAAGTGTCAACCATGCGTCTAGATAGAGAAATGAAAACTACATCATAAAAACAAATCATAATGCACAAATTCCTTTTCAATGTATTTAAAGTTTTATTGCTTGTAGAACTAACAAAATGTCACATTTTTATGTTCTACTAGCATGCTAGAATATATGCCACAATCAGTAACTGTCTCCTTTTCCACTCATGATTATTTACGATTCAATTTAAAATATTATTATACAATAATCCATATCTTCTTGTTTAAAAAGTAACACTTTTTCTGTAGGCATTGTTTTTTTTGTAATCATATATATATTTTCTATACATAAATTACATACAATATATATTTCATTTAAATATGATACGTACGTCTATACCAACATAACAACAGAGTATAGTCACATCACATATAAAATATTCCAACTACAAAGAGTTTTTTTTTTTTTTTTTTTACACACACAAGGTAATATAAAATGTGTGGCTTGACCAATGGCAATATCATCAGCTGAGAGCCAGAAGGGTGTTAACCTTGTGTTTAGGATAGGACTTTAACGACCTTCTGGCTCACAGTTGACAATGTTTTGACCATGATCACAAGGCTATGTTAAAGGCTTCTTCTCTACAACCTGTAGATGGGAACTGTTCTGGGCCCTGTTTCATAAAACTTGCTATCATCAACAAGTTACAATAACTGTTACAAGCTACTGAAATTGTGGCATTTGATTGGCTGAGAGCAAATTTGTCATAGAAATTTAGCACTTGTTACTGAAAACAAGCTTTATGAAACAGGGCCCAAGATCTTGCTAACAAACCATTTATGTATTCCTCTTCAAATGAGAAGATTGTCTGTACAACTTCAAGACTAACACAAGGGGATTTCATGTGAGGACGCCCCAGCTACATACCGACACACAGCTTGTATGTCTGTCCGTTTCCAACAAGAGATTTTGAATGAGAAATGGAAAAGGAAATTTGAAATTAAACAGGCACATACTTCATTCAAAATCACCTTTTCATTTCTCAACAAACTTCAAATATCCCTATTTCGAATTACCAATACCAATATACTTTAGTTTTGCATCTATCACAACATAGGAATTCTCATTTGATAGCTGATCCCAGTAGTGTGTGTCTCTCCCTATCACAAGTACATTTACCATTACTGTTGACTATGTAACGGAAGAAGTCTATGAAGAACAAAACCTTGAATGTAGTTTAGAGCACAGCGGTTTCAACAAATGTGACAAAAGTGATAGTTTTGAAGAAAGTCTAATAAATAGCAATCACAATACGGTATACCAACATGGGTACTAAAATGCTATTATGATGATTTGCAGTATCATAATATTGTTCAAGTCTGTCTTTGCTGCAGATTTGTTGCATCCTTCCTCATCCTTCTAATAATTGGGGGATTTACCCTCATTGATAAAAAGGGGATTTCCCAAATGAACCCTAATAAACTACACTAATTCAAATCAAGCAGAACAAACGCTTTGTTAGAGGTAACAGCCACTGAGACATTTAACTGTATGGGTTCCTAGAAAAGATGTCTACTCTAGCTATAGGAAAGAAGGCGTAGAGTTAGTAATGCAGCTGCGGAAAGACAATTGTCGCTGACCATCTGCTATATATCACAAGAGTGACTGATGGGGACAGGAGAAAGAGCTACAGAGAAAAAGAAAAGAAGAAATTGAAAGTGACAGAAAGAGAGAGCAGGAGAGAGGGAAAGAGGGGAGAGGGAGAGGGAGAGGGAGAGGGAGAGAAAGAGAGAGAGAGAGAGAGAGAGAGAGAGAGAGAGAGAGAGAGTGCAAATGAGAAGGGGCGAAAGATCTAGGTGTATATATTGAGCTGCAGGAGAGCATACAAATGTAGCTATGGAAAAAACAGAAAAAGGAGATCAGAATAAAGTCATGGAAATGAGGAAAAACATAGGGGATTATAAATATAAATGCTGATTTAAAATTGAAAGTAAAACAGACAAAAGGGGGCAACTTTTGAGCAGATACTACGAGGAACAGCCAACAATGATCTTATTCCATGACAAAATAAATCCAATGACAATCATTCCAAATGGATTTACAAAAGCTAAGAAAAAACTACTTGCTCCGTACTTCATTTGCGAATTGGCACCACACTGAAACGTCAATAACAAATGCTGACAACTGGAATGACAAAGGATTGACCAACATACTCTGTATCACAAACTAAACATATTCATTCAATTCTTTTCTCTCAATAGCAAACAGAGAAACATCTTTAAAAGCTGAGAGATTACTGTTACATTAGATGACAGATTCAACTCAAATGCTCACTGTTTTATGGCTGGTACATCAGTCTCATTTCATATTCATTGATCCAAAGATATCCATTACATTTTTCTTTCAACAACAAAAAGAGAAGCAAACAAAATGCAACAATATACATAGTAGACACGAATCATGAAGGTAAAGATATTATGAACAATATGTGGCTTGTCTAAGTAAACAAAAGATTAGGATCCATAATTGCTCATTTTGGAGTATTGCATAAACTAGCAAACATATGATTACATCTTTAACCTGTCTCATGCATTGAATATTGGACTCTTATTGTTAAGTGTGACCAAGATTTATCTCTTATTTATGTCTGGTTCACTGGGATAAACTCTTTTAATATGTGACTCTGTTTACAATACAATGCATCATATTTGTGTTTAAAAAATGCTTTCTGGAATCATTACCGGTATGTTGCAATATTCAAAGGAACACAAAATAATGGTATTACATGATATGTACCTCATTAATGCTCAAGGAAAAAAACTGTTATTGCTTGCAATCTTTAGGTTTTGATATGTCTGAATGTGGAGATGAGAACTGGTCAAAGCTAAAACCATTCTGCTTATGGTGATTGTCAAGGTGATCTATCATGTGTCAAGTTATTGGCAGTAACAATGCACCTAATGATAACTGATCATATAATCATTATATAGTATGAACCCATTGCTAGAGAGATAAATGTAAATAAGTAAATATATTTTGCCACTTATTTCTTGAACAAACTGAGCACTTCTCCAATTACAGCCAACTGCATTTAAACTAAACTTCAAATTTGATAATAGGTTGGGACTTTTTAAAGCCCCACTGCACTACTTATAGCTACTTGCACCCTCTATATAGCAAACAATGCCTAATCAGTGACCATTGGTCCCCCATGGTCCCTTTTTTCTTATGTTAATTGAGAGCTGATTTTATGAGATAACCACCTGTCAGTGAACATGCAGGGAGGTCTAATCCCTCGTGGCCAAACTAGTGTAGATAGGCTTTAAAACAATATGTAACATTTAAGGTGATCAATGCAAAATCAATGTATTAGGATATCAAGAACACAAAGTAGACAAAAACTTGAAGACATTATTCTCCTCAAAAATAAACTTTGTAGATAATGATAACAATTGTCTATTTGGGCAAAAAGCAAGATGTACATAAAAGAGCAAAGATCCTCTTTTGCATGATATTTTCTTGTATGTTTAAAGAAAATTGCATTGATTTCAGACCATTGGATAATATGACAATACTTTAAAACATGTCAAACAAATTATTCTCCTTATTCAAGCATATCAATTAACTACAAAGAGATGTTTTGAAATATTTTGTATATAATGCATCAAGGGTAATAGTGTTACAATTACAACTCTTATAAATTCAAGTACATTGCATATCTCTATGTATATCACAAAACTCCTAGCTTTGAAATTCAGAAGGTGACTAACTAACAATGCATGGTAATTCTTGGTCATTTTATGAAAGATCTCACACTACCACACTTTGCTGTAGAGATTATTATGTACCTCATCTTTAGATAGAATAGCACACAATCAGGGAAGGGATGTACAAGTGCTTATAAAAAATGCATACTCCGGACATCAAAATCTGTCTCACTTTTGCATAACTGTTCTACGCTGGTATACAAAATTGCAACTATCCCAATGCTCTGTTCAATCCAACCCTTTGCTAATAGATGTCTAACATAGCACCATCAATAAGCATTTGGATGTGACAAAGAAAATCATTGATACGACCGTACAGCCTAGCATTTCAAACATTGTTTTCTTCTGCACCAAATCAATTTTAAGAAACATCAAACGAAAAGGAAAACTGAACTGAATACAATGCATAATCTCATGTAATGAATCTCCAGTACACACAATCCTTGTTTGGATCAGAACATTATTTCACTCATACCCTAACATTTCCCAAGTCGTATTCGATAATGAAAACAGAGGTAAAAAAAATGATTATCTTTTTATGACAATTCTTCTCTGTCATGACATAATGTTTGATGGGAAAGGAAAAGACATTACACTGCTATCAAGTAGTATTTGATAATGAAAACACAGGTAAAAAAATGATTATCTTTTTATGACAATTCTTCTCTGTTATGACATGTTTGATGGGAAAGGAAAAGACATTACTGTGCTTTCAAAACATATGTACAAAATAAATATGAAGAGAAAGACACAAAAGACATTCAGCTGAATACTACAACACTCTCAAAGCTACTCAGACATCATACCTAAATCCAGAGACTCTGTTCTCCAAGTATTTAAATACAACACAGCTTGATCATTGTATGCTGTTAGCAAGTAGGACAAGCAGAAGATATATCATGAATACATTGTGGCTGTCACATGGTTTGTCACATGACTGTAGCCAAGATACCACCTGACTTCCACCTGTGATGGCCACATGTTCACCGGCTACACAGAAAACATCAGCCATGCAATTAGACAGTGATTGCGATGCACTATTTCATTGATGATCCATAGTTCTCTGTAGAAGACAGTGTTCATCAGCCTGGTTCGATAGGCGGTGATCAGACTAAGTCATACTTGGACTGCCCACCCACCTGCATAGATCTAAGCTTTAGTTTGACTGTAAGATGGATGATGTGACCTCCAGGTGCAGTAGCCTTTGTCTTAATGGAGGGCTATTGTATTGAGCAGCTCTGGAAGGTCCAACTTTGGTTTGTTTCACATAGGGTGTTTTCAAACTCTGCATACACAATGTATTCAATTGATATATCACAAGTCTCATGTTTAGGTCACTCCTAATTTGTTTGGTCTGTTGCCATAGATACTGAAGAGTTTCTACACCTGCCAGAGTAATAGATGATTTGTACTGTCTTCCTTCCCTGCTAGTTCATTAGGCACTGTGGCTCCAAAGTCTTCATACCCATCTCCACCACTTATCACCATGATGCTGGTGCCGAGGAGATTTCCACCGGAGCCACGTCTCCCCTCTGGAGTTGATGATGTTGCGTTATTATTCTGCATGACCTGGAGACCGCTCTTGCGACCGTTAGATGCGGGAGAGGTTGCGGGGGTGATGGATGTTTGGATGTCGGTGGGGACTTCCACGGAGGTGAGGAAGCGGACATGACCTGTGTGACCCTGAGCGGAGCCGGTAGGACTGGGGACATCCTTGAGGGATGAGGTGGAGGCAGTGATCTTTGGCAGGGGTAATGTTAGGACCACGCCCGCACTGGTACCAACCCATAACAGGTCTTTGCACACCAGAAGGGCTGTGATTCTAAGGCAAGCTGCTTTGTGTTGGCGGATAATAGCATCGGAACCTGACACAGAAAAAAAAAAAAAAAGATAGATTTGTGAAGAGTTCTAGTCTTGGACTCTGACAAGTCTTCATGTAAAACAAGGAGGATGAAACAACACAAAAACTATAATGCACATTTCAATGTTAAGTGACCTCTACCTTGGAAAGAACTTATATGAAGCAGAAAAATGATTCTGCACAGAAATCATTAATGGCCTTTGCTATGCAATGTGAAAAGGTAAATAATATTCTACAAATTTTCAATGCTACAGTTGCTCGTGGACTTTGAACTTTTAACATAAAACAAATAATCATCTCCCTATGTAATTTTCTTTTTTAACATGATGGACAGGCAGAAGGGCATTACATTGTAACCTGTTACAAAGAATTCACACCCTTCTGCATTCAATATATTTGTTTAATTTCGTTTATTATCTGTATAAAATTATATACACTTAAAATATTGTATCAAACCATATTATGTTCATGAAAATGTATGATGAAATAATGATCAAATCAAATCAAATCAAATCAAAAACCAATGATTGATGCAACTCAACTTCCTGTAATGAACACTTACTTGCTAGCATTTTATGAACTGTCTGAGTGACATCCACTTGGCACATGCTCTGATGTGTGGTAGCATGGAAGAGCCTAACGATTGCACTACTCTGCAGTGATACCCACACACCCCATCCACAGGAGACCATACAGTATACCGCCCTCTGGATATCATTGCACACTGGGAACTTGTGCTGTGGAGAAAATCCAACCAAATCAAGATCGATATAAAGCTGCCATATTTCACAAATACTCTTAATTTAATAGTTAAATATTACAAAAGTAGTTTGGAAATATTATTATAATATTCTGTTGTGGTAAAGCACATATCACATTATGATATAATGTCTCTATGCCCTTCCAAAAGTCTTAGGACATTATTTCCTTGGCTTTAGCTCCGGCTACCTTAAGCTCTCAGCGCATTCAAGGAATAAAACCTTACAGCTCATACTCCTACACTATTGTTAGTGGGTGTGCAGTCATTACAGTTTTTAACATAACACCAATGTATTAATCTTGAGCCATCAATTTCAGTAACAACATTTCTAGTGTGTCCTGAATATAGTGTGCTGAATAAAAGCAACCAGTATTTGTTAGTGTTTTTTTTTGTACAAATGTTTTTCTTGTCTTAAAAGGCTGAGAGAAGGGGGAAGAGAGGGGAGATAGAGATAGAGGAGTGAGAGAAAGAGAGATAGGAGAGGGAAAGAGAGAGAGGGGAGGAGATATCGAGGAATGAAAGATAGAGGGAAGATAAAGAGAGAGACAGAGAGACAGAGAGACAGAGAGAGAGAGAGACAGACAGACAGACATACAAAGCGAGAAAAACAGACAGAAAGGTGTCTTACCTCTACACTGAGAGTTACAGGATCCACAATAAGGATGTTATTCTGACAGCCACACCACAGCTTACCACAGACCGATACCATTTTACTGATAGGGGTGGTACTACTACCGAGGGACACGGTGATGGGATTATCAGTATCCCATGAATGACCTGTACACAGAGATAATAATGATGCAATATTAATTGAGATCCTCTAGTAACATTGCAAATGTTGTTTCGTTTTGCTGCTTTCTATATTCAAATGGTATAATAACTCAAATGAAGATTATTTTATGGCAGGGATAATAAACAGAAAGTAGAGAGAGTCACTGCCGCATCAACAACAGCTTCTGATTGTATTTTCATTTCCAAAACCACAGGTTTCAATTGCATTTTGTAATAACTATGCAGCAATGCATAGGTATAAATGCATACTCAAGGTTTCATTTGAGGGATGATTAAACTTTAGATGTCTAGAATCTTATGATTTACACATCATTGTAAGGCTATACCTTAATAAATGTGCACATCTTCCTTGAAAAAACACTGATGATGTTAAAACAAAGTAATATTGATGTTAGCCTGGCAGAAGTCCATTGGCGGAGGCACTCCAAATGGATGTACATTTCCTGAAGTACAAACGGACCTTCTTTGACTACATTGACACAACATATCTAGTACACATATCCTCCAAATTGTTTGCAGTATCTTGTTAAAACTTCTTATTCTTTATCTCTACATTCTTTTCTTACAAAGCAAAAAAATCTAGTGTTCTATCCTTCTGGTAGATAAAAAACAAAGCATTCATCATGTACAGTTGGTGGATGACTGAGAAAGTCCTACCTGCATCTCTCCTGTAGACTGTCAGATCCCCATTAGCCAGAGAAACAAACACTTTATTCTCCAGATACAGGATACACTGTACTGCTGCAAGATGGCGGATCTTTGCCCGACTCTTCTTGGTCCGAATGTTGTCGGTGCATTGGTATACATAGATACTGTGGAGGAAACACAAAACATATTATTAAGTTCTCAGTGAAAGTTGCTATAAAAATATCTTGTCAAGTGGGAATCTATAGCTTCCCATTAATAGCAAGTTGTTATGTAAAGTGCCAATGTTGGCAAGTTTGTATTACTTGAGGTATCTTCAAGGACCTTTTAATCCAACCCTCTATCCCTCGTCTCTTCACCACCACCCCTCCCTTCCCCTTCTCCTTTCTTTCCATCCTCTTCCTCTCTTTAGAGAGTCAAAAGATTTAAAGTTTTTATTCTGTATCATCTATCTTTATTCCATCTCTCTTTTCTATTCATCCCAATATCTCTGTGTATCCTCTCTCTCTACTTTTCATCGATCTTCTATTTCAAGCCACATAATAGGTTGGTTTCCTTCATCCTCTCCCTCTCCTTACTCCTCTCTTCCTTCCTTAGATCATTTCTACTTTTTAATACAATTTTTTCTGTTCCTAGTTCCATGGCTCCCTAGCACTTTACCCCCTCCCCCCCCCCCCTCTTCCTTCTCTCTCTTCCTCTCTCTCTCTCTCTTCCCTCTCTCTCTCTCTCTCTCTCTCTCTCTCTCTCTCTGTCTTCCTGTCTCTTTTCCTTCTCTCCCCTACTCTTCATCTCTCCTCTCTCCACCCCATCTACTTACCATCCGTCTTCTGTTCCAAGCCACATGGTAGGTTGGTTCCCTTCCAGATCATCTTTCTCCTCTGCAATGGGACTAGGCCTGCCAGCAGGCTCCCCTTCATCTAAACACAGGAATAAAAGTATGAATAAAAAATATAATCTACTTAGTACATATCTGGAATCAACATATCCATAATTTCTATGCAAATGGAAATACTCCTTATCAAATGTAATTAATTTGTCATCAGTGTCATAAAATATACATTCAATGCAATTGCAACACCTAAGTATGCAAGTAAGATTGGATCAGACCAAATGTCATGAGAAATTAAACTTTTAATGTTAATTATGATCACTATGTCATTTCATTTGGCAATGTCTGGGACAAAACTTGTTCATATACCTTTGACTTGCTCTGAATTACAAAAGGAGTCATCATGCACAACCTACCTGAACTACCCTCATCCTCCATTGGCTTCTCATCGACCATCAACGATCTAAGGTTGGGTGACCCTTGACCTATGACCGGTGACCTGACCTCTGCTTCATCCTCACTATCCTCCGAGTCGAACGCCATGATCTCACTGGCTTGTCGGTTGACGGGAGAGTTCTGGATTAGGTTGAACTGAGCTGGACCGATGGCGTGAGATGGGGAGGATGGCTTGACGAGGCTACGCCCTTCAGCGCTCTTGGAGCGGGATGTGAGGCGCAGGGATCGTCTGTAAAAAGATAAAAAGAAAACTCTTTGCTTAATGATGATTAATAATGAAATGAACTGAGATGAACTGAGATGAAATCACATCAAAACTATTACAGAGATCAAAAGTCCTTGGATCCTGCAACTAACCAGTATGTACGGAGCTTGGAGTGCACAGGGGTATGAAGGTTGTGCAGTTAAACCCTCATGTATCACCTATATTCTTTGACAAAAAAACAACAACCTACATTGACCACTCTTGGCCCAGGTATAGAAAATGGGTAACTGGTACGATTTTGATTTCTTGAAATACACTCCTCACTAATAATGATTGCCAAAGCCAAAGCCTGGACAATAATTATAATGCTCATTGGAAGCCGCACTTGGAGATGTTATGTAATAATATCATATGGACTAGTGTAAAACCAGGTTGTTAAACAATCGTGCAGTTTTCATGCCACAAACTGATTGAATCCCACTTGACACAACATCGAATTTGTACAATTCAGTTTCCTTGCAAAAAATAAAAACACTTTGTCATGAAAGTTTCTGGTTTGACAGAACACAATAATATAATATCAGTATTATATGTAACATAATACTCCAAACAATGTGGACGTCTGTAGCAGATAAAATAGTTAATACATAGAGATACATGAGATATGTACATGTTTACCTACTAGCAAGAGGAAAACATCAAGAGATTGGAAAAACCTTCTAGACTAATTTAAAGCAATTTCCTCTATTAGTTAATAAAATATTCCTACACCTGATCTGAAAACACTTTCAGGAAAATGACTTTAATTTTGACATCAGGAAACCTTGGGCAGAAGAAAATATTTTCTTCACTGTCTGCTAAATTATGATAAGTAATCTTGAAGATATGATATTTCACCAATCCTGTGTATTCTTCATGTAGAACCCACATGGGAAGAAAGTTGTATCTAACAGTGTTTATACCTCACTCTAATACCATAACAATTTATATATCATTCATACAAATAATTTAATACTAATATGAAAATCAAATGATTGTTTTGCATTTCAAAAACACCATCACTTAGACTGCTTTTCATCTTAATGATGGTTCCACTATATTCATAGAATTGATTTCTTCTTTTATATCATTAAAAAACCAAGGTGATATTATATCCCAGCCCTTGGTTCTATTTCTTCTTAACATATCTCTTCATCCATACAAGGTATGACTACGTGCCTGTACTCAAGGTATGACTGGGAGCCTGCATACAGACTTGCTAAGATTAAAATGTTTAATGTTAATCACGCAATGCTCAAACATTACTCATAGCGCAAACTTAAAACGGCGGCCTAACCCTCCGAGGTCACTCAATATCCAGACTCTTACTAATCAGAGCGTAGGTATCGAGGAAATCGATCAGCATAGAAATAGCTCCATACTACTGTTCTACACACGCTTCTTGCTTTAGATCCGGTGGAAAGTAAAGAAAAATAACCTCATGTATCAAAATCACCTAATGCTAAAAGCTACATTACTGCTTAGTTTCTCCCAAAGCCCATACATGTACCTGTACATCAGGGGACATTTTCTATGAAAGCTTTAAATTGTTGATCAAACATGAATCTGTTGAAAAATTGAAGTATCATCTGTTTGGAGCCAGAAGGGCATCAATTAATAAAATGTGGAGTGGACTATTAGGCTATTATTATTATTATTATTATTATCAACAAAGAGTTAGTGCCCTTCTGGCTAAAAAAAACCCAACGATATCACTGACTGAGGTGGAAAATTATGATTTCTTTCTACAAAAAATGCAGATCAATTTTCTCAAGAATATATGTGATGAATACATTGAAAAAAAGTGATTGCACTCTCGACTCAAAAATGGACATATGCCTGAAAAAGTGCTTATAAGGCACGAATAAGGATGCTTAGAGGAAAATGTTCATATATACATGTACATTGCAAATTAATGAGCATGACAGACTCCCTTTAAAGAACCATACAACCATCTCTCATTCACTCTTTTTTTCATCGCTCTTTTTTTCCTACTCTATGAATCTGGCCTGCTTTCAATCAAAGGCTATTGTGTTCAAGAAGAGCAAGAAGAGGAGAATCTCACATCCTCCTCCTCTACTCCTCCTCCTCCAGTAATAGACTCGTATTTACCAAACACATACACCATCCATCATCCACAAGACTGCCTTGTTCCGCTCAAACACCATGGTAACACTGTCTAAACAACATAGCGGGACTGTCTAAACACAGTACAATCATGTCGCAAAGCATGTTCCATTGGTACTACGTGATGCTGCGTTACAAATGGACATGCAGGATACAGTGTTTGGTCATCATCGTAATGCTTGCTACAAGTCAGAATTAATTGCAAGTATAAAAAGGATACAACTTAATGCCATTATGGGTCTCAGCAGATGATATTTATTGTTGATGAAGTATGAAATAAAGAATTTCTCAATGATAAAAAGAAGATCATTTACTGATTCATTTTTCACACTATCAAGTAATATAATCATTTAAAAAAATTATACTTAAAGAAATGTTATTAATTCCATTCTCTAAATATTCTGAAACTATAAATGTTTACATCATTTAACATATTTGGTGATTTCTGGTTGTTCATAGCGAAGGGCTTTGGCATGTTTTTCTACGATGCCAGCAACCCGTTTGTCACTATCTTTGAGAGCTAGAGCACCATCGCTAATGATGATGGAACGGGTGTTTGGGGGAAGCCGCTTCTAAGATGGCCAAACAAACAAGCATAGAGTCCATCATGTAAGCCAACACTGGTTGGAGCTTGCACGCTGGATTGGCCTGAAGCATATCAAAGCAAACGAGTAGCTCCACTACCTGTATTCCATGACTCGGTGTTTGTGTTCTTATCTATATCTGTCTCATATACACAGTTTCACAAGGGGAGGGGCACAGGGGACATGTCCCCCATATTGACCAAAAAGAAATGGAAAAGGCTCGTTGATAGCTATGAATTTTAATAAACTTGAACAAAGTCAAGGTCCTCTCTATCAGACAACACGCAGGCTGGGGAGATTCTAAAATCATATTCTTCATAAAAATCAACATTGAAAAGTATTTTGGATCCCTCTTTCTTCTAATGCTGGATTCACCCCTCTAACCCTCACAAAGGTCTTAATTAAAGGCTTTTCCTAAATATTGGTTTATATTTCACAATATATATCTCTTGGAGCTGCTCTTCTTCTATATAAGCATCATGACAATAAACCTATGTAAGGTAATACAGGGCAATTGGTTTTTACCATAAAACTATAATCTCCGTTTGACAGAAAAAATGCCAAGATATCTTAAAGATGAATAAACTTGAACAAAAAAAATTAAATCATAAATATTATGTTTGAATGCTAACAAAGCTCTGTCATCCTGTTTTATTGTGTGGTAAATTTCCTCATTATCATACCACGTCCATCATCTTAATGTCACCTTTATATTTTATATTACCTTTTCTACCTGCAGAATGGCACAGATCCCTATCTATCACTTGCAGTATACATTTTCTCAGATTTTTTCTGAAAATTGTTGTTATTAACTGTATACTTATTTATCTCATTAATCAATTTTTATTACGGTCATCATCAGATACCCATTGGCCCGAATCATGCTATTTGCAGTATACATACCGATTATTTTAGGTCTGAGCCTTTGATACCTGATATGTGACGATCTTTCATCCCACGGGTTGATTACATACATGGTCTTGTTGTGACGTCATGTCTTTATTACAGTGCTTCGCTAACTAAAGCACTTTCGTCATAGCTGGCTGAATCAATATTCTCTCCAGTATCATGTTTCAATATGCATTAATACAGGAAAATCATCCTTTTAATATCAAAATATCATCCAGATTAACTACTTGTGATGTTAGTCTTACATCAATATTGGTCAGCAACAGTTCTTATTTCTTTTCTTTTTATAATTTGTGAGAAATGATAGCTTAAAAAAACAACTTTGAACTTGAACTCATTTTATCACACCTAGATTCAAAGATAAATGTTTAGTAATTGTAAATATAAATCAACTAATAAAAATGTTTTCTGTATTGAATATTTTTAATTTCGTACTATATGACCTTTTGTGCATTTTGTAATAATTTCTTTCTGAAATGGTCTTTTTTCATATCTATTAGACAAAAAACTTTTTTTTAAAACTTGTTGTTTTCATAAAAAGTAACATTTTCAGACCTTTCTTGTCCTCAGCACGATATGCTACATCTAACATTCTTTTGAGCATACTACTTGAGCAATATCAAAACCATAAGTAAATGACAAATTGACTAATATCAGATGAAATATTGAAGTATTAAGTACAAAGGAGAAAGCAAAACCAAATTTCATGCTCAATCAACTGAGTATCATTAGTACTATACATGCTTTGATGTTTGGCATTTTGCGATTTAAATTGACATAAATATGTGATGCTAACTTGGCCCAAAGCCAGAAACCATGTAGTGTGAGCTGAATTCATCCAGCAAATTACATGGACCGCTACACACCATCTTGTATTCTAGACGTACAAAACAACTTCTGTCCAGTTCACATTTTGAAAAAAATTCCCCAAATTCAGATGATGGGCCAAGCATTTAACATGAAGATAAGATTCCATTTACACCAACAAATCCTTCCCTCAATCATCCCCAACCATTTTACACCACTGCACCACTTTTCTCCCATCTTGAAATCATCCATGAAAATTGTTCATTAATAGTGCATCAAATCAAATTTCCATTATCTATATTGGCTATCATAGTCAGAAGATCAACAAGATTCACTTTGGAAAGGTAGGGTAAGATTTGTAGGGTAAAAGAAGGAAAAGGACGAGTTCATTACAAAAGAACAGGAGGATTTGCACTTTACAAGCTTTACTTTACCTCTTAGATATGAGGTAGCAAAACCAAGACAGTTTTTAATGATGACCTAACGTATTACACACTTCATACTTCTTCACATCATATAATACAGAGTTCAGTGAACATATGCATGACCTTTGCTGTGTGCAGTTGCCATTAATTTAATACACGTTTTAAAAAAACATTTTTGTTTTGTTTTGTTGCAGTGGTTCACTATATCATATCTGATTGAGCCTTTATAATAATAAAACAAGGTATTCAGAGAGAGGATATCACAGTGATGTCGATCATATTCCCTTCCACATTGCATAAGACCTCACTATTTGGATTTTCAGAAGCCAGTCTAACATAGCACACCGGAAATTGGTCTGGCAAATTGGGAGCATGCTAGCTAGAGGAATGATGCGCATCTCCAAGGCCCGTGTTTGTACAGGGATTTTCATTCCAACGCCGGCCGGCCGCCGTAATAGATAGCAAGGGATTTCTTTCCGGCAGGGATTCATAAAAACATTTGAGGTATTCAAAAGAGCCTCTCAGGTTTAAACAAAAACACGCAGGGACTGAAGGATAATTAGAGTCAGGCTCGACAAGCACGGCAACAGCACATGTGCAGAGACTATAGAGGGGAAATTAGTGGAGGTAGAAGATAAAGGAAAACTGTAAGATATAATAGAAGGGTGTGGAGGAGGATGAGAGTTCTGTAGAAATGGAGAGGGAAAGAAAGCCAATCTACACATACAAACTCTAAGATGCTGAGAATGTTTTCAAATATCATGATAATTCTGCCTTAAATAGTATTTGAAATCTGATATTTCTGTCTGCTACCCCAGCAAGAGCAAACATTTTGTATACAACCTAATGTATTCTGCACAGAAATTATGTGTGAAACGAGTTAGAGCATGAACAGTCTTCTCTATGTACATGTAACACTCTTCTTTAATCACATTATGAAAATAATAATAATACATAACAAAACACAATACAAAAGATTACCAGGAAATGAAATTACGACAGGAAAGGTTGGAAATAATGGAGAAAATTGAGGGAGAGGGGGTGAAGAGAAAATAAAGACATGAAATCAAGAAGGAAAAGAAGGGACAGGAAAACTAACAAAATAAGCAAATGATTGTATGGACTGAAAAGGAAATAAAAAGGAGAGAGGGAGAGAGAGAGAGGGGGGGGGGGGGGAACAAGGGAGAAAGAGAGAACAAGAGAGAGAGACAGAGATAGAAGGAGAGAGAATGTCTCAAACTAACCTTTTAGGCGTGATCTCATGTGATGCAGGTACTGATGCAATACAGAGGATACGAGCTGAGCACACCGAGATACACGACGCCATGGAAGGTTCAGGAGTCAAACTCAGCAGACAGACCTGACCCACGTAACCATCGCTGTTACACACCCAGACGTCTTTGAGGGAGTTACTCATGGTGCCGAGACTTGGTGCTGCACAGGAGAACTGCATACCACTCCTGGTCTTCATGATAGGAATCGGGTAGAGGAAGAGAGGTGGGAACCGGTCCCTTGAACTAGCAGCTGGTAGGGAAACGGTAGAATAAATGTCTCATAATTAAAAAAAAACTGATAGAAAGGAGCATTTGAAACATTGGAAAATGATAGAGGGAAAAAGTATTTTAAGCATAGGAAAATAATGGAAATCTCCATCGCAAAGTATGAGAAAAAATAGACAAAACAAGAATCTCAAAATTGAGAAAATGAAACAAAATACATGTTGAACTGAGGAAAATGATTCCAAGAAACATTTCTTTCTTCCTAGATGAGTGGTTTTTTCACCAGGGAGTGATGATCTCCGAAAGGGATCATTTGGCAATCTTGAGAGGGTAATGAATGGATGAATTCCAGGTACAGTTTCATCACAGGGGGTAACGGAACTGACCAAATATAACATTTAGGGGAAAGGGGTCAGACAAGGAATGCCAGATGGGGTTATGGGAGGTAAAGAAGGTAAAAAAAAAAACACTTTTGAAACCACTGCTGTAGAGAGCACTTAACAAGAGAGTTAGAATGTCTCTTTAAAAGCTCAAGGTAACATCTCTAATCAAAATGTCATATCTTCCATATGCTCATGATGATACATCATTAAACTTAGACTAGTCCATTAACCGTCTGCAGAGAGGTGTCCTAGATATATAAGGGGGTTTCCCCTAAGAGCTTTAAGGGGGTTTCCCCTCTACTAGCTTTCATTCTCTATCGATCATAACAATGAACAAGTTGTGTCATTGTCTTGGCAACCAGTAGGATAACACTATATAATTCATCACAAGGCCGGACGTAAGACTGTTTCCAGGAAATACATCGGTACTGAAAGCAACTATAAAATGATTGCATTAATGCCTTCACAATTCTTGCTAGTTGTCTCTGTTCATTTTTTCTTTCATATGTTATTGGTATACTGCTATTAACTTTGATGAATCAAGTCTGTAAACCTAGAAGCATAAATATTAATTGCTCTGAAGAAAAAATTGTACATTTTAACTAGACATGAACATATTGCTGGCAGATTTAAAATCTAAACCATTTTGATAATACACTTACCTAATTTCTTTTTGGCCTCTTCCACTTCTGCTTCAAAATTATTCCTTAATTCTGAGCTGTTGAAGAATAGGACAAACGTCTCGATACCTTCCCTGTATTGTGACATGATAGAAAAAAAGTGAATTTCAAATGTTTAATGTAATTCATGAAAAATAACACTATTTTGTTTCTTTTACACAGAAGAGAGGGAAGCTCAATTCAATCTTATAATTATAAATCTATTAAAAAAAACAGACTTGCATAACAAATGCCATCCATAATAATATGCCATGAATACTTTTTTTAAATTTAGCAAATGCATGCCTTGACATATTTTCATGCCTGAAATACTAAAAATTACATCAAGCCTCAAGGCCATTTAACAATTCTCTGATCACTAGTTGAATGTACAATTATCTAAACTAGTACCTAGCTAGCTTCACTATAAAAAAAAACCCATAGGTACAAAGGAAAAATTACACTGAAATGTGTGTGTGTGTGTGTGTGTGTGTATTGGGTTTTTACAGACATGTATCAATCAGATATGATTATTTACGTCTGGGGACCGACCTTTAAACGTCATCATCCGAAAGACGTGATTCAGTTTCGAACCTGCGTCCTCGGCTGAATCAGTTTGTAACTTCCACTGTTAGCTGGATTACAGGCGCACGTCACAATGCCTAGTGATACCTTTTATGTATGAGATATGTTTGGACTATATGATAAGTATGATAGTTGGTCACATGACTTACGTAGTGGTGGCAGACAATTCTACTTTATTGACAGGTGCGTGGGGTAGAGCTGAGAGGGCCTGCCTCTCAGAAATGGTTTTCCTGATAGTCTCTGTGATTTCTTTGATCACCTCATCAAGGTTCTGAAAAGAGAAGACAAACATATATTGTAAGAGAATGGGATGTTAAGTGGATTAGTATTCAGATTAGACAGATATTACATTGTATTTCCACATGTAAACAAGATTCTATGGTTCAATTCGATTCCACACTGGATGAGGAAAGAGAACTTTGGAACAAACTACAAGACGATACACATGTAGGGAATTCTGATATCCTTGATAACATTAAAACCCACTTTAAAACATTTCTCTTTAGAAATGCTTGCTTTTCAGTGTGAACTGATGGCTTATAGCCTGGCACATACTACATGATCTAACTGAGATCCAATTCTTGAAGAAATGGCAATTATATTAGTTATGGAAATCTAAACAAAGAATTTGTTGCTGATTTAGATTGTAAATAATGATTAAGACTACTACCAACCAGAATTTTAGTGCCTTTAAGCCTTCTAGTCAGCATAAATATTAATGCAGAATTTACTTGTTAGAAAAACAATTGAAGCAGAAAGTAGGGCAGAAAACAGATTGAAAAACAAATACAAGATTGTTTAATGCGCAATTGGAGCTTCAAAAAACAATAATTTTCTATCAATTCCTCTTCCCTCTCTTCAATCCCTAATCCATCATTCCCCTGGCTCATTGCCCCACATGAAATGTTGACATTAGTCACCATGGCAACCAAACGGTGATCAAATAGCTGTGTTGCTGTGAGATGGTCTCTCCGGGCCTGGAGAATGATAGCATGAATTCTTGAGAGCAAACTCCGCTTTATAATGGCCAAATATGGTAGTGTTTCATCTAATGTACGAGTTATGGAAGAATCATCAAAACAATACAGACATCGTCTACATCAATGTTTCTTTGATCATATTCTTCCCCTCTCTACTTCCCTTTCTCCATCTCTCTTTCTCTCTCATCCTTCGCGCACCATTTAACCTGCTAATAACAGAACGAGGGAGCGGTATGGAACCGCAAGCATAGATGCAGTCAGCATACCTGCATATCCATATACTCGTATGTCACTTTTCAATTTGGATGTAATTTTGTGAAACTCGAAACGTTTATGAAGCTGGATGTGACAACAGACAGGCTCGTTGACAAATGCTTCCATTTAAAGATGAAGTCAAGAACTGGTCATGCGGTTACACTGAGAAAGAAACTGATATTGTGACAGGCTGATTATGCATGTATATCACTTAAGAATTAGTCTACTGGTATACTGTGAGGCTATGGTGTCATCAAATTGATAATAAATTTACCAAATCTTGCTGAAATCAAAAGCACTTTACACAGAAATGGGTATAAGGGACTACACACACATGCGGCAAGAAAATTTGGTCCAAACTATTCAGCTATTACTTCTCATCATTTTTCAAATATGAGGGCATTAGAATAGCAATCCTTTTCAGAGACATACCGTAACTACTATGATATATTCTCCCCAAACTGAGATAAAAAGAACGAGAAAGATCACAAATAATATTTTGTTTGAAAGGCTTGTTCAGATGACGCAGATATGGCTGCAATAAAGCTGCCACATTTTTTAGAATATGTCAAATGAATGCTAATTTTGCACAACAATGTACTTGTGCATATTCACTGAACTCTGTTTTTATAAGATAGTGAAATGTGAAGCATATTACACTTTATGTAATCGTTATTTTAAAGGCACACTGTCCTACTTGTAGCTACTTGCTCCCTCTATATAGAAAACTTCCCAAATCGGTGCCTGTTGGTCCCCCATGATCCTATTTTTCTTATGTTAAATGAGAGCTGAGTTAATGAGATAGCCACCTGTCACAGTGACCTCGATGGCTCACTGGGTGGTCTAATCCCTTCTTGCTGAAGTAGTAAAGCCTCCCTTTAAAAAAGCTCAGCAGTTTGCTGTGTCATATCTGAACGAGCCCCTACCAGATCCCCATCTTCTCTTTAAACCAAGCTTATCATCGGCTGAGATTGGAATGTTACAAAAAGGCACTAGCCAAAATCCTTTCATCAATACCATCAAATGTAACATGTGAAGACCTCTTTTGACACAGATAATATTTGTTAATGGCTTGAGAGTGATATAATAAAAGAGAATATCGTCACATATTCTGCTCTCATTTCACACCCCTGAATAACATCTGTTTGGAGCCAGAAGGGCATTAACTCATATATCTTATCAGTGTTAATGCCTTTCTGTCTCTGAATATGTGATATATCAATCACGTCCTACCAAATGTGCAGTTAATGATACCAAGATCAATTTCTGATGAAGATGATTGAAATTCATGTTCTCCTAAAATACGATTTCATATATTTAGCTGGCAAAAATGGTTCAACTTGAAAATCTGAAGTAAGCAATGCATGACCAACTTAGATAATAAAGTTTCCATGAATTTTGACTATATAATATATCCATTAATGCCATTCTATTTTTATCTCTTCTTATGAAGCTTTTCTCCCTCAAGGAGGATTTATTTTCAATCATGCCAATGCTAAACAATCAATCAAAGATGATTTAGCTCTCTGAAGGAGACAGGATTTTTTAGATTGAAAGGATATCCTTTAAGCTTGAATCTCCGTTTTCAATGAATTTCTCAAATCAATTTTCAGACAATTCATAATTGTAACACAAATGACATGATTAAAAAGGTAATATCTTTAACCTTAACCCCTATCAACATTCATACTGATTAATTTATAGAAGCATTTAAATGAAAGCAACTATGAACATACATTCTTTAGGAATGATTATTATGATTATTCTGACGAAATCATCAAATCATCAAAAAGATATCAAATGGCAGATTTTTATATGATCCCTACTTCCCTCCTAAGACACCAGGTGCATTGTCACACAACGATTAACTCGATAATTATGGTCAAGACCCAAATTATTTGTCTGAATTATTATCTTTTAAATCACACCCATATCCATACAAATTACGAAGTAAACAGGACAAGCTGCTTTTAAAAATATACCTCACATAAAAACAAAAGTAACTCTTGGGAGATTGCGCTTTCAGTTCTACTGCTCCAAAGCTTTGGAATAACCTACCACTAGACAAAGGAAAAGCCTCATATGTTGCTTTCTTCAAAGTTATGTTGAAGATGCACTTGTTTTCAGAAGCTTTTAAATCATTTTTGATTCGTGTGTTTGTAAAGTAGGATTTGTTAGGAGTTTTTTTCCTTTTTTTTCATTGCAGTGCAGTAGAGTATAGTACCTGAGCTATATAAATTGATCAATTATTATTGATTATTACTTCTACATTTGTCTCTTTTCCTAACAGTGCATTATCAGATTACATGTACATGTATGCAGCAGCAAAAAAAAATGGGATGAGCAGAGGGGAATCATCTCGGTCCCACCAATACTTAGGTTTGCCTTTATATTGTAATGACTATACCCTATTACCTAGAAGGCCTGAACATTTAAGATCACAAACCTGACCTCAACCGATCACAATTCATCAAATTCATAATTTTATGAAAACATACTCTAATAGTGTTGGTAATCCTACCCCAGATATTCAACATTGTTGTACATCCTGCATCATCTTTCCACATCACGCATGCTCAATAGAAAGGTTAGTGATTCCTATGGGAGTTTAATCATACAACACCTCTACAATCATCCCACCTTTCTGCAACAAAGGTGCGAGGCTGTACTACACATGCGCCAGCGATAATCACTCCAAGGTCAATATCCTACACTAACCGAAATATTATCTCTAGGCGCATTTATACTGTCAAATACCTCATTTTGAAAAGTCGCGATGTTTCGTGCACCCGGTTACACTTGTGCTGAAACATCACCGACGGAGCTGTTCAGCGATGTTTTGGCGTGTTTCGGTTGGTAATGCGCATGTGCAGTCTTCCCGACCTTTGACCCCGGCCTGCTATAAGATTTTTAGCGCGCGCAATTTCCAGCTAGCGCTATAGCTAGCTAAATAGCGATACATCCCATGCGCATGCATGCGATATGTTTTGTTTATCTCGCGTGTAGTATTTGAGGCAAGAGTGGATAAGTTACGAAGTACGGACTACGGCTGCTGATTCAGTTTTCCCAAATTCAATCGAAATCTAGTAGTAAAAACGATATGGGAAGGTTAAGAAAATCATCGTTGTTAATTGGAATTATGAGAATTCGCCGACGTCGTAGGGAAAGTGATCGTCGTGCTCGTTTTTTTAGGTACTTTATGAAGCGACAGCAAGAGCTCATGATCTCCCTGCCTCCACATCGAAATCAAGAACTTCTTCTCATCATCAGTCCAATGGGAATTGTTCACTTTCATATTAATTAACCTAACAAAACACTCAAATACTACTACTAGACAGATATGGCCAGACGGGAATAACGAAGATTGAATAAAGGATGAGTTAACGGAATTGGAACAAACGGAGCTGAATGAACGGATAACACGCGCGACGATGGAAATGCTATAAATATCACACGGGAAGAACGTGGTTTAAAAGAGCGCGGGTAACAATCCGGAAGTGCCGGAAGTCACGTGCCTAACATCGCGATGTTACAACTGCGAGCGGTTATACTTGCCAAACACGCCAAAACACGCCAAAACACGCCAAAAGATCACACTTCGTTTTGGAATGTTTGGGGCTTGGCATGTCTGCCGGTAAAGCGTAGTTGCCCTTGGTAACATCGCGGCCAGGCTCCGGTTTGGCATTTTTTGGCGTGTTTGGATGACAGTGTAACTGCCCCTAGTATCAACCAAACAGAATACCTAATCCTAACACTAAATCTAACCTAAAAGTCCAAGACTAAATTGTGATCGGTTTTTCCACACATGTTCCAGTGACAAATGCTCAACAGTCAATATCCTAAGCTAACAGAAATATTAACTTCCTTTATCGACCAAAGAGTATACCTAATCCTGTCCCTAACACTAAACCTAACCTAAAACGAAATGCAAGCATAACCCTAACCGTAATAGCAACACTAATCCTACATACTTGACAAAATAAAGCCAGTAGCAATCGTTACCAAAGCACACCTACAGGGCTGTCAATCATAATGCACTCAAGACAATCACTCAATCATCTATCCTCCATTAAATCCTGGTTAATCCCAAGATTATCACAACTGCTCCTATATTTGTCTGTTTCATTCAATGGATATTAATATTTGCAAGTTATTAATTCCAATGCCATCTTATGCAAACATGATATTAAATATGCAAGCCTTGATATGACTATTCAAATATGTGAGTGTATACATTAAGGTTTGAATCACCACTATCAAATTGATTTTTGATAATAATGGCTAATATTCATTACAGAGTTGCAGAGAACTTCATAGTTCAGTATAATTTTCCCCCTAATAATCATCAAATCGTCAAAGAAAAATGTAATGACATAAAGAAAGAACAGCTGGCTAAAAATAGCAAATGAGCTTTTCTATTTTACATATTTTCTTTCCTGCACCACTCGTTGTAGAATAGGAAAGAATTGTGGAAATTAAGAACAAAAAAGTAAAAATTTGAAGATAGGTAAACTGTCCATTACTGTTCAAAACAGATAATATAAGCAATTCTGACATGTTAGAAATGTAATTGGAAATGCTATCATCATCATTCAGATATTTAATTTCTTGATATATAAAAAACTCATTTTCTTCCTTTTCCATGTTGTTGCTGTTCTGAACACCTTAAACATGGTTTGATTGTGTATTTTACATGCAAAACCGTTTTATGCAGTGGGAAAAGAACCTTATGCTAAAGGGTCTACCTGATGTGTACTTTATATTCCTGAATAATTGAGGCGATGTGAACGGGGGTTCTACCGATACGTCACAAGCATAAGAGCAATCTAGAGAGCATATAGATTGATTCCTGCATGTTTCATCTTCACCTCCCTTGGGTTCTCCTTCAAAAGGTTCTCCAAAACCAGACAAGAAAAGAAGAGGGAGGGACTAAAGTACGGTTCAGGCAGGCAGGCGATTCAAGTCGTGACACGAGTCGCACCGAAGGATAATGAATCGGTGAGAAGCTCATCCGGGATAGGCAGATTCCCGGCCGGGTTTCCTTCCTACTTAATTGCAGCTAGGGTAGGATGGTAATGTAAGCAGGAAGAGTGGAGAGCAAATTGGAGATTTGACAACGGGGGCGCTGGAGAGAAATAGATGAGTGTGTTGTACTTTCCTGATGGGGGGATGGTCCCATTGGTGTTAATATTCTATCAGGTTTGTCAATGTGAATTTCATGACTTCAGGTTGAGTGAGGAGCAAGAGTAAATGGAGGTGAGTCCATCTTATACTAGGGGTATCAATGTGAATAAGGACCCTCTAAAGATAATGAAGTGTTTCTTAATATTGGGTATGTCTATCTAATTTCAAGATAAAACATTAAAGAAATAAAATATGTTTGTAATCATCAATCCACTCACTCACTAACTGAGTATCAGTGCCAGGACAGTATATGAATTCAACAGAAAGAAGAAGATGTTTGCAACTATGATACTTGACCAAAATGAGTACAAATTTTTCAAACCACAAAGTATATTTGGTTTACCGGTAGTGCTTTTTCCTTACATTTAGTGGTTCACCATTTGGTCAACCAAATATGTTGGACTTTTGAACAATAAAATCCAGTTCAAAGAGACCAGTTGAGGAAATAAAATCAAGTAACATATGATATTACAAATTCCTAATTTGATATTTGTTTATTAGAAGTGCAGTGAAACTGTAGTGTTTGCATAGTTGCATGCACAGCTAATAAGAATTCTCTTTTCATTTAGTTGTAAACAATACTGAAGGACTTTATTTTCTTTGCAGGGTAAGAAAAAAAAAGTTATCATAAGAGCAATCTCTTGTTCAGAACCTATTTTTTCGTGCAAACACATATTGGAATCAAGTAAAAACATGTCAAACTAAGTACAAAGGTACTACATTTTCCCATCATAAAGAGGAACACTTCATCAATACCCTTATATACTGACAAAATGAACAGAGGCAAAATAAATTAAAGCAATATGGATGCATCAAAAGTTCTTCAATTACTCTATCTTTCTCTCTCTCTCTCTCTCTCTCTCCCCCTTTCCCCTCCCTTCTGTCTGTCTGTCTGTCTGTCTGTCTCTCTCTCTCTTTTTCTCCTCTCCATCTGCTCTCCTCCCTTCTCTCTCTCTCTCTGTCTCTCTCTCTCTCCCTCCCTCCATTGCCAAACTGCAATATTAACTGTCTAATAGGGCACTTTGAAATTAGGGCTGATATTCACCAACTCCAAAGTAAGAAGTAGAAACCTGAGGTGGAAAACAATTCCCAGAATCTCAGTGTTCAAGCAATAGAGAGCGATTGGTCTATCAGCAGGATATTATTGCATTTTCTGGAGAGGGGATTTTCCCCCGGTTGTATTCTTCAGTTCATTTTATTTATCACTTTAATCATACTGCTCTGTAAAACTTGAACAAAATATATATAGATGATTTAAATTGCCAAGTTGGTTGATTTATCACCCTTTTCTTGAAAGAAAACCAATCTTGTTGATTTCCTATGAATCTCAATTTTGGGTTGTTTTTCCACTAGATGTCCATCTTCTAGAGTACCAATTTAGGACAGTCCTTGATTTAACCTGGAAAATGTTCTTTAGGTTCCCCTAATTTCTATCAAGATACTAGTAAAGGTGCTTGGAAGCTGCACATATCAAGGCACTTGTGAAATGCTTAAGAGACAATTGTCTTTCTGATTCTAAGGGAGCTCAACGTATTCCTCTAGGGGGTGTTAAACAGCGATCTCTGGTGGTTAACAAAGTCATCATACATTTCAAAACCATCCTTCCTTTTTTTCTTCTTGAGTCAGGAGAGGAAGTTAAAAGCTATTCAATACAAGTAATTTTTGGAGCACCCTCAAGTGCATGGAGATATTAAAGTTCGAAAATATCTAAAAATGTCAAAATCTCACTACTTAAGGTAGTACATATATTCTGTCTGTTTATTCATATCTCATCTTTTCTGAGTACTTTATCCTGAGACCCGTTTAAACAAAGCCTTTTCTCACTGACAAATGACAAAAATCAGTGACATATCTGCTGATAACCAATCAGAAGCAAGAATTTCACTAGCTTATAACAAAAACTGTCATTTGTCACTGGTGACAAGTTTTGTGGAACGCTCTCCTGGTTTTGTATATACGTATAACGCAGTCGGTAACTGATGACCTTTGACCTTACCTGGTGCTGGCAGCTCAGATTGTCTGACAAGCTGCTGATGTTATTAAGAATAGATAGATCCTCTTCCAGTCTGCTGAGATCTCTCTCCTGATTGGCTCGTTTGATGGTGGGCGTCGACTTGATGATCTCTACATCCTCTAGGAGAAGCTTCCAGTTCAGCTTGTATTTGCTTGCCTCTATCGGCAATGTAGAGGGTGACAGACTGGTAATAGAACATAAAATATGATTCAAATGTCATTTTGATGTGCTTTCTTATAAACAAACAAGTTTCAAGGGATCCAGTAACTTTGTCTCAGATTCTGAAACAAAATTTTGGATTTAGCTCATGATAGCTGCAATGACAATTATAAACCTTTAGGTCAGTCAGGAACTCCAAGACTTTTACAAGGCGATCGTCTGACTGATTATCAAGATATTTATGATTGGAAATTGAAACCAAATTTTGCGTTTGCCAAACGGTTTTCATTACACTACAGTCTATGGGGGAAAACAAGTATGGTAAAACCGGTCACTCAAAGATGTTTCCTTTTTTGAGGCACTTCTTGATATTTTGAAGCGCGATTTTTTTTTTAGGGCTTCAATATTATACCATATTTCAGACACTGATAACACATAGGGACGTGCATCTCAGATTTAACATTGTTAAAAGATGCCTTTAAAGAATAAAGGTTAAACTATATTTCTACCATGTAAATCTTGAACATTTCCAGCTTGGCCTTGAAAGAACACACCCCGTCTTAGAATGTATTAGTTCACTTTCAAGTTGATATGGCTCTGGATACCAAGTCTGGTGTCTTGGGACTTATCTCAATAATGCAGATTAGCTTCATGTTACATGCAATGTGGATCTCAAGTCTAAGATGAGCAAATTAGGCCATGTAAAATTGATTTCATGTTGATCGTCTCCGCCCGCTTCCTTTTTGGGGGCCGCCTCCTATTTTTTTTTATTTGTTATTTTTTTTTGAATTTTTTTTGAATTTTTTTTTTGAAAGAAAAAAAACATGAAAAACACTGCTAAAATGGCTCTATTTCTGATTTAAAAAAAAAAAAATTGTCGGCGGCCATCTTGAAAAAAAATAGCCTCGACTGTCAGGGAAAATGTACCGAGCGGCCATTTTGAGCGGCCATTTTGAGCGGCCATTTTGAAATATCAAATATCAAATAACATGGTACACCCTCCTCCTCTTTTTCAAAAAATCCGGACGATCAACATGTAATCAATTTTACATGGCCTTACTACTGTATCTACTACAGACAATTTTTACATTTCCTTGATTGATTTAATTAAAGTACAAATCACTTCCAGCAGATGATCGTTCTACTGTAAGTTTGTCCATTGCTCTGTCCTAAAGGTGAAGCTGACCCTGATACTGAAGAACACTGTCTTTACATCTACCTTAGATCTACTTCTGCATCACGTCACGCCACTTCTAATGCTCAGAGGAATGAACTACTAGTGTCTTGATGATAGAGTAACTCCATACCGCAACTTCTCCCTATATAACCCCGATATTGATACAGATTCTGATATTCAGACCAGTGTGTTTACATCTACTGCAGATTAGAGATACTCAAGGTCTGCGCCAAACCTGACTGAGTTAGCATGACTACGCCCATACAAAGTGTGCCTGGCTAAAATGCTCCCCACCCGGAGGAGTGGAGAGTGTACACTGCAAAGTACAGAATCCAGTGACCAGGGTAAAAATACTGTACAACACTATATAAAAAACACATTACTAAGGTCAAACCTGTCTATAAAGACCACCTGTCTACAAAGACCACTTTTTGTGTTTCCCTTGGGCGGTCGCTATAGACAGGTATGACTGTATCATTTACTACAGACTAGCTCTCTCCTCCAGCCACTAAATAGTCCATGGTAAGATGACCGTAGTTGTAATTTATCTACTAGGGATGGTAGGCTGTGATACTTACACTGTGACTGAAGGTCTCCGTACAGCACTTTTCCTCTTCACCGAGGCACAGATAAGGAGATCAGAGAAGAGAAACATACAATGGTCCTTCTTGGATCCTTTCTGTATCGGGAATAAAACAAACAAAAACAAGATACATGTAAATTTCAAATTAACAACAAGAATAAAAGAAATATCTCATACCAGATGCATAACAAATTATCCTTCATGTATGGTTGTCATCACCGTGGCATGTTGTTTGATTTCTTTTGAAAGGAAACAAAATTAACCCTGTAGAATATCTCTTTATCTTTGATACTTCATACATCACAACAAAAGATAACTAACTAACAGAGAGAAATATAAAGTCAAACAAGAAAAAGATGTATGAAAACTTTTATTTAAAAAGCACGAAACCATTACAAAATTATTTATTATGCTAATACTTATTTCCCTTTTCTGATGCTCTTTCATGAGTTTTCTTTCTTTTCTCACTCGAAAAAGGGAAACTTGATCTTTAAGGAGGTTAAGGGGATTCAACATGGGATCTGACGCAACAGACCAGTTCATTTCCCCATTGTATGAGAGTGGCAGAGTGTCACAGGCCTTGGCACTGCTAATGAATTAAGGGCAGTCAAGCTGGATAAACTGGTAGGGAGGGGTCATAATCATGGAACATGAGATGCCTGAGAATGATGATGATGACAGTGATGAAGAAGGGGGAGGAAGAGGAGGGGAAGAAGGAGGAGGAGGAGGAGGAGAGGAAGGAGGAGGAGGAGGAGGAGGAGGGGGAGGAAGGAGGAAGAAGAAGAAGAAGAAGAAGAAGGTGGAGGAGAGGAAGGAGGAGAGGAAGAAGAAGAAGGAGGAGGAGGAGGAGGAGGAGGAGGAGGAGGAGGAGGAGGAGGAGGAGGAGGAGGAGGAGGAGGAGGAGGAGGAGGGAGAAGGAGAAGGAGAAGGAGAAGGAGAAGGAGAAGGAGAAGGAGAAGGAGAAGGAGAAGGAGAAGGAGAAGGAGAAGGAGAAGGAGAAGAAGAAGAAGAAGAAGAAGAAGAAGAAGAAGAAGAAGAAGAAGAAGAAGAAGAAGAAGAAGAAGAAGAAGAAGAAGAAGAAGAAGAAGAAGAAGAAGAAGAAGAAGAAGAAGAAGAAGAAGAAGAAGAAGAAGAAGAAGAAGAAGAAGAAGAAGAAGAAGAAGAAGAAGAAGAAGAAGAAGAAGAGAAGAAGAAGAAGAAGAAGAAGAAGAAGAAGAAGAAGAAGAAGAAGAAGAAGAAGAAGAAGAAGAAGAAGAAGAAGAAGAAGAAGAAGAAGAAGAAGAAGAAGAAGAAGAAGAAGAAGAAGAAGAAGAAGAAGAAGAAGAAGAAGAAGAAGAAGAAGAAGAGAAGAAGAAGAAGAAGAAGAAGAAGAAGAAGAAGAAGAAGAAGAAGAAGAAGAAGAAGAAGAAGAAGAAGAAGAAGAAGAAGAAGAAGAAGAAGAAGAAGAAGAAGAAGAAGAAGAAGAAGAAGAAGAAGAAGAAGAAGAAGAAGAAGAAGAAGAAGAAGAAGAAGAAGAAGAAGAAGAAGAAGAAGAAGAAGAAGAAGAAGAAGAAGAAGAAGAAGAAGAAGAAGAAGAAGAAGAAGAAGAAGAAGAAGAAGAAGAAGAAGAAGTTCATCAATGTACCAGATTAGCAGTGCCACAGGCCTTTGCAATGCAAATCAAATGAACTAAGGACATCCATGCTGTATAGACCAGTAAAGAAGTGTCACAATTTTAGAACCCAGGATGCCTAAGGCTAAGGCTAAAGCCAAGCATATACTCTCACAAATTAGTGATATTATACAATTTCAAAACTTCAGAAAAAGGAAGGAATCATTATGAAAAGCTGCTGATTTTCTAAAACCATCCACATTACAAAAAGGCCATTACAAAAAAAAAGATGTCCTGCTCAATCCGTTTCCTTTGCTGAAATAAGACGTCATCCCACACTCTGAAGGGGGTCATTAAATCCTTGATTGCTGGTTACCATGGTAATGAGATATTTAAGAGACAGAAATTCAGCTGGACACGTGTTCTAATGAGGCCCATTAGTCATGTAATTGGACCAAAAATATATAATTATTATAATTTAGAGATTTCACAAAACAATCAAGGCACTTGTCAGGCAAAAAAATAAAAATAATAATGTGTAGCGAAATGGCTGTTTGTAGGAAGAAGTTGCAAAGTTAAGACACTACATTTAAAACTGTAAGAATTTCTACAAGAGTACAGTGTAAATTCTAAAAAGTAGATATATAAAGAATCAAATCATTTATTTATCCCAACCTAACATGTGATTTACGATATTTTTTAAGGACAGAAAGTGTCATAAGTTTGTATAAACCACATATTAATTGATGAATACATAATCCTTCTCAAAGTCCAAATAAAGGGATGTTTGTTAAGAATTTCTTAGCTCAGAACTATAAATACCACAATATTAATGAAAGGGAAAGAGGATAAGAAGGCAGTGATTAAGGGACATTATTAGAATGGGAGAGTGAACAGAGAGGGGGGGGGGATGATGCAGAGAGAAAGAGGAGATGCAGAGAGGAAGAGAAAAAGAGAGAAAAGAATGGTAAATTAAGAATAAAAGGGAGATATAGAGACCAAGGGAGAGAGAAGAGAGGATAGACAAAAGAGAGAAAAGGGGGAGAGAAATGAGGGAGGGAAATGAGAGAGAGAGAGAGAGAGAGATAGGGAGGACGAGAGATAGAGAAACAGACAGACCGACAAATAGACACAAATACAAAAGACTATGTGTACATGACAGGCAGTAAAACTGGATTCATGAAAATTCATTACACATCACCGTCTCATTTTGTGAAGTGTTTTCCCTAGAGACACGAACATTGCCTACAAATCATAGCTGCTTTCAAGTTACCAGCAAAAAAATAGACTCGGTATTCAGCTTCGTGTCCCCTTGCTAGTAAGAGGCACAGATTAAAAACACAGTACAAACTAACAAAATAGAGGACTGTGCATGATATGAGTGAGAAATGTGCGGGCCTGGAAAACTCATGTGATATTGTGAAATAACATAATGACATGTACTGCAATCTTCTGACATTGCATGTTTAATGAATGGAGAAACGAGAACTGTAGGCTAAAGATAGAAGATGGAATAGAAAGTGTGTGGAAAGGGAGGAAAACCAAGTATGAAGAAGAAGGGAAAAAAATAGGGGAATCACAATCGGAGTCAGTAAGAAGAGAAAAAGTGGAAAAGAGAATGATATGATTTATGAGAGAAGACTAAATAAAAAGAAAAGCACTTCCGAAAAATAATAAAAAACCAAAGTGACCCTTTTCAATGAAACTGTTAACTGTTGCATACCCATCTTTGCCCACACAATCACTCTCTAAGTTAACTCCCATCCCATCCGCGACCCCCTCACCCCTCAGATTCCTTCCCCTCACCCCACCTATTATCTTCCCTTTCTAGTTACTCACCCATCCCATGCTCTTTCTGTTCCTTCAACCCTCCCTTCTCCTCATTTACCCCCCCCTCCCCTTTCCCCCACCCCCCCCCCCCCCCCCCCCCCCCCGCTCTCCTCCACATGCAAGAAACCCTAAAACCTCTCCATCCTCGGCCTTCCAGAGGTTGCATGCCCCCTCCACATAGCAATGTATGTAACTGAGAACCCTTAGTCCCATGGGCAGGAGATCAGTTTGCATTGTGAACTACACTGCATGTCATTACATGAGCTTCATAAGTCTTCTTCACATTTCTTCTTCATTTTGAGTGACAACTGCAGAAATTATTCACGATTTGCACTTTTCACCCTACCAGCCTAAAAACAGAAGTTGCATCAATTTGTTCTATATATTGAATAAAAATGTCATACAAGTACAATGTATTTCTATTTTATCAAAAATTTTATTACTTTGTTTTACATCAAACTATTGGTTGTATCTAAAATACTTCATACTGATTTTTAAAAAAACAGAGGACAAAACTGAAAGGAAGAATCTATAAAGAATACAATCAAATATAAGAAAAGAAAAAGACATAAACAGAAAAAGAAAGTGAGAAAATGTCAACACATAACCTTTTTGACAACATAATCATTGCAAACCACAATACCAGAAGAAGAGTCAGGCAAAAAAGAGACTACAGTCCCACAAATAGCCATCTATGTAGGAGTATCTCATGACAGAGAATAGTGAATGGAATGAGTGCCCCCTACCAATATATCACCGCCAAGTCATTACTCACCATCCACAAAGCGAGCTGGCTTAGAACCGTAATACAAGGTAAATTGACGCAGATCGCCTCACCTTTCACAACCAAATTTAGACTAGAGAGAACCTGAATCATACCATGCCTTCGTATTCATAACTTCTCCATTTCTGGATAGCTTAAAACGTACAAGAAATTCATTTCATGTATTTCAAGCATTGATACACGGCACAAATGTCTATCTCATGTAGATTTACAAAAAATAAAAGTACTGGAGAACAATGTCATATTGAATTTTCTGTAATCAACTTGAAAACATACCAAACTTGACTGAATAATTTTCCTGTTATTTTGAGGAGCAAGATAATATCTAAAACTCTTAACTGTGCCTCACTAACACATAGAGGGGAATTTTCATTATGAAAAGGCAATAAATCGTCCTTGTTTTCATGAAGTGACGGTAGTGAGGAAAATCGTAACGCAAAGTGAATGCAATTTTTTTTCACTACTGTCACTTCATGAAAACAGCGACGAAATGTGGCAAATTTTTAGAAAGAATACTGAATTTCACTTGCACTTTCATCATCCTGAATGAATTACTTTCTGATAACATGTTTCATTCCTAGCTCCATGTACACCTCTTTGAGTTTGCAAGCAATTATCTTGCCTTATCTGCCCACTCCCCACCCCTCCCTGACCCCTCTCAGCACCCCCTCCCGGGCCCCAACTCCCACCCCCTCCCTAACCCCCGCCTGAACCCGAAAGGAGTCAATTGCTGGAAGGGCAGAACTCTTATGAAGTTCTATCCTTAGAGAGTGTCAGGTTTCAGATTAAATGCAAATGAAATGATCACAACTCAATCGTCCTCGACCACTATCGTCTATGGAACTTCATCTCTCCTCAGCTTCCACTCATGAGTATGAGGCAAACATTTCTCCTCTTTGCACTATTTATTACAGCTCATCTCTTCAAGAAAAACGATTGGGATTAAAAAAATCTCATGTTTTTCCTTTGCCAAACCAGCATGCTAATCCAGTTCATTGTATGTATAAAATTGATTTTTATTTTGTTTTGAAAAACTACACAACTTGGTCATTTCAATGTCTTAATTATTTTGATGTATAAATAAACTAAACGCTCAACATTCTATTTCTTTTATTTTAAGAACAGATAGAGAATCATATACATGTATGTAGGCCTTTCAATACTCCCAATTGCCAAACATATTGATATGTCTCAGAAAGGAAAAAAAAATCCCTGCACATACTATCTATCTATCAGGCTATAGTTCATCCAGACGTTGGACAAAGCCCTCCTCATAACATTTCCGTTCTCTTGCACATTGCAACATAGCATATCCAAGTAGACTATTGATTTTACCTCCAACCATGAACCTACTAGAGAAAACAAAGATCTATAGTTGTACAATTTATGGGAGACAGCCTTTTAACCCTCGCCTACAGATACAGGATAGATCCTTTGAAAAGCTGAGGGATATGACAACATTCAGTGGTAAAATGGTTAAAAATGTCTTATTGCTAAATTTATCTGTATAGTTCATAAAGTTCAAATTAATGTTACGTTCCTGTTTCATTCCTTTCAATGTTCTTTGCATTGAAATACAGACTTACTAGTAAATATTTATATTACATCTTTCCACACCTATCATACAGAGAGGAAGAAAAAATAAAAAGTTGTTATTTTAAGAAAGGATTGTTGTTATTTTTAGAAAGGATTGATACTATTTTTTCCATTTCCTGGCACCATTACCAGTTTTTTTTTGTCTCCAAGAAAAACAGAAAACATCCGAATGCATGAATGTTTCATGTCAAACTCTACACAGGTGATAAAAAAACTGTTATCTTAGCGGTAAACAGGAAACTGTTAATAGTGAAGCCCTAGAGCTGAGGTCATGGGTCAACGTCTCGCCCGCTCGCCGCATCCCACCACAGATAACTTCCGGATAACTTACTTCTGGGATTATTTTCTGAGTCTATTTTCTGGATCATATTTTAAATGGACAGAAGATTCCAATTAATATCTCATTCAATTAATGAGAATACTTTGCATTAAGGGGAATTGGAACTTCCCAGAATTCACCCCCACACCCTAGTTATTACAAACAACATCCGCAGTCTTTCCAACCAGAACATGGGTTCCAGCTAAAGCAAACTGAGTTAGAAGAGTAGAGCATGCAGATAATCAAAAGCAGACATGCCAATAAAAGACACCAGAGCTTTGGTTCATGTGCAGGAATATTCAGTGTTCATATCATAACAACTTTTCATAGATTTTGATAAATGTGAAAGATGCAAACATCTTCTGAGGTCTGTTTCCCTAAAAACAGAGATCTAGAACATTATCATGAAGTGGAAACCCAGTTTATTCTACGGAGGGTTAGTTTTTCAGAGAAATGTGGGGGCGGTGAGGCTTCAATTTCTTGCATAGAGTGAGTAGGAAAAGTATAAATAATGCAAGCTGTTGATGGCTTTCTCAAAAGGACGTATTCTGAAAGTAACAAAAAGTGAAGTTCTATCCCAAAAGGGTCAATAAATAGACAAGTGTGTAGAAACATGTTGGAATAGACCTGTTTGCTAATGTATTTCAATTAATGCATCTTTTTCTCCCTAACTCCTGGTTATTAGCCATTTCATTCACCTGCTGTGAATAGCAGGCGAATCCCTATTCATGGAATCCACTGTGCAAACATTGATTGTTGCTATGTTGGGAAAACTTCTAAAAACTTTTTAGTCGAAAAGAGAAACTTATGTTCAAAACGTATATGAAAGTAGTAAACATGGCTAATATTATTAAAAACCTTAATAAGCCTATATATACTTAGTTGACAACTAGCCGAGTACAGTTTTATGACTATGAGCCCAGTTCTATTTGATGTTTTTTAACCATTCTAAAAATCAGGTAGGATATAAGGTTATGCCAAAAATAAACCACATCCGTAGGATTAATACCAGAAGAACACCTGCGCTGCTTATCTTAAGAACATGAGCAAATACCCATCTCAATTAACCAGGGGATTTCCCTTTATTTCTCCTAGATCCCGGCTAATATAATGAGCACAATAAATCAAACTGGGAGGAGAATGCATAAATTTACCAAGGCAATTTGCTCCATTTGATTTTCCTTTAGAGATAAAAAAATTTGATTTGAACAGTTTTTAGAAAATCCTTTAAAATATATATCAAACATTACATTACATCAAGGTTTATCTCAATTGGCTTTTCCATTGCTATTTTTTAAGATGAAAAGACAGTCACAGACATACTACAAATTACATATCAATGCATTTCTTTATGTTACATGTTTTTATATATGTACTAAAGGTATGAATATTCCCAAATTCTACAGATGTAAAAATGGGAGCTAGCCTGCCAATTATCTTCCTGACAATCATAGTAAAAATAAGAGGATAGAATCAAATTATGATTCCTGAAGGGATACTGATAACAAGGGAAGCATCCATCATGTTAAAATATCAACTTGTTAATAAATCACAATTCCCATGTCTCTTTAAGTATTGTTGTATTAATCAACTCAGGGCCAATGTTTTGGGGCACAGGCTTGAATATTTATATTATATATTGGCACAATTGCTTTGTACATATTTAATTATATCTGATTAAAATCAGAGACTATTCACACTCATATCTGCTCATGAATGAGATTTTGTGATAAAGGATGGCAATCAAGTCTTCTCATTATTTTAGACATCATTCACAATGTCCAATTTTAGAACAGTCAACATGGTCCTTGTCCCTAGATATCACCCCAATTATCTCCAAGTTTGCACTGTCTGTGACCCTTTTGAAATCTTTACTCCTCAACCCCTAAATTCTCAAGTTGCATTCTAGAGACTCTAAGCAAAAGATAATAATATGAGCTTGATTGCTGTGATGTATAGGGTACAGATGGAGACTGAGGTAATTATTGTCAGAGAGGGCAGACTTTTTAATCTCTGATGTCAGATTGACAGCAGTCATCAAGTATCATCTGTCCTCCTCCTCCTCCTCCTCCTCCTCCTCTATTCCATATTCTGATTAGAAGAGGATGATGGGTGCTGGATGTTGCCATGACAACAGTGATGCAGTCATGATAGTAGTGACGAAGGAATCATCAGAGATGTTGGAATAATCAAGAAGTAGAGAGTGAATTATAGATGATTCCGCATCAAGCTACGTTCATAAAAAATTAAGAAGCACTTTACATTAAAGCCCGTAACTACTTTGTCACATAAAAGGGAAAAACCTGGAGATGAAAACAGCTATCCAGGATTCAGAACAGCTGGGAGATTTTTTTTCCAAATATGGAATGACATGGCAGAAGGAGATGAAAAATAATTTATTATACCAATAAATCAAAACGCAAGAATTTTATCCTTAAAAAATAAAAACTTCTGTCACATCTTTTCACAATTGATATTAGGTAAAATAAAATGATAAAGATGAACAAATCTACTCTGAAAATCACTCTAATGAAAAAAATTGTGAACCGGATGTGGTCTTTCGAAGGCTAACATTCTGAGCATCTTTCACTGTGGTTGATTTGTGTAAAATAAACAATATTTGAGCAAGCTCATAATACAAATTTGAACGAAATTCGTTTACAGCCGAATACTGCCAAATAAGGAAAAAAACGAGGCTAGAGATACACCTGCAATCATCTACGTCAATCGTCCTGCTTGTTTGTGCTCTTCGTGGAAATATTTCATTTTGCAAACATTTTGTTTGAATGTCATCCTGCTCCACTTTATACTTGGAGACTTGGAGACTGAAATCATGTCATTTAATTCTCCACAGTGTATTTTCCAATTAATGTGACTTAACACACAGAAACTCTCGCTACCGCAACTACAGTATTTGGCCGTAGAGGGCAGCACCAGCCATGGGTATACTTCTGGTTCTTACACAAATACAATGGGTTGAGAACTGGAAAGTCCAATAGATGTTATAGTTTTGGAACCAATAAACTACAAGTAACAGATTATGATGGTGCCAACATAGATCTCATCAAATCATCAAGAGAGTTCGTGAAACCGAAACAATAGTTTATTTCAATAAGTAATTAGTTGATGCTGCAGTATGTGGTATATGGTAGCCAGAAGAAACCTTGTCTTATCGTCTTTCCCAGTATTTATCTCTGCATGTGCTGACCTGCGCAGTGTGGGAGGAAGGTCGCCATGTACTGTCCCACATTGTATTTGCAATAGGGTCAATCGTGAATAAGAAATTAATCAGAAACCTATTGGCCTATACTACTGATGAGCTCTTGTATGATGAAGATGGTGAAGTTATTGGTACTGACTGTTCTCTTCATGATACAGTTTCAAGGTTGAACCTTAAACAGGTACAACAGCAGTATCTGAAGAGGTGTCAAGTTAAGATTACTAGGGCTCAACCCTTCCATGCTACACCCCTGAAGGGTACATTAGTACCCTTCTTGGTTTGACTTTGCCCTCTTGAGAGCCAGTCAATGTCTCGGGTGTCAATATGCACCTTTCGGAATAACCTTTTTTTTTTAATAAAGTGATGATACTACAATTCAGAAACAGCTTTGTCTATGATGAGTAATAATAGCGGTGTTATTTTACCTGACTGCTAAGAAAGCAATAAATGCTTGTTAGTAAGCAACCAGAAGACTGGCGGTTTTAGGTCCTCTCCGAGGGACCTGGTAATGAGGATTAATGCCTTACCAAAGGGCTCTAGCGCATCGCCTTGGTTTCGAACCCGGGTCACCAGATTACAATACCACTGCTCTACTGACTGAGCTATCGCGCCTCCTTGGATAAAACAAACAAAAACCAACAACAACAAAAGTATTGAACTGTTACCTACCGTTTCTGATATAGGATACTGTCTGATGAACCGCCGATGAGGGATATTGAGATCATCCATACCATCGATGAGTCCTGCGAGCTCCTGGATGATCTGGCGATCGATGAGGGCTTGGTCAGCATCGTTCTTACTGGCGTTGATAGCCTTGGCCAGGGTGTTGACTGTACTGAGTGCATTCTGAAGCAACTCCTGATCGGGATGGTCATCAGCTGTGTTGTCTATCAGCTCCTGATCAATGAAATAATAGAAAAAAAGAATTCAATAGACATATGACAATTATAATTTATCAGTTTAATGATATGAATATATATTCATGAAGCTTGTATCACTGAAGTCAGGAAGTCGGAAGGAAGTATTTAATAATGTCTTTTTTCATTTTTTCCAAAACTACAGCAAATTTAGATACACTCTTAATGTATGTGCTAAGCATAATAGACAAACACATAGTCCTCTACATATGAATGAAATAGTCATGAAATACAGCAATAATGTACTTTACAAAGGATATGAATCATTAAATACCTTCAGTGTGAAAGTATCGTGACCTTGTAAGTGATTTCTATAACAACGCTATCTACCCTTGATGTGAACGTACTTTGTGTCCTACATTTAGGTAAACAACCAATTCTTCGATGGGAAGGGTGGAGTGGTCAAATGGCTATCACAAAGAATGGTTGTAGATGCAGTATGAAGAATGGTCAAGGGGCATGAATAAGGGATCAAGATTTTAAAGTTCTTCTACATCAGTAAACAATCATCAAAATACTATATCAAGATTGAATTTGGATAAAAGAAAAAACACAGTAGAACAAGACAGCTATTAATATATCCATTGTAAAAGTAACAGCTTGCAAGACACACAGCTCATTGGCTTTAACGATAACAAAAACTTCCCTCAGTTTTTCAATAAGTAAAGAGACAGACTGCATCCAGTAAATTACACCGAAGCCTTCCACACCTTTACATTCATCTGCATTTTGATATTAATCTTCATCAAGATAAAAACATGGATCTAGGGATGGAGTATATCCACGTTGTTCTTAGAAAGCTGGAATAATGTAAACAGACATACTCTGGGGACAATGTCCCAGGGTATCTAACGTCTGCTGATAACAGAATAAGTTGCTCCAAATCCATACATGAAATTGATCAAGCGCATTTCAGGTGTGGATGACAATAATACCCCTTTCACACACAAAAACAGTCCGTGTTTGCTACAGTAACGTCATTTCAATTTTTTGAAGGTAAATAATAAGCAAAGGAAATGATATTTAACCACAGTTATCTTTCTGAACTGAAAGACGAAAAATAAAGTGCCTATACAATACTGTTAACACTCCTTATTATCAACAATTCCCTAATGATTATAAACAATCATGTCATTTTAACAGAAAAGTGAGTCAATCTTTCTTTATTTTGTTTAGTAAATTGTAGGTGTGAAAGGGGTGTGAAAGGGGTGTGAAAGGGGTGTGAAATAGTTGGTTTGGTTGAAAGTGTTTACAGAATTCCACCGTGCAGCGCAGATTGCGTGATGATTTATCAGCAGCTATTGGAGCTGAGCCTGAGGGGAACACGCACAGTCAGAGAGACACAC